GGGTGCTCTGAAACTTGGGATGTGGGTGGGGTGGGGTGGGAGAAAGAGACCAATACAGAGGCATCATCGCATCCTTTCCCCTTATTGTCCCCAAGTTGATGGGTGGCAGCAGCGCATAGGAACTATCATTATCACCTTTCCCTTCATTTTTCCCAAGTTGCTGGGGGGGGCAGTTTGGGGGAAGAGCCCAGTGAAGAGGCACTGTCATTATTATGGTCATATTTTCTTAGACTGCTTCAAGTTGTTTGCAGGTGGGGCAGTGCAGAAGCTTTATCACCATAATAATTAGCATCATAATTAGTAACATGGTTTTTTCTGGGTGGGGGCACTCATTCCACAGGCACTGTCATTATCATCAACTTTCCCTCCTACCAAGCGAACAGCTTGGATAGTTTCCAAGTTGTCTGGGAGAGGGGAGCACAGAAATATTGCTTTCCTCTCCTCACACACCCTCTTGTTTTGAAGGTGAAGGAATAGGCTCATGCACACACACAATAAAAAAGGGTCCAACACAGGGCCACACAGACCATAAAGTCATCAATGCTTATACAACTTTTACTTAAGCACAATACCCTCCGTCATTCCTCCTCTAGAGCTGTTCACTTCACATGGGTCTCTCCCAGCAACAGCACCCCCCTTTCTCTGGTTCCACCACTGGAATTCTTGACTCAAGAAAAAGGTAGACCCCAGAGACAATATGAGGCAGCCGACACACCACACCACACCATGTGGACGCTTTACCTATCTATGTAATTCCTTCTCGTACGCCATCCATGATGAATATCTCAGTATAAACTGTCACTGAAAATATCTCTGACCAAACATGAATACATTGCTTCACTAGACTCTTAATTAAAGCACAATTCTCTTCATTGAGAGATTACAAGGTTTTGCAAGGTTTTGCACTATGATCAGGTCCCACAAATAAGTGACATTTGCATACTGATTTTTTAAAGAAATAACAAAACCCAACCAGTAAATTTCATTTGTGTTTTCCATTGTTATTCCTAGATAATATACTTTTAAAGCATGCTGTTTTAAAATACAGTTTCATCTCAACTGTATTTTAGAATATAGTGCTCATGTAAACCTTGTCCCGTGAGAAACTTACTCTTTGTTGTGAGAAAGAAAAAGACTTAATAGGAAGAAATTCTTAGCACACTTACGTTCCAGGATAATTGTTTTTGTTGTCCCTCTGACCCCCCTTCTGGCACTTCAGCAAATTTCTTTGGCAGCTCACGCTTTCCAGCTGCACACCTCACCAGTCTCCACCTTTGTTTTCCTCCTCTGCCTTCCTCTCCTCCGAATCACATGAATCTGGCTCTCTTTTAAATGACCCACCTTGAATTAAGCATAACCAGTTGAACAAATAACTTTGACTCCACCCCAGGTACAGAGCAGAACCAGTCAGTTCCCCACACTCACTCGATAAGTGCTACTTAAGAGGGAGAGACACATCCCCGAGGATATGGAGTCGAAGACAGACATCGCAGCATATATCAGAAAATGGAAAATTTGGTTACCGTACCTTCCTCTGCTTTCCCATTTCATTTAGAGGGCCAAGGCACATATGACCTGTGGGCTCTTTGTGAGTATCACCACACACACACACACACACACACACACACACACACACACTGCAACATCCACAACCACTTTATTACCATCTCAGGACTCTCAGCTTACATTTTAAAATACTGCATAAGGAAAACTTTTTTGTTTATTATGTAAAGTATTTACATAGCATCCTTCATATAAAATGGATTTAAGGGCAGATAGGTAGGGCAGACGCGGGTGGCGCTGTGGTCTAAACCACAGAGCCTAGGGCTTGCCGATCAGAAGGTCGGTGGTTTGAATCCCTGTGATGGGGTGAGCTCCCATTGCTCGGTCCTTCTCCTGCCCACCTAGCAGTTTGAAAGCATGCCAGTGCAAGTAGATAAATAGGTACCGCTCTGGCGGGAAGGTAAACAGTGTTTCCATGCGCTGCTCTGGTTCGCCAGAAGTGGCTTAGTCATGCTGGCCACATGACCGGGAAGCCGTAAGTCGGCTCCCTCGGCCAGTAAAGTGAGATGAGCGCCGCAACCTCAGAGTCATCCGCGACTGGACCTAACGGTAAGGGGTCCCTTTACCTTTTTAGGTAGGTAGGTAGATGATGGATAGATAGATAATACCCCACCCATCTGACTGGGTTGCCCCAGCCATCACTTTGGTTGTATCCACTGCTGTCATTTTGCCTATATCCTTCATGTTCTTGCAGCAACAGACAGCATTGGACATAGCCCTGGAGAAACTAACACTTCCATCACATCAAAATGTCTACAGTGAATAATGCACAGCCCACACATCTGAAATACTGCTTATTACGGCATGTGGGGTACAGAGGCGGACAACAGGACTAGGACCAGCTGCCTCAGATACTGCTGCATCGGGGGATTTACATATCAGTAATCTGCCAGTTTTAGGAGGAAGTGAACTACCCTCCAACAGGCATGGTTGAAGGGCAAGTACAAGTGAGTAAGCAGAACTGGGAGTGAACCAAACCCTATCAGGTTGAGCTTCAGCCGCCAGGCAACTGTGAAGTCAAGCCTTACCATGTGAAACACAGGCAGTAAATTAAGTGGGAACCCTAATGTTGCTTCAGATGGGCAGGTACATAAGATCAAGAATGAATTTGTGTGTGTCTGTGTGTTAATGAATTCAGAGTTTCCATTTGGCCTGTTTGTTTTCCCTGCTATCTTCAGAGAGCTTTGCTGCTGTCAACTGCCGACATGACCGTCTGTGCTGGGAATAATTTCCCAGTGATTCATATTTGATAGGTGGAGTCGCACAGACAGAAACTCTTTGAAATGAGGTGATGCAAGAAGCATGGCACCTGTTTATGCTATGAGTTAATAGTTATTATTAACCCTTAATGTCAGCTCCAATGACTACAAGAGATTGCTTGACAGAGTCTGCTTGCATAAAACTACCAACTCCTAGGCAGACTTCAAGGTCTAGTGCTTAACATAATTCTGCAGAGTGCTGTGGCATGTTAGCACAATATGAAGACATTCAGCCTGTTTCTATACAAATTTAGACACACCCAAACCCACTGAAATCATCAGGTTTAGGAGATGCACCAAACCCTGTGCCAAATTGTTGCCTAAACAGGAGCTCAGGCCAATGGATTAGTACCTTGTTTGCACCAGTATTCTGGGCAACTTGTATGTACACAGCAGAGCTCTACTGCTGCCAGTGCTTTTAAGGAGACTCTGTGACAGCAACTGCTCCAGAAATGGTAGCACAACACCTAGAAACAAAACAGCAAGTATCTCATAGAAAGAGCACCTGCCTTCCTGAGTGGGATATTGTAGGAACTGTCTATATGGGTTTCCGGAGGGATGGACATGTCAGTCTTTGGTTGCAAAATGGTGAAGGGTCTTCAAGACTAACATAATTATGACGGCAGATGCTTTCATGGACAACAATCCTCTTCATCAAGTGCACTGAGTGTTATCCCAAGTTGCAGCTTTGGCTGTTGTATTTACACAGCTGGAAGAGGGAGTGTTCCAAAAGCCAATTTCCCTATCTGCAGTCTGAAGTGGTTCAGTTCACTCTGCTATCACAGATCTCTGCCAGTTTATATCCACCTCATTTTGATGTATGTGTTGACCATGCATATGACAGTATATAGCTCTCCCTCAAATAATCTGCAGGGCTTTTTATAGGTTAGTTGGAGCCTACCATCCAGGCTGCAACTTCTATATAAAAGGCCCACGTGGTTGCCCCATTTAAAATGATCTTCCAAGCACAGTGGGAGCCTCTCTGAAAAAAAGTGGTTCCCATGCAGCTCAGGTAACATGTAAAGGACACAGCTCCTCCTGCCACTTCCGTGGGGAAGACCCATAAAATTGGCCCCACCATGTGGATGAGTCATTCAGATGTTTCCCCACCTCCATCATGGATCTGCAGTTGGACAAGAAACTCCTAAGTCACAGGGAGAACACTTAAAGGGCATCTCAATCAGAGATATCTGTTGGAGGCTGCTCTTTTGAGTGTAAACAAGCAGTCAGTGACTCACACATAAAGATCTGTTTTGCAGGACCATCCCTATCATCAGACAGAGTAAAGCAGCTGCCTCGGGCAGCAGATACTGAGGGACAGGTGGGGAGGTATTAGAGAACAGAGCTATGTGCACCATGTGCTGTCTAAGCTAGCTTGTTGTCCTCAGGTGCAGAGGAGGATGGTGTCATTGTTGATGCACAATTCAACAGTGCTAATCTGGTTGGCTTCTCTATGTAGAATGGAGAGATTGCCAGCTTGCCCTTCCCCTCATACAGCAAAATGTATTGGGCCAACCCTGAACAGTAGTTATGTCAGTACGTTTGCAGCTGTGAAAGGCAAGAGCAACTTGTGTTTCTCTCCAAGTATCATTGGACTACAACTCCCATCAGTTCCAGCCAGCATAGCCAGTGGTTGGGGATGATGGAAGTTGGAGTCCAGGCTTACTTAAAATAATGAAAGAAATAAAGTAAAAAGGTGGCACTAATTAGTTTCTGGGTCTATTTTTACACAAGCATCTATTTTCTCTTGATTGTTGTGGTACAACTCCAGTAAGCCTAAGCAGGAAAAGACTCCCCCTGGAAGGAACAAGAAGTCACTTAATGAACAAAATGTCTCAGTTGCATTGCGACCTAGTAATTAAGGCCAGTTGCTAAACCATATTATCATGCTTTCTAACTGGATCATGAGGCTATGGAAGGGAGCTCCAGCAGGTCCTTCTGCTTGGCTGTTGAGAAGGGAATGAACAAAACCAGCTTCTGTTGCCCCAGATGGCATAATCCCTCAATGCTTCAAACAAACACCCAACCTAATCTGCTTCTCCTAATGAGAGAGCTAAAGTTGTGCAACACATGTGCTTTGCCAGCCTGGCTCTGGCACTATTTATACCTGATGTGATCATTTTCCAGTCACTAAAACAAACCCCCAACAGCGTGAGGCGATCTGTTTTCAGGATCTAGGGACACTTATATTTAAAGGTGCTTGTGCAATACCCAGTGAGACTTCACTACACTTGCAAACACTTTGGGGAACTTGAAGACCAGAGGGCCAAGATGTAGCTTTGCATTTTGTTGCAGAAGGGTAGGACTCATATCTTATAAATATTACTGGCAAAAAGGTTTTAAGTTTTTTAAACAGGAGCTGTGATATGGGAAATCTGTTCCATAAAATTTGCCTTCTCAGTAATCATGCTGTCTGCCCAATGTGGGTGCCCTTGACTTTGGCTGACTCTGGCTTGTCTTTAAGATGTGCCTCCACCTATGCTCAGCCTGTACCTTTGTAAATAAATTCAGCTGTTTAAAAAAAGATGCATATGCCTCTGGTGACCTCCTTTCAAAGAAAAATGGAAGCCAGGTAACGGCTGTGCCCCAGAATTTCTTGCTTATACTCTCACGCTCACCCCATGTCTCTGATATTATTTCCAGATGCTGTATCCTATGGCTCTCACATCCACATTAGATGTGCTGCTTTTAGATCCGAAGGAGATCCTGCTGTTCTCCCTCCTGCTTTCTTCACCTGCCTTCCCACGCCCAAGCAGAAGCTCATCTCTAACCTGAAATGACCTTGTTAGGGTGGGTAGATTCAGGGGTGGACTTTGGTAATATGGCACCCTGAGGACAAAATTTGGCACACCCCTTCCAAATATTTCTTATTTTCACAATAATTCCTTTTGGTACGTTTACCTGTATATTTACCCATATAAATACAGTTTGTTTGTTTGTTTGTTTGTTGTTACTACTACTACTACTACTATTACTATCACTATTTTGCACCCCCTCAACTTGGCTCCCTATGCAGGGGAACTGCCCTAAATCCAGCACTGGGTGGGTATCTTAAAACTGGAACAAATTAATCATGTACTTTCTTTGCGCTACTTCAGTATCAGACTGGCATGTCTCTGAATACTAGTCTCTGAGGATTACAAGCAGGTGAGAACTATTGGACTCATTTAACTACTGCCTTCCAGATATGCCTCAGGGTGATGTACAAAATGCAACACAAATCTATGGAAACAGTTAAAAAACAACACAGAAAGTAACCACAAATATGTTTAAAAACAATACCAAATGCACCCATGGTGGAGATCTGAATGGGAAGCATCCAGATTGGGGGAGCGTGTCACATCCAGTTGATGGGTTTCCCATAGGTATCTGGTGAGCCCACCTTGAGAGCACAAATCTGGACTCGATGGGCCTTTCCAGCAACACTCACCTAAGATGCATTGTAAAATTTTATGTCTTGGCAGGAATTGCTGCAACTCCCGTCTGCAAATTACCGTCCAGAATGCCCAGGAATATTTCCTCCCAATAACATATACTCTTCTGGAGAGGAACTGGTATTTGGGAATACAGAAACCCTATCCCCCAGACCTCACTGTTTTGATCTGGAGGAGAGCCAAAGGTTGGCCAGACTCATCGGCTCTGATCCTAAAAATATCCACACACGTAGAACCCCAATTTGCAACTAAGACTTGGAGTCTGTAACTGTTTGCAGAGCTGAGGCCAATCTATGCATAATCCTGGGACAAGGGTAGGGGTTTCGGTGTTGTGTTGTTGCTCACAGAAAAGATTAATATGAAAGAAAACAGGTTTCTTCAGTCTAGTTTTTTTGGAGGTGTAGTAGATATCCTCACACAGTGTACACCTAAAAGCCTCATGCACGCCCAAGCTGAGTGCACACTAGTGTTATACCTGTATGCATAGCACAAGCTAATTGTAGTTGGGCCAGAATCAGGTTATAGTGCATTGTACATAGAAACTAAAACCAAACACCCATGTAGACTGTCTTGTGCTGGAGTGTTCATTTTTTACACAGTTCCCTTTCTATGTGCTTGGCTCCTCCAGACTGGTGTTTGTTTGTTGCATATTTTGCATATTCTGCAACATGTCATTGGTCCAATAGCAGTGTGTTAGTGGTGGATTTATATTGCTCTTTATTAGTTGTTCTTGAATGCTTCCCTGAAACCTTAATGATTATCTGTATTTTTTTAAAATGATGTTTTAGGTTTTATATCGCCTTGATATAATATGGTAGAATAGAAATACTTTCGGAAGTAAAATAAATAAAATAGAACTTGCCTGCATTGATGCTATCTAGAGGGTTATTCTTGGCCTATAGCACAGCAAAAGCAGGACCAAACAACAACCACCTTGTAACATTTGTAGTGTAAAACACTGCAGGATTTCAGCAGAAAGTTATGTGGAAAGAATGCTGACCGCCCCTAGGCTTTTTGCAAGTGCAAACAACATTGGCAGCAGGGTGATGTTTACTGCCCCAATTCCATAATGAACGCAAATAATCATGAATGAACAATAAAAAGGGCATTTGGAGAGGCCCCTACATTGGTGCTAAAGTGATAAATGCAAAGAAAGCTGAGCGTGCACGTGACTGGGGAGAAATGAAGTGTCACAAAGGTGGCTGCTGCTTTTCTGTAGATAAAATCAAATGAATGGGACAGGCCTTCATATTTTCCTGTCTAGAAATGCTAAGACAGCAACTGTGTGGCAGTTCTAAATAAGATTCTCCAGTACACATCCAAATCTCCATGGGCTACATGCATCTGCCATGATACTCTCCCACTTGCCCCTTCCTGTCAGCATTGCAAACAAATCTGTAGTCTTAAAAGAGTGAAGCCTGGTGCATTGCAGTTTTGGGGCTAACTGGAAAGCTCCCATTTCCAAACTTCAAGGCCCCGTGTGCAGTATGCTACATGGTCTATATGCCACCATCTAGATGCTTCTGTTGTGTCTGCTGAGACAGCTGGTGTAAATCAGGAGATGCTGGGCATAACAAAAAATACCTGGTGCAACTTTGTATTGCTTTGCCCCCCTTTTTTTTCAAGTGGCTGATTTTATATTTACATCAACAGAAATGCTGAGTGCTGCTGTGGTCAGAATGCCATCTGTGAGCCACTGGATGTATTTCATCTTTAATAACATTGCAAACTAAGTTTAGCCAATTTTGAAGCTGATTTGAATGGAACATGAATTTTCCTTGACATTGGAAATATCACCATGATTACCTCTCCCTTCTTGTCCTTTTCAAATAACTCAAGCTTCTGACAAAAACAAATGTGACCACAGGTCTCATACAACTTTAACTTAATGGTGGATTTTGGCTCAGCACAACTGCGTAATATTCCAGATCTGTGGGTAACAGTGACTAGTCTAATAAAGAAAGTGGTTAAATGTAGTCATCAGCCTGTGAGTTGGGAAGGACTTGGAAACAGTGAGCGATAAACCAATCGGGATGTTTTGCAGACAGCTTTTTCCAATACATTTTCCTTTTCTATAATATTTGCCTCGCGTAATAAGATAACTCAAACCATCTGCACTGACTACTTCACTTCCACTGATTTGCAACTGTTCCAGTTACATTATTCCCCAGTGTGCACTTCATGCTACAAAAATGGCTGCAGTTCCCCATTCGATCCACATTGTAATGAGGAGTGAGTCTACACAAGCATGCATACCACTTGGCCACTGCAATGGCAAGTTTGTGCATATATAAAGCCTTGCAAACTATTATGGAATCAGTTTTGATGAAGTGGGTATTAAAATGTTTTAAGGAAACATATCATCCTGAAGCAAAGTTCTTAACCAGAGATACTATTTCTGGGTAAGCGGAGTCTGTAACCTGAAGCGTCTATAACCCGAGGTACCACTGTATACATTTTTAGTTTAAAAGGGAGGCAGGAATATACATAAAAGCTCCACCCTTTTCCAACATCCCAGTGTATGCCAGTGTATGCCAGCTGCATGGCAGATGTCCTACATTCAGTGCCAAGGTCTGCACTTGAATGCCTTCCCCAGATTAGGAACCCTGGGGAAGTTTAGGGAAGGGCCACAACTCAGTGGAAGAGCATCCATATTGCATGCAGAAGGTCCCAGATTCGTTCTCCAGGCAGGGCTGAGAAAGAGTCCCCATCTAAAGCCCTGCCAGTCAGTGTAGATAATACAGTATTGAACTAGACCAGGGGTCTGCAACCCGCGGCTCCAGAGCCACATGTGGCTCTTTTACACCTTTGCCGTGGCTCCGGGGCGGATACTAGCGAGGGGAGGAGGCACATTGTGCGCCCCGACACTCCCCACTGTGGCGGGCGCTGTACTGGCTGTGACGTCGCATGGGGGCGGTGCGTGCGTTAGTCACGCACCGTCCTGACGTCACCTTCCCGCCCACTGTCAGATCGGAGGGCAGCGGTGCACATGCTTTAAATGTCACAATGTTTTTGCGGCTCCCAGTGGTTTTTTCTTTGGAAACGGGTCCAAGTGGCTCTTTTTGTTTTAAAGGTTGCAGACCCCTGAACTAGACAGTCCAATGGTCTGACTTAGGATATCGCAGCTTCTTATGTTAGGTTTCCAATTGGAGGGAAGCATTCAGTGGAACGTGGCTACCCTAAACGCTCAGAAGACAAACGTGAAGCCAACATACTCAGGACTTACATACCATCTCCCTCCTCTCTTCAAGTCCACTTGTGTTTCTCCAAATACATGAATGTATACAGAAGTCAGAACAGGTTTCACCACAGCTTGCAGACAACAACTGGGTGCAATAAGTTCCTGTTGAAAGAGAAACTCATTCGCCACTGGAGGTAACATATGCAGAGCTGGACATGTTGTTTTATTTGGTTTCCCATGCAGCAACCTGTTCCAGATACTTACAAAAAACAACAACAACTGTGTGCATGCATCTTTTATATTGGCTCCCTCCCATGTTCCTAAACTGGGGTGCTCAAGTCTTGTAGACAACATAGGATAAGATCTTGATTTCTGTTTCCCATTGTACCTCAATCCTAAACCTGAGCGAGGCAAATGTGCTTGTCGAGTCCTAACACGCACCATGCAGTATGAAAAATTTAATTAGTCCAAGAATGTGCTTGTGTGATGTTTCAGACCTGCTGAGCAGTGCGCTTGTAAACGTGCCATGATGCCTAATGTTCTTTTTTCTCAAAACGGCAGAGCTCAGCATGCAGATTCCAAAAAGAAAGAAAAGGGAGTTTGTCATTCATGTATAGCTTCAGTACAACGCTTTACAGCAGTAGGTGTGTTCATCGCCTCAGCACTGCTCTGATTCCACCTTGGAATTAGCTCCTTCATGAAAAAAACAAAAACAAAGCCTACATAAAACAAACCAACATCCCATGATTTTGACATCCAGTCCTTATGACTAGGAGAAAATGGACATCTCAACTTCCTTGTCCAATTGACTATTTAGGTGCTGGTAGCAAGCAAAATACTGTAGTACATTTCTGTGATGGTGTTGAAATCTAGGCCTCTGATTCGAACTCCATTAAAGTTTTGGAAACTTTGCAGTATATTTTTTTTCAGAAGCTATTCTCTCTCCCATCAGGAATGTCAGCAGCTCTTCTTTGTAAAGAATCCAGGTGGCCAACAATTAAGGCAAGAACAGATTGCGCTCAGTTAAAGTATATTAAAAGAATTTCTACTAAGCCAATTGAGCATTTTCCTGTGCTGTGCTATATGGAATTGGATGATAACCAGCTCTGGAAAGCGGCTTGTCAAGATGCTTTAGACAAGTATTATTTTCCAGAACTGTGGTCTGCATTGACCAAAAAGAAGTGTCAAATAAATGATTGGCTCTTCTGGATAGAATCCAGAAGGGACCTGCAACCAATGAGAAATGCCCAATTTTCCCCTTGGTATTCACTCCTGTGAACAGAGCATTCTACAGCAAATTATCTGGCCAAACTCTCACCAATTTCCTTAAGAAATGCCTTTGTTTAACTGTGTTTCCAAGTGAGGCCCACTCTAGTCATGGATGGCTGCTGTTACAAGGTCCCATACGCAGACAGACTTTGTATTTGTGGCCAACCTCAGGTGGAAGACATCACTCATTATCTGTTAGCCTGCCACTTATATAGAGATCCAAGAGATCGCTTTCTGAAACCTTTGTTCACAGAAACACATAGGTACACTATAAATGATTTTATTTCTTTTAAGTGACTATAATAGCTTTGTAACACAGTAGCCCTCTGTCCACTGGCTGCAAAAAAAATAACTAAAAAGGAAAAAGGAGTTCGATAAAATTGCAACAAATTGTTTTGGTAATTCAGAGGCTTAATGTGAAATCAGGCTAGACTTAAGCTTGTTGGTGTCTCTGGTATTTTCTCTCTCTTTCATCATGGATGTTGGCTTATTTTTTTGATGTATGTTCTGTAATATTTTATTAATACTATTGTTACAAGTTTGTCATGGCTAGAACAATAAACATATGAACTTGTTACTTGTTAAATTAAAATTTTAGTTACAGAATGGTTGCAGTAAATACTTTGCAATACCAAACATTTGGAGTCCTTGTCAGTTGCACACTTCAAAACTTTTTTCACATTTAATCCAGTTCAAAGTTCTGTTTAAACTGGTTGCTACGCAATTCATCGACCTAAAAAGAGCCCTGCTGGATCAAACCAAAGGCCCATCTAATCTAGAATTGTCTTCCTGCATTGGTCCAACCAAAAGGGGGGGATGGAATGGAGTGTGCTGTAAAAGGGCATGTCTGTCTGTCAATCTGAACATTCAACACAGCAACAATTCATTGAAGTTCCCACTTGTTTGCTGTTATTGTTAAGTATAATGTATCTCATCCTTCAAACACACACACAGACAGAGAGAGAGAGAGAGAAATCAATCTATGCTCAAATCCTGCCCCCACTCCAATCAGCTATGAAGCCCACTAGGTGGTCCCAAACCAGTCAATTATCTTTCAGCTCAACCTACCTCACAGGGTTTTTGTGAGGATAAATGAGGCAGAGGGGAAGAGAAGCATGGAGGTCTTAAATAGAAATACTTGCAAAATAATAGTTAGGCTAAGGATCTGAATATGTGAAATTATAAAACAATATGTTTAAAGTTAAGATGAAATAGATAAAGGTGTTAAGAGGATTAAGTAAATTTTATGAGATATTATTTTGGAAAACCGTTACAATGATACATAATGAAATTCAGTCAAGGAAATTTAAGGAAGTCATTTAACTATGATATTAATATTGGATCAAGTTCAGTTATGATTTGTGTTTGTTTGTTTGTTTGTTTGTCTAAAAATGTGGAAAACTAATTAAAAAATTTGGGGGAAAAAGAGAAGCATGCAGGTCAACTTATTTTTGTTATTATTATTTATGAGATTTATATCCCATCCTTCATCTGAGGATCATATGGCAGTTCACATTATAAAAACAAAAAATACATAATATAATTACAAACAATACCCCCCCCACAGCTTAAAATGCCATAGACTGTTTAATTAGTACAAGGCCTGGGTGAAGAGGGATGTTTTCACCTGGCACCTAAAGATATGTGATGAACTTAAATTCCTTGGAAGAAAGGGGGACAGGAATATGAATATACTAAAACTGGACCAAACATTTTATTTCAGGCATCCTCAACATTTGGCCCTCCAGATGTTTTGGGACTACAGCTCCCATCATCCCTGACCACTGGTCCTGTTAGCTAGGGATGGTGGGAGTTGTAGTCCCAAAACACCCGGAGGGTCGAGTTTGATTATGCCTGTTTTATTTCTTATAGATGTGCAGTATATATACAATACCTACACAGTAGTTCAAATAACCTATGCTATTATAATTTGGTTTTAAATGTAAGTTGCTTAAAGGTTTCATTACAGTCAAGAGGTATATGATTCAATGACTTGCAAACAGACTCTGTATGCTCTGTTGGTACCCAATAAAATCATAATAAAAGCATAATCTATAAAAATATATTTTAAATAGATAAATATTTCTGTAGGTTGCAACGGGTCAGTGCACCTGTCTGTGAATCACCTTCCTAGGCCTACCACCTCTTTAAAGAGCAGAAACAGATCACAGATGCTGAAATTCTGCCCCTACATGTATATGTATATGCATATCCTAATGTGTCAGATGTTTTTAATCAAGTCATTCAGGTGAGAAAGGTGATGAAAAGAACAGCCTTCACCAATCCGGCAACCTTCAGATGTTTTGGACTACAATTCCCATCAACCACAGCCAGCTGGAGCTAGGGCTTATGGGAGTTGTGGTCCAAAACATATGACAAGCACCAGGCTGGTATAATATAAGGCTTGAATAATTGAAAGAAGCAAATACCATCCCATGCATTCCTTTTTATACCTGAAATGTATGATAAACAAAATCAATGTATTGCATAAACGTGGTAAAACAATTAAATAAATGCCAGCAAGCAGCATTTTCAAAGTTATGACAGCCTAGAATAAACGTCTATGAAAAGTACACCTTTGATGGTTAATCTGCATCATTTAATCTCAAATTGGCATCTCTATTCTGGCTTCAAAATTCTGAACGTGTTTCCAGACAGTCACTATTTTGGAATGTGATTCAATTGTATGTTGGCAAATTCAGGTATATGGAGCCGTTGGGGCTCTTGCTCAATAAACTTGCTTCCTCAAAAGAACGGACCTTTTGCAATAAGGCAAACAGTGGATAAATGCACTGGAAAGTGTGGAATGAAACTTGCTTTGACATAGCCTCCCCACAAACAAATAAGAATGAATGCTCAATAAACACCAGAAGCACCTTTACACATACAATTTCAGCCTGTAATGCTGAAAAAGGAAAATCTCTTCACAACTTTCCAAGCTGAAGCTTATAAACCACTTCTGTAAGGAGGAAAGGAAATCTTTTTCTGCAATACTCTGCAAAAGCCCAGCTAACAAAATTATTCTAAGCTTTCTGTTGTCAAAAAGCATTTACAGAAGTGTGATTTAGGATTTACTTACCTCGTTTTCCTCCAATCAAAAAGCAAAAACGGTGCCCCTGATCTGACAGCGTCCTTCACTCCCTGCCTTTTCCTCCTGTGTGTGTGGATCCCTTTCCCCCTGGATCACATGAAAGTGTTCTATTAATGTGAATTGGCTTAGGTTTGAGAACACTATGCTGGATAGCCGTGAAGTGTAAGGAATCTGACCCCGGGAGCTCAAAGCTACAACACGTCAGTTCTCTGCAGGAATCCCCCGTTACTGGATGGGAAAATAGCATAAAAGGAAATGCACTCCACATGAACACACCCTCCCAGGTGCTGTAAACTAAATGCAGAATGTTTTATTCCTTGGTTTATTACTAGATGCAATATTTATATATTATGCCAGTACAGCCCTTTGGGATTTTAACTCTGTGTATTTTTGGTTTCAACTTTAAAACACACATACTTAGACGCATAATACCTCTCTGCTTGCTCACTGGATAAAATTAGGACCAGGCTCGAATTGAAGCCCACACAGAAACTTGAAGGCTCAGATCCTAGCTGAGAGCAAAGTCCCACTGAATGGGACTTATTTCAAAATTTACATGCACAGGATTTGGCTGGGATCCTGTCCAGCCCTGCCCCCACATTCTCTTCTACAGGAGGATCAGCAAATGCAACTCCTAAATGATTAACAGCACTACTATTTCAACACTCCCCTCCCCCCCCAGAGAAGGCATTACTCTAAAATAAAAACAAAAGGTAGAAGCCATATTTATTTATTTATTTGCGAGGACTGGGGTAGCCTGTGTAGAGTCTAGCTTCTCAGCTATTGCAAAGAGACAGACAGCTGCATTTAACCCTTTCCTTGCAAAGTTTTCTTGTTTAAAAATAATGCTCCCACTCAACCTGCTGCCTGCCTGTCCCACACGGTTGCACTTCCACAACTGCCGTGCTGCCTTTGTTCCATTAGAGGGCATCCAAGAGGTCTTGCTTTCTCAGAGTTCACAGGCTGAGGTTTTGTCTTAGCCTCTTAACCAGGAAGACTCTGGCCTTAGCTGCCAAGGGGGAAATATCATCAGAGAGTTCACAGTGAAAATTACCGTATTTTTTGCTCTATAAGACTCACTTTCCCCCTCCTAAAAAGTAAGGGGAAATGTGTGTGCGTCTTATGGAGCGAATGCAGGCTGCGCAGCTATCCCAGAAGCCAGAACAGCAAGAGGGATTGCTGCTTTCGCTGCGCAGTGATCCCTCTTGCTGTTCTGGCTTTTGAGATTCAGAATATTTTTTTTCTTGTTTTCCTCCTCCAAAAACTAGGTGCATCTTGTGGTCTGGTGTGTCTTATAGAGCGAAAAACACAGTACTCTAAAGCAGGGATGAAGAAGTGTTGTCCTCTGAGCATCGTTTGACTACAGTTCCCATGAGCCCTCTCCACTGGCTATGCCTTGCTGAGGATGATGGGAATTGGAATCCAATAACATTTGAAGGACCTCACCAGTTCCACACCCCTGCTGTTAGGCTGCATTTACCTCTGTTCATAGCACATACATGTAGTTTTTCACAATATGGAATAATTCGTCCTTAAAATACTGCTTTCAAACTAGACTGATTCTAGATCCTGCCATTCAGATGTGGGTGCAGTTTTCTGATGTGTTTGAATGTGTTATGCATACTTTGTATACTTTTAGTTATTGTCACCTGTCTTAAATCTTCAGGGAAGGCAGGGCTCCAATTCTGCACACATGTACTATGAATTAAATCTGAGTGTATTTAAGACTAGGTTGTGTATATGCTAAGCATACTGCAGTGAGTAAGCCATGCCTTTTAGGGTTTTCATTTGGCTTTCTTGTTAAACTCATACTGTGGCCAAAGGTCTTTGCCTAGCAACAAAAACAAGGAGCCCTACACAGCGAACCACCGTGGCTAACTGGTATATTAGGGAAAAAAGTTTTTATTAAGCTCACTTGTCCTTGATTTATTTTATTTTATGTAAATGGTCCTGAGTGCTGCAGCTTAATAAAGCTCATTTTTGGGCTACTAATTGCAGCAGGCTCAGGTGATCATATGCTGCTACTACCCCCTGCTGGATGCCGCATCAGTCCTCTTCCTCATGTGTTGTTGTTTAGTCGTTTAGTCGTGTCCTACTCTTCGTGACCCCATGGACCAGAGCACGCCAGGCACTCCTGTCTTCCACTGCCTCTCGCAGTTTGGTCATGTTTGTAGCTTGCAGAACAAGCTACAGTTTGTAGCTTCCTCATGTACCAAGCAAGAAATCAGAGTGTGAGGAGCGCTCTTTCTTATCACGTGCATTTGTTCTTAAATCGGAGTTTGCTAAACAGCATTCACAGTCACTGCCTGCGCATTTCTTCTGCACAAAAAAACACTAACTCAGACTGAACTGGGTGGGGAAAAGACTGTGTTGGTGTTTTCCCGCACGTCCCCTCGCAGAAATTTCTTTGGTTCGTTTCACTGAGCACGCGTTTCTTCGAAGCCACTCGCGTGCACCGGCTTTTATACACAACCAGGCAGACTCCGAGGAATCAGCTGATCGGGCTTTCGGCTTTAACTTCACGCAGCCAGCTCCTCCCGCTGCATGCATTGGCAAGAGTCAAAAGGCCTCGGGGAATAGGAAAAACTGAACCCCCAAAAGAGCAGTTTCTTCCTCCTTACATGAGATATGTTTCAGAATTTTGTTGACTGATTTTGTTCCCAAAAAGTTGCTTTTTTTTTTTTATAGGTACTGTATAGATTGAAAACACTTCCCTGGATTTTGTGCTGCTACCTTAACTGTGTTTCTGGAATCAAATGATGATTGTTATAAAGGGTTTGTATATTGCCTTTCCAAAGTTAAAACCATGCTCAAGGCAGCCTGCAACATATATATATATAAAAATCACATAATTACAAACATAACAAAACTAAAAGTAGTCATAAATTAAACATCAAAAGTACACAACCATATTGAGAACGATGTGTCTTTGAAAAGGCGCCAGCACCCTTTTCGTCGGCGCGTGGGCAGCGGAGTAAGAACCGCAGGCGCAAAAGAAGCAGCATTAGCGGCTGAGCTACGCTTCGCGATTTGATTCGGACCCCTCGGCTTGCCATCGCTCTTTATCCGGCTCACCTCGAGCATCCTAGAGATAGGAAAGTATAGAGCCGATTAACAGCTCTCTCTGTCCTTTTGCCGGAAGTCGAGCGAGGCGTCCGGAGTCTGCCACGCCCCCTTTCTCCTTCTCCGAGCGGTTCAAGCGAGAGCGGGAGGGCAGAGTCGCTCTCACTCGAGAGTCGCGCGGGGCAGAGCGCGCAGCTATCATGTCCGGCTCCGGCAGCGACCGCGGCGACGCACCTCGGCGCTCCCGAAGCCAGCAGCTCGGCTCCCCCGACGGCGGCACTCCTCGACGCCGGGCGCGAGCGGGCGACGGGCGAGGCAGCGAAGAAGAGGACGGGGCGGCCGGAGGAGCAGCGGGAGCGGAGGGCGCCTTGCCGGGGCCGTCGGGCGGCGACGGGGCGGACGAAGCGACGCGGCGGCTGCTCCGCCAGCAGTACCGGGAGCTCATCTCCTCCGTGCAGCGTAGGTGCCGGGCAGAAGAGGGGAGGCGGGGAAGCTTCGCTGCAGGCGCCGGGCTCCTCTAGTCCCCCGACCCCCTCGTCGGTCCCGGGGGTCGTGCCTCCCACGCGCCCTAGGGAAAAGTTGGCGTGACCCCTCGGCGGTAGTTGTATGACTGGTAGGGAAATGGGGTGGGGGGCTGCTGGTCTTGTGGCCACATAAGGGAAGGAGCCCATATGCCCTCCCCCCCCCATGGTCCAGCTCCCTCTTCTCACAACGGTCCGCCACGAAGGCGTGGGAGAGTTGGCCGCCCCTGCAGGGACCCGACCCCCCTCTTCGCACTCTCACTTTCTCCCTTCTGCGTCGTAAGTTGGAATAGCAATTCGTACTGTACTCCCCATCGGCCATGGGGAAAATTGTTTTTTTGTGCTTCATTGATGCGTGGCTTTTGTGTCGTGGCTCGCGACGGAAAGGGTGCAAAACGCAGCTCTTCCGTTGCTGCGGGTAGTACGGAGGAGAAACCGAAAATGAAAGTTTGCATATCCTCGAGTGTGCTCTGGAACGGAATGCCCCACTTGGGACGAAATAGTGATATGTTAATCCCCCTGTTTCTTTTCAATCTCACGGCTTTTATAATTTCTTTACAACCTTGCCTTATTTACTTTATTCATCAAATAGCGCCAATTAAATGCATATTTTCTTTCAACCCACTGGCAGCTTTTCTCATGCTCTTCTTTAGGAATTCTCATGAAATCCTAATCCTAAATGTTATGGCCTCCCAAGGTTATTTTAATACCCGCGCTAGCAAGTATTGAGAGTGGTGCTTCTTCAGTTACCTGGTTTCCAACCTGCGTATGCTTGTTCTAAATGTAGGTGCTGTTAGGTTGATGATTCTAGAGCTGTGGCTGTGGTTAGAACATGCATAAAGTTAAACAAGCTGTAAGTCAAGAGGTACGATTTAGAGCTGTACCTGACTTGCATTCATATTTACTTGAGGGGTATATTTTGGATTATGTGTTTTTATTTTGTTTTCGTTTTCCTTTAAAAGCACATTACTTATGCTTGATTTTTATTCTAGAGAATCGTGAAATGATGCTGAGCACCAGAAATGATAAACTCACAGAGGCTTTGGAAGATGCGAATAGACTATTTACAGGAGGTAAGATGGTGGTAGCCCACAATGGATACTTATATTTACTTCTCTCGCCTCCCCACCCACTTTACATTTGGAAATGGTGCTTGAAATAAAATAGTGCTTGAAATAAAAAGTAACTAATATTTTGTCTCGTGTCAAATAGAACTGAACTTAATTTTTATTTTTTTTAACTAAAGTCAACATCCTTAGGGGAGAGACAGTGTAAGCAATCTTTTCAAGGATGCTGGCTCTAGCTTTCTGCATTCCTTAGATAACAGCAGGAATAGGAGTGTGAAGGCCTGGGAAAAAGCGGGGGCAGAGGAGGGTAGCTGTTCTTTTCTGTTTTCAAGGCCTTTGAAGTTTCTCATTTCTCTGAAACATTATCTTTCTGGCTCTTTGGTTCTGTGCCTGTTGATAGAGTACGACTGATACATGTACAAATAATTGTACTCTAACCAGATGTCTTCAGGGGCTCCCTTCCTACTGACTTGGAAAACTGTAACCATTCTTGAATTGGAATGTTAGGTTGATTTAGGAACAATTACAAGGTAGCTTCCATTGCCTGGCATCCTCTTGTTGCTTCATATATCAATGCCAATTTTATTTATATGCCATCTTCTCATAGTTGGTGCGCAAGACAGTTTACAGTGGTGCCTCGCAAGACGAAATTAATCCGTTCCACGAGAGTCTTCGTCTAGCGGTTTTTTCGTCTTGCGAAGCAAGCCCATTGACGGATTAGCGCTATTAGCGCTATTAGCGGTTTAGCGGCTATTAAAGGCTTAAAGGCTTAGGGGATTGGCTGCTAAAAGGCTATTAAAGGCTCTTAAAGGCTTAGCAGATTAGATAAAGGGGGAAAAGCGGAAAAAAATCTCAAGACTCGCAAGATATTTTCGTCTTGCGAAGCAAGCCCATAGGGGAATTCGTCCTGCGAAGCAACTTCAAAACGGAAAACCCTTTCGTCTAGCGGTTTTTCCGTCTTGCGAGGCATTCGTCTTGCGGGGCACCACTGTATATGAAAAATAGCATACGAAGCAGCTCATATGGCATTATCAGCGCCACGCTCTATCCAAGGTTGAAGGTTCAGTCCCCTGTATGGAAGAGCTGCATATTCCTGCATTGCAGGGGGTTGGACTAGGTCAGGCTTCCCCAAACTCAGCCCTTCAGATGTTTTGGGACTACAACTCCCATCATCCCTAGCTAACAGAACCAGTGGTCAGGGATGATGGGAACTGTAGTCCCAAAACATCTGGAGGGCCGAGTTTGGGGGTGCCTGGACTAGATGATCCTTGGGGTCCTTTCCAACTCTACAGTTCTGTGATTCTATGAATATAAATACAAACATGAACAGCAAAAAACAATCCACAGAATCTCAAAACAATGCAATAAATTCATAGCACAGTAATATTCAGTATACCTATCAATATACAGTGGTACCTCTACTTATGGATGCGATCTGTTCCGGGGTGCCGTTCGCACCCTGAAAAGTCCATAAGTAGAGCGGCGCTTCTGTGCGTGCATGTGATGCAATAGAGCGCTCCTGCGCATGCGCAAAGCACGCAGAGTGCTCGTGCGCAAAGCGTGCAGTATACACTTCTGGGTTTGCCACATTCGCAACCCGAAAATCCGCAACATGAACCTAACGCAACCAGAGGTATGACTACTGAAAAATGGCACTCCATCTAATAATTTATCAAAATATAACTACAATAAATCAATCAGCGCATAACAGCGTGGTCCTAAACTAACTAGGCCTTGGAAGCTGGAGTCCATCCAAGCCCCCCCAGACCAAGTGACATTGGTCTAAATGGGAGAGTAGGTCTTTTAGGGTTTGCAACCAAATGATCTCTAGGCACCTTCAGCAGACTCTTTGCAGGTGGTTATTAAGAACCCACTCTTCCAAACAATCTTAGAAGCAGAAATGTATTTGATGCTCCCACAAGGAATTGCAATTTTCTGTTCTAGTAGAGCTCATTGAATGCTTGAGGGCCTGAAATCTTGGCCCCTTAGAAAAGTGGGTGGTAATTAAAATCAAATTGTTCTTATTTTTCAATTGCCTCTGAGAGTAACAAAATGTATTTCTTTCATAACAGTGTCCCGGGCAAGGGAGGCTGCTTTGGATGCTCAGTTCCTAGTTTTGGCATCAAATCTAGGAAAGGAAAAAGCAAGCCAGTTGCACTCGGAGATGTCAGTGTTTGATCCATCTGAGTTTGCTGAAGATTTAGTAAGTTTGCAGCGATCAGTTTTGAAGTAATATAAAGTTGCTATGTTTAAGAGTTATTAAATAGGAGTTGGTTCCATAAATCACCATCACCACTATTTTTCCTGAATACCTACTGCACATTAGCAAAATTATTTCTTGTATAGATGTGAAAGGAAATAACAACTTTATGGTTGCAAGATAAGCACATTGTTGAGCACTTATACGAAGGTCCCAAATATACAAAGGTCCCAAATCCTGTAATATGAAATGCAAGATTCACATAGCTGGGTAGGACATACTCTGGGTTCAGAGGTAATACAAAATCATGGGCTGTTTTGCCAAACCATGGAGTTTTTTAAGTTTGTGAACAAAGACTGTTCACAAGCTGTGGCTTGTTTGGGACCAACAGACTGGGTTCTGAAACTGGTTTGTAATACAATTTGTGTTCAGTTCAGTTTAGGGCCGTTTATTTGTTCCAAGAGTATGTTACATGACCAAGAACTTGTGAAATTCGAGTTATAAACAGATGAGAGAAATAAGCAAACAAGCAGCTTAAAACCGTTGTGTACAGCTAGAAAGACAAACTCTGGTGTGTTCTTAACTATGGTTAACACAAACTATATCTGAACAGAGCCTCTGTGCTAAAGTCAAAATATAAATAAAAAATTTTCAGCAGCATACTTTTGGTTATGTGCAAAGAAAAGCTGACTTAGTTATGCTTAAACTTCCTAAATTATGCATATTTTGCTTGTTTATTTAGTCAGTATTTTTAATTTCTTAGTTATGGAGAGGACCAAGAAACTATGCAGGGTACTAGAGCTCTTTAAAAAAATTTAGAAGCCAGAATGAGAACTGAACACCAAGCATTGCCCACAAAGCTTCTGCTACAGGAACGAGAAACATGCTCCTTATTTTTAACATGACCTTTGGTTGGGGGCAACTAAACTCTGCCCAATACCATATTCTCCAGTCTTGCCACATTTGTATGGAATCCTACAATTCTCACAGTATTGTCATGACCCAAGTTGCTTGCGGCAGTAAGTTAAAATCTGTGTTATATTTCTAAATTAACGTCTTACATCAGGCAGGTGCCAGCGCTGTCACCATTTGTTACTAGGTACCCTTTGTGGTTCAGTTGAGCCAAATAAGGTTATATGTGCCATGTTGCCAGGGTATGTAGAAAGGATAAGGGTCTCCCTTGTCTTCACTAAGCTGATTACATCTGCAGACAGGAAGCTGGTGGGAGCAGTTCCTGGTAGGGAAAAGAACCAGAAAGGGTTCTGCCTCTGTTGACTTGGAGTCACAGGTTGTAATAGCTGGGACAGTGCAAATGGTTCACAACCTGCTGCAGGTCCAGTGTGTGGCTAGAATTGAATAGCCCTCAGTTTTAAAAATAAAACATTGATTTATTTATTTTTGAAGTTTAAGACTGTAAGGTAAGCCTGGCTGAGCCAGACGTAAGGATTTTTTAAATATAGCAGTTTGCTAAATTAGTAGCAAGTCTGTAGTAAGATTATGAGCGATACAACTGGGGTTTGACCCTCTATGTGCTTGGAATGGCCTCTGAGCATAAGATTCTATTAGATTCAATAGAATCTCATTTAAGTTTCTTTGTTATTTCCCTTCAAAGTTCTGACATATTTAACTTGATATTCCATTCACATATCTATTTCTAGAAAGTGGATTCATAGTTTTTGGTGACGTACATTTTTGCTACAGATGGGAAATGATACTGCAGTGTGTTTCGTTCACAGTTATCATTTATGGGTTTAAATCGCCTGGAAAGAGAAAATAGCGATAGCGAAGAAGAGCAGGCTGATGGTGGATTTTTGCCTAGTGATGCTTGGACTAAACTAGGTCAAGAAGCAATGAAGTATTTTAAAAGAGCACCCGTTTTCCATTGCATGTAAGTTTCTTTGAGGTTTCCTTCAACTTAACTGTGGCATGAGAAGCCTTGCAGGATTTACCCTGTAGAGAAGGGATTGGCAAAAACCCTGTTCGAGTACAAACCTTTGCAGAGTGCTGTCTGATCACATAGCCATGTGAACTCAACATTTGGTCCTCCTTTTCTGTCAGTGGCTGCTGCTGATCATCTGGAGATGGAGAGAAGCAGCAGCAGAGGCTTTTCACTGTCTTGTCCTTTCTGCCTTGCACCTTGAGGGGGTGCTGCACCAAATGTAGACAGGATGTTAACCAGGTAGCGCTGGAGAAAAGAGACTGATGGCTTTTGGACTGCAGCTACCTTTATTTTGAACTTTTCAGAATGAGAAGATAAAGTAGTATTTCCTGTTTCTATGCCCAGCTGCCATGGTTGTTCTTTACACACAGCTGTTTTATGAGGCCTTTTCTGTATTCCTTGGACTAGGAAGCATGTGTTCTCCAGAGATATGCTGGTACTCTGTCTTCACAAACCTGGACGTCAATTTTACCTCTCCACAGGCAACTCAGTGACACTGATTGCAAAATTAATCTCTCCAGATTCAGCATCAAATTCTTTCGAAATTTATGTTTCCACACACTTGCTTGCAGGAATCTTGAATTCAAGATTTAGATTAGGTCTTTGAAATGTTGCACATTTCATTTAGCTCAGTATTGTTCCTCTAGCTCAGTACCACTGATGCCAATGGCTGTCCAAGGTTTTAGACAGGGAACATTCCCAGCCCTACCTGGAGATGCCAGGGACTTTCTACACGCAGAGCCGATGTTCACCACTAAGCTATGGCTCTCCCACCCCTCCAAAAAATCAGGGACTTAACAATATTTTATTTGGTTTAGGTTGGGCACTTTTACTGCTGATCCTCCTGTCGAGAGGCCGCGAGTTGAGAGGCAACGAAAGAAGCCAGGATCAAAAGAAGAAGGAAGGGCAATGCCTGCACAGGTGTGTATGTGTAGAATCATAGGACTGTGGAATTGGAAGGGACCCAAGGGTCATCTAGTCCAACCCACTGCAATGCAAGTGTAAGCTACATGGAGCTTAAGGGTGCATGTTTAAGGCTGGAAAGAATTGATTGTAGTTCACAGTATAGTGACAAAACAGGACTCAGGCATAAATACATTGTTATTTATTTATTAAATTTCTGTACTGTTCTTCATCCAAGCATTACAGGGTGGTTTAGAATATAAAAATACAAATATATAACCTAGTAACTGTCAGTTTGCATTGCTTAGTGCCGAAAGTACTGATCTGATATGTAGAGATCTTTCCTAGAAGCTTCTCTGTGTGAGAGAAGCAGGCAAAAGGGTCATGATTGTTTGGGTTATACCTTCTGGGAAGCTGGTTTGAACTGGTTCTCTTATCTTTTCCAATTAAGGTCATGCTGACTGTTAATATAGGTCAGAAGGAGACTGGGTTTCTCTTTCTCTCTTCCTTCTGGTGAGGTGTTCTGTACATAGTATGCTTGGTGTTAAGTTTTAGTCTTGTTATAAGTTTATATTTTTTTGTAAGTGCTGCAAGTGGATTTTTTGTGGACTGTGCCAGTCCTGAATGTATTTGAATTGGTGACCATTAGGCTCATTTGCCTTCAGTGCAAAGCTCTGCTGGATGAAGTACTATTGCCTCTGATCTATTTTTGGGAACTCTGCTACTTGTTTTAAGGTTTTCCTCCACGTGTATGACACTAACAAACAAAAAACACTGTCCCAGTTTAAAAGGCCATAGATTGTTCAATTAGCCGAAGGCCTGGAAGAAGGGGAATGTTTTCACCTTTTGCCTAAAATATATAATGAAAGCGCCCAGTGGACCTTCCTGGAGATGTTGATTGCTGGAGCGGGGTTAACAGCCCTTGAGCTGTTGCAGTCCTGAGACATTTAAGGCTTTATAGGTCAAAACCAGCACTTGGACCCAGAAACTAATTGGCAGTCGGGCCAGCATCGGCACTCTATGCTCAAACCGTCTTGCCCCAGTGAGCAAAAAGTGGCTGCTGAATTCTGCATCAGCTGAAGTTTCCATACTGTCTTCAGAGGCAGCGCCACGTATCATGTGTTGCAGGGTAATCTAACCTAGAGGTTACCAAGAACATAGAAGTTAGGCTGCTCCTTTCCAGATAGGGGCACAGCTGGGCCACCAGCTATAGCTGATGGAAGGCACTACATATTACATATGTAGCCCACTTTTCTCAAAGAAACCTTAGGTGTATGGGTCTTGACTATTTTATCCTCAAAATAACCTTGCCAGATAGGTTAAATTGAGAGGTGGTGACTGGCCCAAAGTCACCCCATGACTTTCTCGACAGTGTAGGAATTTCAACCTCATCTCTCCAACCACTCTGAAATCACCATAGCCATAAGCAGGCAACAGAGGTACCTTTTGCAAATTTATAACCCAGTGTGAAAGGCTGCTTTTTGTTCAGAAGCACAGAACCATCTTATTAGAGCAGGGTGTGATGTGAGGTTTTTTCCTACGTTGATATGATGTGCATTCAAGGAAAAAAATGTATTGTTGAAGTGGAAGGTAGCTTCTAATACAGTGGAACCTCAGGTTGCAAATGTGATCCATGCGGGAGGCACGATCGCAAACTGCAGCGCCAAAATCCTGTAACCTGAAGCGTCTGTAACCCGAGGTACCACTGTATTGCAGTTTGTAAGCAGGCATAAAACTCCTTTAAACCACCACTGAAAACTTGCTTTTCAATTTGGTCTGTTAGTGAGCTCTCTGTAGTTCTCTCCCAATAGTTTCCTTGTACATTAGTAGTATGACTTAAAAGTCATGTCTCAGTTGGAACATACATTCCCCCCCCCCACCTTTGGGACACTGGAATACTGCAGCTTGAGCAAAACTTCGACATACCTAAATGTTTAAGCTACACACTCACACTCTCTCTCTCTATATATATTACAGTTGTACCTTGGTTGGCGAACGGAATCCATTCCGGAAGTCCGTTTGACTTTTACAAATATTCAAAAACCAAGGCGCAGCGCGCCTTCCCGCTATCCCCCACCTGTTTTGAAGGCTGGCGGTGGGGAGAAGCCCCACAAGCTCGAGGAACAGCGGGGAGGCGCCCAGGCTTAGCTTCGCGCAGCTCTCCGCAAGCCGTGGGAGCCCAGCGCTGGGCTCCCACGGCTTGCGGAGATCTGCCTCTTCTGGGGGCTGGGGTCGGGGGAAGCTCGGGCTTCCCCCGCCCCAGCCCGGCGCCTGGGGAAAAAATAATTTCCCCCTTTATTCCCCCAAATTAGGTGCGTCCTATAGGGCGAAAAATACGGTATCTACTTGTATCTTGTAGATATTGATGTAGATCTTTCATTTGACCTTAGGAGCGCACAAAATAATACAGCTGACTTTAATAAGAGTTATAGAATTTTAATTTCCTTGCCATAAGTGCAAAATATTATGGGGGAACTGGAGAATGCTGATTACAGTGCAGCTGCGTGAATGATAGCTTGCTGTCTTGTTGGGTTCTTTAGTTGAACAAAATGGAAGAATCTCATGAGGAAGCTACAGAAAAAGAAGTAGAGAGGATCTTGGGACTCTTACAAGCCTATCACAGAGAAGATCGTAAGTATAAATGGAACATATTGCGGGGTCCAGTTTCTCTCTTCTGCCTCCTTTAAGAATAAGTGTGGAGGAGGAGGGGAATGCAGCACTTAATCCTTTTCTACTGATGCGTGAAGGTACAACATTGGAAATTGAAATGTCTGTGTCTATAGCCTTGCTTTTTGTTACCTACTTAATTTCTCAGGTGTTATTTCTGGAATCTTATTCACCTAGTAAATTGCTTTGCCACCATCAATTTTCAAGTGGTCCATGAGGAAAAAAGTTTGGGGACCACTGCTCTCAATCAATGCAGGATCTGCAATGGAAAAGAGCAAATATGAAATTAAAATAGATCTCTCCAGAATTTTAGATGTGCATGAATTGCTACCTAATGAGAGTTTAAAGGAAGCAAGAGAGGAGGTAGATAAGAGGTAGCTAATTGTAGCAGTAACGACAAAGCCACATTCTTCTTTCTGTAGCTAATAATCCAATATCCTTCCTTGAGTTTGTGACTGATCCAGATTCTTTTGCACGAACTGTGGAAAACATGTTTCACGTTTCATTCTTAATAAGGGTAAGGAGAAACTTTTTGAAGCTTTATTTTGTCACTAACAAGCTGGTTTTATTTTCATACTTCCATGATTGCCATTGTTGTACTTAATTTTCTTGGAGGCAGAATTGCGAAGAAGCAGAGGACTTGCAAGTTTCTTTCTCACAGGGCTGTTAGTTAGCTAATTCGCACCATAGCCATGTATGATTAACAAATAGTTCATATGAACATAACCTGAAATTAGTCTTCCTTAACCTGCCTTGGAATCCTCCAGATGTTAGGCTACAACTCCTGCTGTTTCTGACCACTGGCTATGCTGGTTGGAGCTGGTAGTCCAAAATAGCAAGAAGGCACCGGCTGGAAAGACTTGAGTGAAAACGTTTGAGCCTAGTACCTGTGCTGTGTCATTGATAATCCCAGCTACAGAACACCTCTAACTTTGTCCACGTTGAAAATTTTGCACTTTAAAAAGTGGGCCAAGAGAACTCTATGGATCCTCCCCTCTGATGTGCAAACTTTTACATAAATTTCTGCATAGTTTCTCTGCTGGTTATAACTGTTTAAACAACTTCTATAAAATGAAGCATTTCCAAAATTTGCTGTGTAAGCCTGGCTTAAATCAAAGTTGTCAAAGTCAATAAAAAATAAAAATAAACAGCTTATATTTATGGGTTGCTGACAGATGCATGCAATTCTTTACTGCAATTTGTGTGTAATTTTTGTGCGGGTGGGGAGGAACTGCGTGCTCCTGGTCCCAATATCCTGTTTGATATGTAATCTTGAACCATGTGTCTGAATCTGCTTTCTCCCGATCATTATATGGGTTTAGAATTCAAAACTTGAAAACCATAGGGAACATGGCCTGATCCTTAAAATCTTTTGAAAAATGGGAAATCCTGTCTTGTTCTCAGTAACCATAGTTCAAACAAATCTACTTTAAAATGGGGAATAAAAAAGGGAATGGGGGTGCGGTGGGGACGACAAATTATTATGAGGCTTCCTGTGGCTCATTCTCGTAGCAGGAAATCATGATTTCTCATTATGTCTGAACTTTGCAGGTGAATGTCAATTTTCAGATTCTTGCATATAAGTTAAGCATATTTGATTCTTGTTAGTAATTAAAGTTGTTTCTCTTCTAGGATGGACTTGCAGGGATAAAGCTGGATCAGGATAAGCTTCCTGTAATAGGCAAGAATAATTTTAAAGATTTTTTTTTAAAAAAAACCAAACACTAAAGTTAACTAAACTTACATACATGTATGTTTTACTTTGGAATATATATATTTTTTCATTTTCAAAAAACATTTCAACAATTTTCAACCTATTTTGATAGAGCCTTTGACGCCTGAAGAAGACAATGACGAGGATGCTCAAGCACGGAAACAAGCAGTCATAACGATGAGTTATCAAGAATGGGAGGTAAATGGAAATGTTAAATAAGCGAAGTAGTCAGAGGAAGAATATTTTTATTGGCCAGAGATACATGTTGGGTAACAATTCTGCAATTATGGACCTCATATGTTTAATGGATGCTGGGAGAAAAGGCAGAGAGCTTATTGTGAATGTGCTTGTTATATACACAAGAGGATGAATTGAACTGATAACATTACAATCAAACTCTTTGCTGCAGAATATTGTGAGGAATTTTGAGATTTCACAGCCCATGATTCCACCTGCCAGAAAGACTGGGACATCAGATGGAAACGGAGAGAATGTAAGATGCCTTTCAGGCATAAATCTTACCACAGAATCATTTTATGCTATTTCCAGTGTGATTCTTCCCTTTATGTACAGACTAGAGGCTACGCTGCTTGGTTGCTTTGCTTCCCTTCACTCGCCAACCCCATTCCACTTAGACCTCCTCCTGCCTCTTCCGCTCATGCTGCCCTCCTCACCCCAAAACCATTTCAGCCTTTGCATCAGAGTCCAAGGAGGAGGGAAGTGGTAGGCGTTGGCAGAGCAGAATAGTTGCTGTACAGTTGCCTTGTCCTGCCTTCCTTTGCGACTTGCCTGAGCTGCCAGCCTCTGTCTCCCTCCTCCATATCCCTCACATTCTCCCTCTGACACTGCTGAGGTTAAAATGGCATCATTGGTGTGAGGTGGGCAATGGCGGCAGCAGCAGAGTAAGGTTGTTGCTGGGGCACTTCACCAGCCTGTCTTGATAGTACTTGCACGGTTCTCCTGGGTCACCCACCTACCTGTATTTGCTACATCCTCCCTCCTCTGCTTCCCTTCTACTTGCCCTCCAAAGCGGCTGTTGACCAGCAGCTCTCATAATTCTATCGCCACCTATCAGCAGCCAAGCGAACTGCACCATTATGACAGCCTTACTTTTTTATTATATTTGAAGACATAACAAAGCTTACTTTGTAGTGGTTTGTGTTCTATTTATTATGCAGGCATCCTAAGGATCTATAAGAAGACAGTGCTGACCAGTTCCCTGTTTGAAGTTTTCCAGGAGGATGACAGAATCCTTTTCTATTTAAGGATCAGATATTTGAATAGGAGAATCTCTGTCTCTCCAGGTGATAACGTATTATATAATAAGTTTTAAATTGAAGGTTCTGCCCTTCTGTATGTCCGTTCTGTAAGTGATGTTTTTACATGTTTCAACTTCATTCCATTGAAGATTTAGAATGGCTCCATCCCAGCTCTTTTTGAGGGATGGTCCCATTGTAATCTGCACAGTGTTAAGTACATGTTAATTGCAAATGAGCCTTTGGTATAAAACAAAGAGATTGGTGTTTGCTTAGCCACATCAGATTCTGAATTCCATCATCTATATATGATGATGGGGAGAAGGGAAAAAGTTTAGAAATGGAAAGCTTAGAAGAGAGCATGATACATGTATCTTTCTGCATGATAAAACCTCCACAGCTGGCTGAATGAGTGCATCAAGGTCTGTTTCCATTGAAACTGCTTCAATAGCAAGTTTCCTGTACATCTCAAAATAGATATACATATGCATTTGCGTTGTGCTCTATGAAGGCTACTTCTGATGAAGGGAAGAAGGAAGTGGCATGTCCGAGAAACAACTCTGGGGGGGATATCGTTATTTTTCTAATGGCAGAGTTTGCATGTAACGCAAAGCTCAAACTATGGTTTGAACGAGCAAGCATACTGGTGTGCATTCAGAAAATTGTGGCTGCTTTGCTCATCCCCTGATGACATGGCTTGTCATGCTACTTGAAGCTAAGCCATGGTCAGACTTAGCATTATGTTGGAGCCTTGGCTCGTGGTTTGCTTCTCTTCAAGAAAAGCATGAACCAGTAAGCTAAGGACAAGTCTTGGTTACAGCTTGTGGAGTGAAACAAGCATGGTTTTCTAAACTTGTACCAATGTGACTGATAGTTTATAAGCCAAATTATGACATGCAAACAAAGTCATAGAATGTAATAACATGGAAGTTTGCTTTGAAAAATTTTTTGTATGTTACATATATTGCTTATATTGTAGTGTAACTTAGTTGTCCTTCAGCCTATAGTAGCCTCCCTTCCACATGCATACAACTACCCATATTTGTAGACAAATGTGCCTTAAAGTCTAAAAGAATCAAGAAGATCCATTTGGATTATCGGTTTTGGGGTAACCATGTATTCCTGGAGCTGCCTTGTTTTATGGGCCACAGAACTTGCTGTCTTTTTAAAGAACTTTTAAAAGAACTAGTTGGTTTCAACTACATGAAAATCAAAGCAAAGTGATAATTCAAGATTATATGAAAGGGGTCTTGGAACAGAATACAAAGGCATAGATGTAAAACCAAATTGTACTATATATTAGATTTGAATTTATGCAATATTTTTCTACAAACTGTGCTGAAAACAGTAAGATACAACAGCCATAACAATTCATTCAGAAATAGATTGGCAAGTATTGTTTATAAATTGTACGGTTCAGTTTCCTTATGTTAAGAATATTCAATAAAACCACAAATGCTGTATCTCTTCTAGTTACGTGTGTGTAATTTTTCTAGTTACGTGTGTGTAATTTTTCTAGTTACGTGTGTGTAATTTTTCTAGTTACATCAGTTGCCAACTGCTAACTCGCATGCTGGTGAGGTGATAGTAATGTTAATTGTAACCTAGCTTTAATACCAACATTATAGTAGGAATATAGGCCAATGTACCAAGTAGCAACTTGTGTTCGTGAATATGAAAGGATAGTCATCTCTAACCATTAGCCTGTGGTAGGAGAATTATATAACTTCTGTGGATTTCTCTGTGCAGGAGCTTAGTAAAATTCTTACTTAGTTCATTGCATGTGCAGTGGGCCAGGGGGAACTTAATACTGGCCTAATATGAGCCCCTCTGTCACCAGCCTCCATAATATGGACTTAATCACTTATGTGCATACATCTAACCCGTATCCTGTAGTAGTAAAAGGTAAAGGGACCCCTGACCATTAGGTCCAGTCGTGGCCGACTCTGGGGTTGTGGCGCTCATCTTGCTTTATTGGCCAAGGGAGCAGGCGTACAGCTTCCAGGTCATGTGGCCAGCATGACTAAGCCGCTTCTGGCGAACCAGAGCAGCGCATGGAAACGCCGTTTACCTTCCCGCCAGAGCAGTACCTATTTATCTACTTGCACTTTGACGTGCTTTCGAACTGCTAGGTTGGCAGGAGCAGGGACCGAGCAACAGGAGCTCACCCCGTCACGGGGATTTGAACCGCCGACCTTCTGATCGGCAAGTCCTAGACTTTGTGGTTTAACCCACAGCGCCACCCGTGTCCTGTAGTAGGGTCATATCAATTTATTTCTCATGCCCACCCCACCTGGAAACCTGCAGGACAATGAAGACTTAAATCTAAGGTGAGGTGAAGGAAACATGGCAAGACTGTCTCATCCAGTGCCCTGCCAGGCTCATGCCTACAGGGCAGAACAGTGCTGCTCTCGTCTAGGCCTTTTCCATGATTTTTTTAAAAATTGCTATTGGTTTTTTGTTTGCTTTACTCCCTTTGACAATTAATCTCCAACCCTGGCATAGTCTCTTTTCCCACCCCCCAGTTTGGGGAACTAGTAGGGAATTGGGAAAGCTCTATTGCTACTGCATTCCTTCATATCAGGGCTGTGGGGACATTTCTGTGGCAGCTGGAACAGAGACCTTTGAGTTCAGATTTATCTGGCCTGAGAGAGAAATCAGATGGTGCTTTATGGCCCTTGGAATGTCATCCTAGGAACTAGAGAACTGAAGGATGAATGTATTTGTTAGAATCTATATATTTCTGCACTCAAGAAGAGCAGAGTTTTAAGGAACTATCCTTCCTTCTAGTGTGATGGTGGAAATTAGTACAATATTAAAATACTGGATTGTATTGTTTAAACAGCTGCCGTTGTTACCAGCAAATGATGGTCTGAAGGCAGAATAAATGCTGATCTGGTCCTTATTCTTCCATTAAGTGTTTAGGTTGGCAAGTGTTATTGGCTATAGTTGCCTAAATGGCTCAACTTTAAGCTTCTAGTTTTCTTTTCCCTCTTATGTGGTAGTGGCAGATGCCTATAGCAGTAAAAGACTTTAATGTAAGTGATTGGTGTACCAGCATTTCTGTCCAGAAACAAAAGGAGGAAGGCACATGTTCTCTCAGGTTTCGTGTGCGAAAAATTAATATAAGAATGTTTTTTAATGTGTAAGAGCAAGCTATTTGTCATTCTGCCCCTTGTCAGCAGGCATTTTCACATGCTAGTGAGCCCTGGATTTGGGCTAGGAGAGGAGTTTGGGAGAGAGAATTTCGTTAAATTGCAGCAAATCTAGTGTTTTGCACACTGACTTCTGGTTATGAGTCCAAAGCAGGTGGCCACCCTACTTACGCCCTCCAGATGTTGCTGGACTCCCAACTCCCTTTAGCCCCAGCAAATGTAGCCAGTGGTCAGGGATAATGGGAGACGGAAGTCCCAACAACATTTAGAGGGCCACTTGTTGCACATCCCTGTATTAGCAGTCGGCTGTTGAAAGCTGGGGCTCTGAAAAGGGACATTCCAGTGCAAGCGCGGCAGTTTCCTACCCAGAAAGCAAGAGGCACGTGCTTCGAGGTGGGGAGAGAGCGCTCGTGTTTAGCAGGCGATGGTGCTCCTAGTGCCGCATCCTCGGGGGCTGAAGCTCATTATTTGGGGTGGGTGGAACAGGTGAAGGGCAAGGGAGGGGGAGAAGCGTGCCAAAACGATCGCAAGGTGGAGCAGGTGGCTCAAGGTGCTCCGATCACCCCTCCTCTGCCAACGAGGCATCGTAGCGCAAGCAGCTCGGAGCAGCTTCCCCGCAAGGACCGGCTGGGCATCATGGACTCCGTCGTGGCCTACGAAGGGACGAGAGAGGGCTACCGGTGCGGCTACTGTCACTCTGCCGGGGGGAAAGCAAGCCACGGTAAGAGCTGGGGGGTGGAATAACAACTTCAGGAAGGCCCTAACTAAGGCGGGGGGGGCGGGGCGGGGAAGGTAGGCGCCGATGTGCCTGCAGAGGAAATCCCCGACTACGTAGCAACGGCTGCCAGCAGCACACCTGTCGCGGGTGCATTTTTCTCTCCGCCGCTGTTACTTAACGCCCTTCCCTCAGCAAAGATGGCGGAACTGGCACGCCCTGTCCGTCGCTTTTATGGAGCCCGGCGCCGGTCGCCCTGCTCTCCGCCTGGGAATACAGTAAATGGCGGCGTTCGTGTTGAGACTTTTCCTGTCCTCGCTGCTGCCGGCCGCCTTCCTCGCGAGAACCAGGGAGTGCCGCGCAGCCCTTGCATTTGCTCCCCCCCCCCCCCCCTGTTAGCAGCCTCCCAGCCGAGGAGCAGCAGTAGCACAAGTGAAAACTCGAGATAAGGCAAGGGCTCCTTCGTCCTTCCAGCTTTGAAACAAACCTTCAAGGCTCTTGGCTCCAAAAAAAGTTGGTTTTTTTGGACAGAGCTTCGGAGCTTTTGAATGGGGAAACGTAGTTGGGCGAGGAGGAAATTAAGAGAAATGAAGCCCGCGAAAAGGAGGCGTTTAGAGCTCTAGTCTAGCCTAATACCCGTTTGCTCAGAAGTAAGGCTCTTGCAAATGGGTAAACCCCACTGAGCACACCGTTTAGTCCCGCACAAACAGTGGGATTTACACCAAAATAAACTTGTGCGAAAGTGAAGCTCGGCTGAGCTCAGTGCGACTTGCTGCTGATGAACCTGCATAGTTGTTTTGTCGTCTATGAGTTTCGTGCGACGTTTTAAAATGTCAGAAAGCCGTAAAAAATTGGAAACCTGAGCACTCTAGTCCTCCCTCCTCAGTATGGCGGCAGTCTCTGCTTAAAAGCGAGTCCCGCTGAGTGGGTAGAGAGGGCTGCAGCTTCAGTAATGTTTATCCCACTGACATAATTTAAAGGAGTAGTTTGCTCATTAATCAGATTGTATGAGGATAGGGAAAAATTGGCTAGGCAGTTAGACAAAACGGAAGGGAAGGGTATACTTGGCCCCGGAGCTCTGGAGCAGATGTTGTAATTATTTTAATAGTTTATATGTTACTTCCCCAATGCCTGGAGTGACTTCAAGTGGAAATAAAGCTGTCGTCCTATGTTTCTTTACCTGGGGAATCTCATTCTACACAGTGGGATTGATGCCCAAATAAACAAGCACAGTGTGCAAGATGTATGCACGATACCTACACAACTGTCAGAACTGAGAATTCACTGGCTGCATTAGCGACACAGTATCGAGCTATTTCTGAGGAAATTTACAATGCCTTCCAAAGGCTGCATAGCAGGCAGCAAAGTGAACAAAACAGGTGAATGATTCTCCCATCATTTCATCTCCATCTGTTGAATTTCTGTTTGCCACGATGGTTTTAAAGAAGAAGAAAAACCCAAAACCGTGCCAGAAAAAGAAACGATATCTATGTCTAAAGGGTTTTTTTTAAGGCAGAGGATACGATAAACTTAAACCCGCTGCAACTAATAAGAAACCTGTCCCTTTAAGACGCAGTATTTACCTTTGATGCCTCTTTTTTTTTTGGCCCCGCACATGGAAGATGCGAAGCTGTGCGATGGGCTCCCGGAAGTCGCGACAGAAAGCGAGGGAGACTGGAGCCCTCTCCCTGCTCCACCCAAACTTTTGCCCTTTGCTAAGATGGCGGCCGCCGGCGCTGCTGCCGCTGCTTCCCGGGGCCCCTGAAGGGTTTGTGGCACCCTAAGCCGGCCGGCAAAGATGGCGGCGGCGGGGGGGAGTAGTTCCCCAAGTATCGTGGAGTACCTGGGCGGAGACGACGGCTACCGCTGCGGCTACTGCAAGAGCGACACCGGCAACCTCTCCCACGGTTAGGGTCCCGAGGGCGGGGAGAAGCAGCAGAGGAAGGGAGGGCGCTGCGCGCGTGTCTCCCTTTCCTTAAAACTACCTTTTAAAGTAATAAGAGCAGAGCGCCAGATGCATGGAAAGTGCGCATGGGCTGAGCTGGGCCTTGGCTCTGGGGGGTCCGAAATGATTCACTTTCCTTGCAGACCCTTGGAAGTCTAGGCGGGTTGGTGTTCACCTAAGTTCCTGCCACCTCCTAGCTATGGTGAAGAAGCGAGGCGGGGTGGGGGGCTTAATGAAACCCACAAGCCCACTTTCTGGGTACCCCACTTCCTTCTAGGGCAGTAGCTGAGGGGCTGTCACAAGGAGATAAGGTAAGGGGGTGGGTTACCCCTTTCAGGCCTCGCTTGAAAAGCCAGGGACTGCTGTGCAATCTGGAGGATTGCAGCAGGGATTGGGAAGGGACACACACACACACACACACACACCTACACCTGCATCCAAAATCCAAACGTGTTAATGGTATAAAGCAGTGGTTCCCAACCTTTTTTCTTTTTCTGCTATGCCCCACCTAAGCATCTCTAAAATCCTGATTCTGCCCCCCTCCCCGACATATAATTCTTATTATAAAAAAAGTGAACTCTTCATGTGGAGGAAGCCTAAAAGGCTTGGTCTAATGCATTCTCAAATTGCCCCCCTTAAAAATCAAATTGCCCCCCACGTAGGGAATGTGCCCCACGTAGGGAACCACGGGTGTAAACTTTCATGAACTCAGCCTTCTTCATAAAAATGGTTGGTAGTTAGTTACTGTCCTCTCTCTGGATCCTTTATTTGCTACCCACTCCCTTCCCTGTTTTGTGTTTTGTTTTGGCTCTCAGAACTAGGAAGAACCACGGGGACAGTACAAAAGGCCTGGCAATGTGACTGCTGAGAGGGTTAAAGCAGAGAAGGCAGGCTTCACTAATGTGGAGAGTGGCTAGCTTGGACTGCCTCTTAGCAGCTGCTAAGCAGTGCAGGGGTTTCTTTTGAGCTCACAGTCCTCCTCTACACAAAATATTTGTTCTCCAAGCTCTTTTCATTTTGGCTGCCTAATTGGGAAGGGGAAGTCATGTTGTTGTTGTTAAAAGAATAGGGTGTCACAAATCCCTGTTGATCTACAGCTACTCGCCCAGAGATAGTAATAGGCTCTCTGCTGTGTTAAAGAGCAATATTGTGGGTGTGAGCAGGAACTAATGAAAAACTGACAGTAGAGGAGGAGGTTCAATATTTTTGAGGAAAGAAATGGGTTTTGTTGCAAAGAGGCAAAGGGTGGGACAGTAAGGAACAATGGGACAGAATAAATGGTGGGCGAATAAACACAGAGCTAGATTTGGCAGAGTTACTGAATGCCTGTGAGACAGAAGGAGCAGATAGAGGTGAATGTGACATGTCAAAGCAGGACAAGGAGAACCTGTTGCTAATGCAGATAGGACCATTTCTCTTAAGCATTGACTTGGGGAGAGTAATGGTGGGAAAAGCTAATGGAGCGTAGTAAATTAGATTGGTCAGTGGGATTGGGGTAGAGACTAAATATAGGGTGTTGAAGTGTTGGGTGGATGTAGCAAAACTAGTGAGGAATGTGGATTTTAAGGTTCATCACAAAGTTTTAATTTTGTTTTTAAAAAATTTCAGCAGTGTTTTTTTTTAATAAGGTTTTGTGTTGCAAAGAAATACAGGAAGCAGTAGCTTTCCACAGGAACTGGCTTTGTTCCCATTATTTGAAGTGAAGTTTTTATTTCCCCCCCCTCCCTCATGTCTTGTTTGATGTGTGTTTCAGGCATGTGGGCTCATTCACTGACTGTCCAAGATTACCAAGATCTTATCGACAGAGGTTGGCGAAGGTAAGAAATGCCATCTGAGCACTGTTGGTGTAACTGAATCCAGTGTTTCAATATTAAAGAGCATATTGTGGAATTCAAACTGCTGCCTTTTATTGTAAAAATATATAAGATCATAAACTTCACATTGTACCATGAGGAAACTGAAAGGGAAAGTGTTTTCAAGTCATGCTAGCAAAGTGCTGCCCTGCTTGTGCTTCTTCAGTCTTAGCTTCTCACTCCTCCTCACAGAAAATATATGGCAGTGTCTATTTCTACAGTGGTGCCTCGCAAGACGAAATTAATCCGTTCCGCGAGAGTCTTCGTCTAGCGGTTTTTTCGTCTTGCGAAGCAACCCTATTAGCGGCTTAACGGATTAGCGCTATTAGTGGTTTAGCGGCTATTAAAGGCTTAAAGGCTTAGCGGATTAGCTGCTAAAAGGCTATTAAAGGCTATTAAAGGCTTAGCGGATTAGATAAAGGGGGGGGAAGCGGAAAAAAAATCTCAAGACTCGCAAGACATTTTCGTCTTGCGAAGCAAGCCCATAGGGAAATTCGTCCTGCGAAGCAACTCAAAAACGGAAAACCCTTTCGTCTAGCGGGTTTTCCGTCTTGCGAGGCATTCGTCTTGCGGGGCACCACTGTATTGGGGAAAGAGTGTAGACTTATCCCTAGTTAACCTGGTTTGGAGGACCTACTTAACTTTTGTGCCTATGTGGCCTTCAGCTCAGGTATAGTATTCTTCCAGATATTGCTACACTCAAACCCCCACCATCCTTGGTCATTGGCCATGTTGGCTGGGAGTTAGACTACATCCTCGAGCATCTAGAGGTCAGCAGGTTTTAGTGGTAATGAAGGAAGAAGTGGGGCATTTGCTATGGAGAGAGACTTGAGAAGGCAAGGAGACAGTGCATAATTCTGCAGCCCCTTTACGGTCTCTTTCATCATAAGCATAAACTTCAGTTTGGCCCTTCAAGAGCTCCCATGCCATGAGTGAGTTAATTTCATTTCCTGCTCTTTTTCTGTTTTGTTGCAATACCTATACCAACTGTAACTTGTATACTATCAGAAAAGTTCTCCATTTGTGAATAGGGGACAACTTGACTTCCTTCTAAGAGAAGTCTTTTATTAGGACCAGTAGCCCATTTGAAGTGCTCCATTTAAAACTAAGCGTCACCTAAAGTGATCATTATTCTGGTAGATCTTGGTGCAAGAAATTGACTAGCAATACCTTCTTGAAAAGAGGGGCTCTAGACTTGAGTGGACCTTTTCAGAAGAGCTGGGGCCCGTGTTCCATCTGGCCTATGTGGAGACTCCCACCTTTAGTAGATATATGTCTAGTACTTCTCAGCAGAAGACTTCCAGGCGTGGGTCCAGTCTTCTGAGTCCCAGAAGGCCAGCAGTCATAGTGCAATAACTCCAGAATGCCGCTGCATTGCACATCGCCAAGAGACGAGCTAATTGCTTTGGATGGTTATGATCATGTGCCTCGGAGAGCATTTGGAAAGTGGGGTATACATTTCTTAAATAAATATGTAACGACAGTTTAAATACAGTGGTCTCAGACTGGTTTGCGCATAATGCCAAACCCTGGTTTAGTGCATTGTTCTTTAACAAGACTACAATTCCCATAATCCCTGACCATTGACCATGCTGGGTGGGACTCGTGAGCATAGATTAGCATTATGCGTGACCCAGGAATCATAGTTTAAACAAATAAGTTATTTAAACCTTATAATTAAGTTATTTAAACCTTATAATTCATGGCTATTCTAAGAACTAAACATACATTTAGATAGTTATTTTTTTAAACTTATAGGAGTGGGAAATACATTTACAAGCCTATTATGAATCGTACGTGTTGTCCTCAATATACAATAAGGTAAGGCAATACTTCTTTATATTTTCTTGAATGTCGACATATAGACAGATTCGGATATCTGCTTAATATCAATATTAATGGGAAATGGTGACTCGTGATGTCATTCAGCTATGAAGCAGGTTGCTGTGAGGGTAAACAGTTTATTATGAGCAAGCAGGTTGGAACCCTGTGCATAAAATGCTTTTAGTTGTACTTGTACTGTTGTAAAGAACCTTGCTGAAATATCAGAGTAATTTGTACATTGCAAGACTTTGAAACTGTGTGTTCTGCTGGGCTTTAATTCCATGTAAAAATATCAGAGTAATTTGTACATTGCAAGACTTTGAAACTGTGTGTTCTGCTGGGCTTTAATTCCATGTAACTTCTCAGCCCATTTTAGCGAATGCGGGTGATTAAATGTTAATGTTGTCATAATTCCAAACATCCACAGAAATATCAAAAGAGCATTACTAGCCGCTAATTAATGTGGTATCGTTAACAAAGCCTAAACTGTTCCATGGAACCTAGACTACATGACTAATTGATAACATACATATCAAATTTTTGTTTAATATACTATACTATTTGGCGGATACCTTGACTATATTCCCTTTTTCTTTTTTTAGATGCCGGGCCTTACATTTCCAGCCTTCCAAATCACATAAGAAGGTTCTAAAGAAGATGTTGAAATTCTTAATGAAGGGGGAAATTCCTGTAGTAGACAGTGAAGGTAATAAGCGGTCTTTTAAACATTACTTACTGTTGTGGTTTTGTGCAGTTGAAATTGTTGTGCAATTAAATTTCTTTTTTACTTAGATCAATAGGTCAATGGCGTGTAAATTATATAGAACTGTAGCTGTCTTTTAAATTTTAATTACCGGTATTACTGTTATATAGTCTTTTTTATCAGCTGTCCTTTCTCTTTTGCTCATGGTTTGTCCTAATTTTTTTCCTATTTACAGTGGAGCCTATGGATTCTCACACCAAAGATACTGATGGCTGCAGTTTTTTCTTAAAAGACGAACCAGGCAGCTGTCAGGCTGAACTAAAACCGCTCAGTCCTGATCATTTGGAGAAGGTGGAGAGTGGGGAAGGAGAAATAACTGTGAAGAAAGCAGACTCAGAGCATATTGAATTGTCTCATGAGAAAGTTAATGCCAATTATGGGGAGCCGTTGGAGTCAGCTAAAGTTAGTCCCGCAGTTCCCAAACCAGGTAACTAATCTTTAATATAAGAAGATGGCAAGATAGCTTTGCACCTTCTTTTTTTCTCTTCCCTGTTTGTCCTGTGCGATTTCCAGAAATTGCAGATGGTTCAGAGTTCAGCGGCCAGGTTGCTCACTGGATCAAGACAGCCTGAGTATATAACACCAATCCTGTGCTGACTGCACTGGCTTAACAGTTAGTTTCTGGGCCCAATTCAAAGTCCTACTTTTGACCTATAAAGCTTTATGTGGCTCAGGACCCCAGTACTTCAAGGGCTGCCTCTCCCCATATGAGCAGACTAGGACACTTCAATCATCATCTCAGGCCCTTCTTCATGTGCCCACAGGAAGTCTGGAGGCTGGTGACATGAGAACAGGACTTTTTTGTTGTGGCTCCCTGCTTGTGGAAGGCTCTCTCTAGGGTGGCTCACTGTCTTCAGGAGCCCATCAAAATCATTTTTCTCCACAACCAGGAATTAATTAATTTATCAGTAGCCTCTTTTAGTGGGTGGGGTGTTTTAATCCTGCATTTTAAAAATATGAATGTGTTCTAGATTTTTCCGTTTTGTTTCGTGCTGGTTCTAATGCACATGCAGAAACCACCTTCTTGACTGTTGGCCCCGCTTTGAGTTACTTTTGCAAAAAAACAGGGGGATGGGACTAATGAGTGGCTTACAAATATAGTATTATAACTTTATACACAAGTAGGAAATTCTTTGTGCTGCTTAACCTTACAAGTGATGAGTACAAGTGTTATGGGCAAGGCAGACATATACAGTGGTACCTTGGTTCTCAAACTTAATCTGTTCCGGAAGTCCATTCCAAAACCAAAGTGTTCCAATACCAAGGCATGCTTTCCCATAGAAAGTAATGCAAAACGGATTAATCCGTTCCAGACTTTTAAAAACAACCCCTAAAACAGCAGTTTAACATGAATTTTACTAATGAGACCATTGATCCATAAAATGAAAGCAATAATCAATGTACTGTACTATAAAATAAATAAGACACTATTGTAGGTGATAAAAATAAAAATTATTATTTTTTCGTTACCTGCACTCATGATAGTCATTGTTTGAATGGGGCACTTTTATCTATTTCCGCAGTCACGCAATCAATCAATCAATCAATCAGTAGCTGAACTGGGTTCCACACAGTCACAAAAACAAATTAACCAAAAAAGCCTCAAAAACACAAAATAAATAGCAAAAACAAAAGCGCCAAACTTAATCCGTTCTGGAAGTCCTTTTGACTTCCAAAATGTTTGAAAACCAAGCCGCAGCTTCTGATTGGTGCAGACGCCCTGGAAACAATAGCTGATAGCCAAATCGGCCGTACGGCTTCCAAAAAATGTTTGAAAACTGGAACACTTACTTTTGGAATTTATGAACCAAGGCTTTTGAGTACCAAGGCGTTTAAGAACCAAGGTACCACTGTACTAAAAAACAAGCAGTACATACATTTTGAGTAGACAGTAGTTGGAACAGATAAGCAAGGAAGAGGGAGGGAGGGAGGAGAGAAGGCCATTGCTATGCCATATGAGTTACTTAGGCAGAATAGCTGTTGTTTAGGAATGTTTAAAGTGTAAATAGTGCTGTGCCTTTTACCCAGCTGGCCACTTTCCTCTCTGGCAAAGGGGACGTCATGTGGCATTGCATTCTGGTGCTAAATAAATGCCTGTTAATTGATCTGACTGGTGTTTGGTGTTGATTGGAGCATCCAGGCAAACCCACAGGGATACTGGGGATCACCCTGGTATTTTCCCCAATGCAAGCACAATAATAAAATGTAGCTGGAGTGTCAGAAGAGGATTACATTTTTGCTTATGGTATTCATTGCCTTTCTTCCAGTCATCATAAAAGTATACAGCTGAACGAATGTAGCTGTTCTACAGCACACACTTTCCCCATTGAGTATGTACACATTGCCTTTCTAGGGAAAGGAGCTGACTTGAGTAAGCCACCCTGCCGTAAAGCAAAGGAACTAAGGAAGGAACATAAATTGCAGAAGACCCTTCAGAACCAGACACAAAACCCTTCGCTGCAAACTGAGGCTCAGGTTTTGCTTGGCCAGCGCTCGAAAGCTAAAACCAATCAGCCCAAATCAATTGAAGACTTCATTTTTGCCTCCTTACCTACTGAACCTGTGCACCAGTTAGAGGTACTGAGATACTTACTTTGACTGACGTGATACATAGAGCCATCATGTCATTCTTGTACTGCTGCTTATGTTGAAGGTATTTGATTAGTCAGATGTGAAAAATGTTCTACTTTTAATTGTAAAAATTCGTTGCATTATAACATGCCTTGGTGTCAATTACTGGCATTTGAAAAGTCCTGTGATGTTTTCAGTTTAGCCTTATAAGACATTGTTGTGTGTATGTTAGTGTGTGCAAAACTTAAGTGGATGTGTTCTTTGCAGAAACACAAGAGGGTGCTGTGGTTCCACTTGAATGAATAGCGCAGTACATTTCCAGAACAAAAATCACATTAGTGGAACTGTAATTACGGTAGATATTAATGTTATATAAAATTAGTCCCCTAATTTGAAGTAAAAATTAGAAATGACAAATAGCTAGATTTTTACATTACTGAAGAAGATGCTGTTTCACAAAATATTTTTATCAGTTTCCAGTACCAGACTCCTGGTTATAATTTGTGCATTTCTGGAAATTTTCAGGACCTATTTTCCTCCAGATATGCATATGATGGCATATGAGTCTATTACCTATTCACCCCGTGAGAAGAATTTCTTAACCAGTTTTGGGCAGTGTGCTGAAACTTACATACAAGGTAGCTAGCAAAGAATTACTTTATCCTCTTGGCCACTTCCCTGGGCACCAAACAGCTCCTGGGAGAGCAGTGCTTGGTCCCTAGGAAACTAGGTCTTGCTCCTGTGAACCAGTCTTTCCAAGCAGCCCCTTTATCTCCTTCAAAATTGGTGGAGGAGGGAGAGAGGATGCCTGTCACCACTGTTCAGCACAATTTTCTGTCTCGGGGGTTGAGGCTGTAAAACTCTAGATCAGTGGCGCTCATCCTGTAGGCCACAGAGTTCTCACTGGCTACTGGATATTAAGAGCCACTTCCCAAAGCCTGGCAAGTAAGGGAAAGGGGGTCCCACCTGCTGTTGCTGGTTACAGCCCTTCCCCACAGCAAGGAGCCTCATGCAGGTAGAAAGTAGTCAAGCAACAGAAGGAGGTGATGGTGCATGGTGGCAGGGCTTTTTTCAGCTGGGAACCTTTGCTCTAGATCAGACATCCCCAAACTTGGCCCTCCAGATGTTTTGGGACTACAACTCCCATCATCCCTGGGTAACAGGACCAGTGGTCAGGGATGATGGGAATTGTAGTCCCAAAACATCTGGAGAGTCGAGTTTGGGGGTGCCTGCTCTAGATGGTCGAAAGCACACCCTGGCTGATTATAGTTCTTTCCCTTGTGGGCACTTAAATTGCCTCATCCCTGATTCTGTCCCTGATCTTACACTTTCCCATCTTGTAACTTTCCCTTTGTCACCCTCCTGTCAAAAACCATTTGCATGTCATGTGCTTGCCTCCTGTGTTTTGACCCACCCTTGCTTCTGTTTTAGCTTGTCTCTGACCCTGGAAGGACATTTGACTTTGGCTCCTTGATTACTGCCTAGCATTAACATGACCTCTGACTCCACTTGCTCTGTTCATTTGCGATTGCCACGCCAGGTCAGATTCTGTTCAGTGTAGCACCTAGCCATGACAGGGTATTTGCTTGGTCTCTTGCAAGACATGACTCATAGCCAAGGTGTAAGGGAAATAGTTTTTTCTTAATGAGAATTGGATCAAAAATTTGATACATTAGCCTTAGCAGAAAAAATAGTGAACTTGAGGCATACGTTGGCCCAGGTCATGTATCACATTAAACTATGGCTTAAAACAAACTATGGTTTGATGTGAGTGAGCAACTTGCTGGTGCATGTTGCTGAAAAGTTTCTACAGTGCTTCTTCCCCATTCTTGCCATACCACAGGTAAAACAAGTCAGGGTCTAGTTTGTCATGTTGTCCAAATGCAATCTATGATTTGTTTCCCTCCAAACTATGAGTGGCAACCAGTACTTATTCTTGGCTTACTTCTCATGCCTCGTTCTGGCATGTATGTTAATTTTTTTCTTAGGAAAAATGGGTATAGTTCCACTAATAGCACATTTTAAAGCATACATTTATTTGTGCTAAATCTGTTTTCCATTTGATAATGCTGATATTCTGGGGTACTGTGGCATATGGCATATAGTGAAAGAGGAGGCTGAGACAGTAATCCTAAACACCCTTACTAAGAACTAAGTCCCATTGAACTCCTTGAGACTTCTGAGTTAAACATGCTTAGGATTGAACTGCTAGTATAGTATGTGTTAACATGAAGTTGTTCTAATAGGATTTAAGGGAGATTTTAATTATTCAGTTGTGTTAAAAGAAATCTCATCAGTGTTCTTGTCCTAGCATCTCAAAATAGTGCAAAGGTGATGGTAGATAGCCAACAGCATAGGAAAATTGCAGGAAGAAAAATGATCTCATGCAATTTAAGGGTGGATGTGAACTTGAGTAGCAACTTGTTTTTGTTCTTACAACATGTATAGAATATATGTATTTACGTTTGAATAATCCTTATTATACAACTGCATGATTTACTCAAAATTGATTTTGTATTAGACTTTGTAAACTATTGAGTAAAGTGCACGGTGTTTACAGAACAATGACTGGAAACTAAACTTAAATGGTTACATGGAAAATAATCTTTTCATTTCTAAAAAAAAAAAAAAAGGCGTAGTGGAGCAGAAAGTAACATTGGCCTCAGGGGGAAATGGTTGTTTAAAAGTATTGTTGATTTCATTGTGTAAATGTTGATTTAACTATAGTTAGTTTCTAACTGTTTGTATTCTTCCCAGCTTTTGAATGGCTATTATTCCAATAATGAATATCTTTCTTTGGAAGGTGAGGCTGGTGCAATCATCTCCACCAAGTTCCCTGTTCAAAGCCACCTTTCAGGAGTCTTACCAGGTCTATAAACGTTACCAGATGGTTATTCACAAGGACCCACCTGATAAACCAACCGCCAGCCAGGTCAGACACAAGCATGTTGCTTTGGTCTATTCTGAGACATTTGGAAGCTGTTCCTTTAAAATAATTAATAACCATAGAAACTTCAAAAAAGAAAAAAAAAGAATTAAACAAAACTTAAATCCTGGAAGTACAAGGAGGTTTTGCATATCTCATGAGTGCCACAAATAATTAAAGAAATTTTCAAGCAAAAGGAGAAGCAATAATGGGGTTTGCTTTGACATTGGAGATGGTGCATAAAGAGGAGCAGGTGAACTAGTAAAATACACTTTAAATTCCCCAAACAGTAGGGTAGCTAGATTTTGAAAGTTTTTCATGCCTATTTAATGGGCGATCCTACAGGGCTTGAATGTGTTTCACAAATATTTGTAAATAGCTTTGAAGGCTTTTTTTTTTTTTTTAAAGCCAAAACAATCAAGTGGTGTATAAATTTTATGAAATAAAAAAAAATTAGGGCACAGTTAACCTTGGGTTTAATTTATGCTGAGGTCCTATCCATAAAGTATGTTGCATATTGGATGGGGAAGGAGAACAAGGTATTGGAAGAGTGTGTGTGTAGGATGAAATGGTTTCCTTACACCTGTTCAACTCTTTGACTAAATCTTTACTTTTTATTTTCCATCTTCATTCTCTTCTGCCCCTAACATACCAACCTTTGCAAGGTACTGTGAAATTCTGAAAAGGCCCCTAGTTTCATTCAGGCAAGAAGACATGTGGTATCTAGGATATGGTTACGCTTTGATCAGTACCCATTATTTCTTTTGCTTCAATGTGTTGTCGATGCCCCTGTCCATACTGCAGTTTGCTCTCATACCCTCATCTATCCTTTGGCAATTCCTTTTCCTTAATGTAGGCTGCTTCTTCTCTCTCCTGACAATTCCCAACTCCCTTTGTTCACACTGTTCTGTCTGCTTTCTTTGGCAAAATATCTGAATTCAGCAATGGAAATAAGTCACAAATAGTGGTCATTTGTGTGTGTGTGTGTGTGTGTGTGTGTGGTGGAATGGTTTTAGAAAGTGTTAGTGTTTCCTGATAAGCATCAGTTGGATAAAGGCATCCTTCTCCATTCAAAATGTACAGTGGTACCTTGGGATGCGAACGGGATCCGTTCTGGATCCCTGTTCGCATCCTGAACAGAACGTGAGACATGACAGCGCGTCTGCGCGTGTCGTGTTTCGCCGCTTCCGCGCATTTGCGTGACATCATTTTGACCGTCTGTGCATGCGTGAGTGGCGAAACCCGGAAATAATGGGCTCGGTTACTTCTGGGTCGCTGCGGAACGCAACCCGAAAGCGCTCAACCTGAAGCATATTTATCCCGAGGTATGACTGTACTTTGTGTAATCATTGATAAACAGTCTTGGGTCCTGACTTAGCTGCTGCTGGAGGGTGTATCCTCTGAATGGAGCGCCACTGGGGATATTCCTGCTGGTAGAAGTTGTGTGGGGAGGCAACATTAACCAATTCTCCCTTGTGGTGCCTGAAAAACCGTTCTGGAGGACTGGTAGGATCCTCTGGAACAGCGGGGCCAGGGAATAGAGAGAATCTGCTGGATCAGTAATCATCTCTGGACAGAAGGAGCCCTTCTGTTTGTGGAAGGCTAAATTTGGATTCCAGCCTATGTAAATTGTGGTGGGCAGCGTCTACTATAATGGATTGTGGAAGATGGTAGGGAATTTAGTTTGCAGAGTAGATCATACTTTATGGATAATTCCTTTGGGATTGTGTGTATTCAGAACTGGCCTTTATGTTGGCTGTGATTGACCAAACACATAGAGTGACGAAGTCCAGAGGTACAAAAACCTAGGTCACTAGTGCCTAAAACATAATCTAGTGACAAGCATGTGGATTAATGTAGAAGTCAGGAAGCAGGTTTCTTCTGTATGACTTCCATTTGGGTGGGAGGGAGGCTGAGTACCCCAGTGAAGGCCAGAACTTGGAAGATGTTCATATTCTGCAGCTCTGTTGAGGTATTAGTTCTGCCATTTACAATGCATGATTAAGATATTTGGAGTGGTGGGAAAGGTTTTTGGATGAGAATTGTGTATAGCCCTCAGGTTTACAAACTCTAATTGAGAACTTCTGATAATCTAGATCTATTCTCACTAGACCGGTAATGAGTAAACCTTAACTACAGAGCCAGTTCACTTGAAGCATTGACCAGGCCTTTGGTTTAACATCACTGCTTTGCCTGAACTGAGAGTACACTCTAGAAAACATATGACAACTCCAGGATGCAGAAATACTGGTTGTAGGTGGCAAGCTTGCCTTCCATTATTGATCTTATTGAGAAATCTTAGAATTCACCTCCTTCTAGAACATGAGACAGTCAAATCCTTCTTGACTTACCTGGAATTTTGATTACGTTATCTATTTTGCATGGAGAGATAATTGGCATAGAATATTAAGTGGCTCTGAGTATTACTGTTTTCAGCTGGTATGCAAACGAGCTCTTCCTGTTCCTGGAGTGCAGAACCAGCCTAGCACTTAGAATGCCACCATTGCTTCAAATCTTAGTAATACATTTCTGCGGTTGCTGGGCTTCCTTGTATGTCTCCTAGGAAGAGGCTTTGAAATGGATTTGAGGAGATAGCATACTAGCCTTACCTTCAGAAGCATTTGGACAAATGCCAACAAAGTACCTTTGTTTTCCCTTGCTCTGAAGGTGAGGTTAGTACCTGTTTCTTTAGAGGACCCGCAGTTCAAATCATCTTTCACCCAGTCTGCTGCTTTATTTGCCAAGTATCAGATGGCCATACACAAGGACTCTCCTTTTGAATGTAACGAGTATCAGGTACAGTTAAATGCATGCACTTTTTTTGTCCTTATTATCATTGGTGGTGTGAATAACAGGATATTGAATTGACTTTCCATCAGATCTGTGAATGTGGTGGGGGAATTAGGATTTGGATGTGCCTTCCAGCAGTAGCATTCTTATGTACTCAGTATTTTATCTGTGTCCTGAATCGGTTGGCATAAGCTTTCTACTGTTCTCCTAATCCAGTTATTTGGAAGTAAATCCCAGTATCACCAATGGGATTTGCTCTGAAATAAGTATGCTCGGCCCAGGTATAGTGCAAGTGTAATATTTCCTGTTCTGTCATGGTGTACCCTTCCGGTTTGCATGCTTCTCCCTATTCTTCAATCTCTTTGGTTCATGTGCTCAATTTCTCCCCCATCATCTTCTCTTTGGCTTGAAGTCCTTCATATCCCTTTCCATGACTAACCATGGTTAGCATTACACCTGAATTGCAGTTAACACTAGCCATGGTTAGCTTTAAACCAGAGTTTGAAGTGGGTTTAAAAATGTGGTTTAATGACTAACATTAATGTCATTTCAGATGGAATGCTAGCCATGTATAGTACTAAAAGTGGTAGGGGAAGGGATTTGAGTGGAAGAGAAGAGGAAGGGGTCAGATTGGAACGTGCAAGTCAAAAAAGACACTAGAGATCAGTCAGTGTTATGTTAGTAACAGACATAAGATTAGTGTTTGATTTAGAAAACTAAACTCATGGCTAAAACGAAAAGCCTCCTGTTTTCCAGACATTTGAAACTAAATGTTATGATCGATTTAGGATTGACAACAATTGGAATTATCAGTACAAGAAATCTGGGCCATTTCAACATCACAGCTTAATGGAAAGTTTAAAGTTTTACAGAAACTATATAGCCAGGTGTCATAACTTCTCTCTGTCTGTGTGTGTTTTGTTTTTTGAAAGCTTAACATCAGTTATGGCTACAGTTCAAAATACATTTACTGCAGTCTCTAATCTCTTGTTTTCGCCACTCCTTTTGATTCTATACATTGCCTCATTTCTTGTATTGTTGTAATATTGAAAATTAACTTGCTTGCAGTCTGCATCTTGAAGAATTTAAGTGTAGAATGTTGGGCATATTGCAAGTGTTTAAAGGTCAGCAGTTGCCCATTTTTGATGTAACAGTAAACCATGGTTTAGCTCTATGTGCGGAGCCGATGCTAGCTTGCACTCAAGTATTCCGACAGGAGACAATTGAAACTTTCCACTTCCAGTATTAAGTCAGTCTCTTATTTCACTACTTACCTGGCCAACATCGGTTACTAGGAATTCCATGCAGGCAAGTGCATGGAATTCCCTCCAGGTGACCAAGAAGGCTGGTAAAGGATGAAAAGAGCACTCTGTTTATCCTTTGCCAGCCCCATGTGCTTCATGTCTACTGCTGCTTCTTTTTACCAGGATTGGATTTGTTCAAACAAGCCAGGATCAAAATGTGAGTTTTGATCCTGGCATATTAATAAGAAGCTGCGGGGGTGGACTAAGCCAGGCATATGTAATCAGTGTAACCCCTTGCCCATGGAGCTCTTTTGCTGATAAAATCAAACCTCCTCCCTTCTCTTCCTACAACAGTAGGACACCACAGTTGTCATGTTCAGTTTGGACTGAGATCAAAGGAAATCTTGGTTTCAGTAAAACCTGTATGAATTAGGTGTGATTGGAGACTTACTGAGTGAGTCGATTTTAAATGGTGCCTGTTGGATATATGGAATTACTTCATATAAAGCTATTTTATTTGCTCAGTTTTCTCATATATATATCTATATCTTTGTTGTAATGGTGGATTTTTAATCTGCTTTTCTGTTTATTGTCTTGTTTTATGATTGTTTTTATTGTAATTCTGATTTCTTTTAATATGCAACGTAAGCTGATCTGGGAGCCTCACTGGCTGAAGAGCTGGAGCAACAAGTGCATGAAAAATAATAATTATGCAACATTTTAGAAAGAAAAAGTGCTGAGGCTATCTTCATCCTGCTTTATAAAATGGCTATTACCTTGGAAAATATGATTTAGGCATCTCTTTTTTTCAAATTAAATATGCACTGCCTACTTCTAAATAGCTTATTTTGAAATGATATTATTATGTTTATTAGGATTGTAGAATGTCATAACAACTTCAAAAGAACTGTTACACAATGGTAAATCGCCTTCCCAGTTGACTTTGGGTTAGCCTTTAGTTTAATAGTTTATAAGGTGAACCCTCCCTCTCCCCCATCCCTGGGTAGGAAAAACATACAGTATTTATAAAGCCACTTTCTGTGAGCAAAACTAGACATGTAGGTGTCTTCAGTTCCTTTTTAAAGCTTACTTTTAAAAAAGACTGTTTGCTGCTAAAATGATGAGATATAAACATGTTGATAACATTACTAGGTTTGGTTCACAAATACATTAGGAACTATGCAATTCATGTAGATCAACATCTGGGATACTTGTTAATATCGTGCCAGATTAGAAAATATGCCATGATAATTATTTTTATTAAATAAGAAGTTCTCTGGCTAGTGATAGGTTCTTAAACAGTTAACATTCATTTTCATTTTTAATATGCTGTTAAATTGTTTCCCCAAAAGCCTGCCTGACGAATAGAGCATATCTGTCAGGGTTTGAAAAAAGTCACACTGTGTTCAGCAGCATTTCTTCCTAGGAAAGTAGATACCAAGGCTTGCACCCTTAATTTATTGCCTTCATAGTATTATGAAAAGGGACTACTAAATCTTAGGAAACAAGTTTGCACAGAATATTTCAGTATCTAGACTAGGATATAGCTGTAACTGACTCCAAATGTAAACATTTTAACATTTTCATCTGATGTTCAAGTAAACAATTGTGTTGATTGTTAACACACCTTTCTGGACACCTTTCTGTTGCAGGGAATGGATTATTCAGTGGCTGAGCATGTAGCCTGAGATCTCCAGCCACTTTTAGTTGATATTTGACTTCCACATTTGCCTTACTTGACAGAAGTTGCTAACTCTTGTACTTATTAGGAAAGAGGCTTTATTTTTTCATTCCCCCCCAGCATTTAGTTTTCATATAGATCAAATTAAACAATTAAGAATCAGTCTTATTTCCTAAAATGGAAAGATGCTTGCAAACATCTTTTGTAATATTTTGTATGCCGTATTCTGTCCCCCCTCCAAAAAACATCAAATAAGGCATATTGAGCTAAATATCTACCTGTAGAAAGTGAGATACAAAGCAGTCTTGTATTTTGCATGCACATAGCAATAATTAAATGTTGAGGCTGCAATCCTGTGCAGTCTTCCTTTTGCAAAGTACCCCATGAAAATGTACTTCATTGCAAACAGTTATAATAAAGGAATTGCACCATAAAAATAAACAAATGTAGAGGCACAAATGGCAAAAGGCACTGAATAATAGAACTGATTGCAAGCAACTAAGTGAAGATTAGACCAGCCAACAGACTTTACATATGGTATTTCAAGGGGTGCAACCTACCTGGCAATAGCTCAGTTAGTAGAGCATAAGACTCTTGATCTCAGGGTCGTGGGTTTGAACCCCATTTTGGGTAAAAGATTTCTGCATTATTTACAATTCTATGACTATGATCATATGAGGTTTTGATATGTAGGTTGTATGACAGGAGCACATGATGCAGGAGCTTTGAAGCAGTATGAAAAGAAATTGGTTTTAAATAAACTTCTAGCAAATAGGTGGAAGTGCCTTAATCATTGGACATTTAGAAAGAAGAATATGAACATTGGTTGCTCTGAGACTCTGAATCCCAAAAACCTCGACCAAAACTTCTTCAAGCATCTAAATGTAGTTATCTGAGGAAATTGATATAATAAACCTAAGTTAAATGCATAAATCACATGAAGGCAGGGTCAGTTTAATGCATAAGTAATAGTATGTTTTAGAGACGTTGTTCGGAGACTTTCATGAATTCCGCAGACCTTTTGTGGGAATGGATTTAGGAGCTCATGTGTACAATTTGTAGAGTGTGTGTGACAAACCAGATCACATTTGTGTTTATCTTCTGGAGTTTTGCAGCAGCTGTTCTGTCAGGCATCCAAAACACCTTCCCTACTTTCTTACACAATGCATACATGTTTTAATGATTTTTATATTAAGTCACAACCTTTGTAGTTTTTCCTTTCATTGATCTAGGAACTAGAGTTTGAAAGTTGAGTGGATTATGAACATGCAGTTTTATATTGCCCACTCTCTTATGAAAAACGATTCTGACAACATACAGAGTTCCTGACAGTTAAACAGGCTGTTAGTCCTTGCTGTGGTGCCTTAATGGAATGGAAATTCCTCTGAATTACCACCCACTGTTTCAAGGACATCAGTGTAACTACATGGTGTTTGGTGCTTTTTAAGTTGAAAGAGATTTTAAATAGTCTTCTGCTCCCTACAAATGTCTGTCTCTGAAACTGGTTCCATAGCAGAAAGGGCATATCGCTCCATAGCAAATGCTGAAGCCCTCTGAATGGCTGATCTGCATTGGTACTAACAGACTCTCGCCTATTAAAAATAACGTTTTTATTTGCTTTTCAAATTTGATAGTGTTTATATTGACAGCAGCTTGCACCACTAGCACAGCGTGTCTTCAAGTCATAATGTTGCGACACACAAGCTGTCTGTGGATCTTATAAAGTGTAGCCGTCAAGCAAAATGATATGTGCAGGGTTTTCCTGAGGAAGACAACACCAGCGTCTTTTCTCATCTGCATACTCCCCATTTCTTTTTCAGTAGGAAACAGCAACCCCTCAGTGGAAACTTGCCATGGCTTGTGCCTTGGAATTAAAATTCTAAATAAAAAGCGCAGGACTTTAAATTAACATACACATGCAGCAGATTGGATGGTCTGCATCTTAAAATCTGCCTCCTTTATTATGTCAGGTAACTCAGATTTATCGAGTAGTAAGCACTTTTTGTTTAAGTAAGCCTCTTCCTTCTACCTGGTGAAGAGGTCTCTGTAATTTTTACCATTTTAATGTTCAGCTGCTAGCAGCAATTCCATTACAATTACTGTACTTAACTATTTTTGTGTCTCTTCCTTAACACAGTATCTTAACACAGTTTCAGGAATACCAAGTGTGTACATGGATTACACTTCCTTTATTATATAGTACTTTGGTTTTATTTTTCTTAGAAGTCTTTAATGTCAGATTCTCAGGACTAAAGTTATGCCACTACTAGTACTAACAAGGTTATATCTGATTAAGAAGTTTAAATTTTAAAAATATATTTCCATGTTCTGTCACTGCCTTTGATAACAGGGTTGCTATTTTGAGGCTGCCGTATGCAGTTTCCATAATGCTCTTTTTGTTAAAACTCATGTTTGGCAATTAAGTCCCTTTATGGTATTCTGAAGAAACGGTTTACATCTGCAGGGTAACCAAAACAAACCAAGTGGCAATTACACCAGTTAGAAAACATTTCCATACATGATCATAAGTCTGACAGTAGTTCTCTCAAATAGCCATGGTTAACAATTTTATTGCTGTTTAGCCTTACTGAAGCAAGCATTCTACTCCACTACATTTGGCATATTTTATAATGACAAGTTTATAGGAAAGAAACAGTGTGTTGCTCAGTTTCCACTGCAAAGCTGGACTACCTTCTTACCTTAGGCTTAGTAAAATATTTGTTTTGGAAGAAAATTTATTTAAAGACCTACAAAATATTCACTGTCTAAAAAGCTGCATGCAATAATGTTACTGAAGGGGGGGAGCTGCAGTGCCTCCCCCAAATGACAACATGGAGGCCGAAGCACGTGGAAGGTAAAGAACGTGGGTTTGTATCTAAACAAGTTATGCTTGAAGTACACCTATATAAATGAATGGACCTAAGTTAGTCAAGTCCATTAACCTCAGTAGGTCTAATCATGTATGACTAACAGGTGGTCCAATACATGATGTGTTACAATTCATACTGGATCAGGCCCAAGGATCATCTAGTCCAGGGGTCAGCAAACATTTTCAGCAGTGGGGTGGTCCACTGTCCCTCAGACCTTGGGGGACTGGACTGTATGGGGGGGGGGGAATGAACGAATTCCTATGCCCCACAAATAACCCAGAGATGCATTTTAAATAAAAGCACACATTCTACTCATGCAAAAACACACTGATTCCCGGAACGTCCGCAGGCTGGAATTAGAAGGTGATTGGGCCGGATCCGGCCCCCAGGCCTTAGTTTGCCTACCCATGATCTAGTCTCCTGTTCTCACAGTGGCCAGCTAGATGCCTATGGGCAGCCTGCAAGCAGGACTTGAGTGCAACATTTGTGATTCCCAGCAACTGGTTTTCAGAGGCATACTGCCTGTGACTGTGGAGGTAGAGCATAACCATTGTGGCTAGTAGCTGAAACAATATTTTGCCTTTGCCCACAATCCCTTTCCAGCTTGAAATATAAATATTTGGAAGAAATCTGCATCTTAAGTTATTTGCTTATTTACTGATACACTAGAACACAGTGTGTGATTCAACTAGGTTTCAGAGAAAGTGATGCTTCTTGAATAGGAATTTTTGCCCCATTCTGAAATGGCTTCATTTGCCATAAGTGGCATACATCATGTACCCAAATCTGACTGGTTGCCCAGAAGAGAATGTGACCGAAAGTGTTTCCCTACTCCTGTTCTGATATATGGAAGTTTGGTCCAATCAAAGGTGCTAAATGTTTTTGCTCTTCTGTGGGCTGCCCAGCAATGGCTACAACTCATAACATTCATGTATTCTAAGTTAACCTTAGGTATCTGAAGTAAAATGTTGCAGAACAATCTCTGGAAAGTCAGCAAATATTTAGAAAATGTTTTGGCATTTGCTGACCAACAAAAAGCTAGAATTCAAATTCTTGAAAGTCTTTCCAATGTCAAATATGTCTTCCTCTGGTGCCAGATCTTTTAATTAAGGAATTACAGAGGTCTGCATAAAAGCAAAGTAATACAGATGCTTAGCAATCGGCCTCTTTCTCAAATATGAATAGATCTTTGGGAACTACATTATAACTCTCAAATTCAGAGGTATAATTAGAATAATGAAACCAACAATTTTCCCATGCCTCAATCCTAAAGCTCCAGATTACCCAGTCTTTTGAACACCTTGGTTGTGAATGACTCCGAAAGGCCTAACAATAGACTCCACACTGTTCCCTTGTCTTTGACAAGGGCTTAGGCTTATGGAAGTCTCCTTTTTGATTGTCAAAGGGCTTGTCTAAATATTTACCATCCATTTGGAGGTTAATTAGATCTTGCCTTCGGCTACAGGCATACTGCAGCAAACCAAAATTAGATAGTGCTAGGGAAGGAATCCATATTACCCTTATTTTTAGTTCTTGATTCATTTGAATCTAAATTGTGTGGTGGTGGTGTATTTAACCATATTGCTTTCTTTTGATGAAATAGTCAACTGTACTTCATGGCTTTCCAGTTGGCACAAGTTTTATGGACAAGTTAAAACAGCATCTGGTGGCATGTTAACAAATTGTGACATAAGCATTTATGGACCAGAGCACATAGAATAAAAACATTTCTATATAAATACATTTTTAATATTGGCATAAAGGCATATGCTAGCCTAGCAATTTATGGCTATTATGTTCTTAATGCCTGCTTTACTCAATGGTTTCAAGAAATGCAAACTTTTCAGTAGCAACTGATAGTGAGCAATAAACAAGGTTTATCATTTTTTAATTTTGTAAAATTTATATACTGCTTGACTGTAGAAACAAAACTCAAAGCAGTTTACAAAAAACACCTTTATTTGCATATAAATCAATCAGTTCAAGAGACCCAAACTTTTGGGCCGTAGATTGTCTAAACCAGGCCCTAAGGTTGAATCCCAACCTAGTCATACCAGATGTAGACCCATTTATATCAATTGACTTCGGGATGACTAGAGTCCCAAAGATTTCATTGAATCTCCTCTAAGTATTACACAGTCTGGAACCAACCCATAGTGTGTAGTAGACACAGGAGGAAAATATATTTTTGGTTTGGGGTTTTAGCACAAGCAGACATTATTTGGGTTATCCTGTGGTATGAATGGTTTAGTGTATACAAATACTATTTTTAAACATTTCAATTTTCTGAAGATTTCTGAATGTTGATGGTGGTCCCATAGAATGAGACTAGTACTATCCATTACAAGGCAAAAAGGGTAGGGTAAGAATATCAAAACCATGTTTTCCTTGTAATATCAGCATGGGGCTGTGAAATGTTTGTAGAGGAGAATTGATGGTGGGGGGGGGGGGAGACACACAAATGGTTCCCGTTCCCCCTACTGCTTGATTTCCCCCCCTTCATCCAAACTGACTGGAGGGTGGGAGAATCCTGAGAGGAAAGGTTGCAGGGAAGAACATGTGTATTTGTGTGTGTGCGTGTATGAAAGTGTTAACCAACCCCTTACACTTTATTCCCTATGATGTTCCTAGTCCCCACCCACACTCTTGTTAACCAGCAAAATAAATGTCTGCCATCATTAGTATGTGTTGAATGATTTATAAGGCACTAATATATAAGGATGCTTGCTAAAGTGTAGGGGGGGGGCTCAATGATTTAAAACCAACCTCTTTGTCTAAATTTGCTGTAGGTGTGAAATCAAATTAAAGTCTTGCAGACCAGGACCTTTCCAAGTGATGTTCAGATACTGGACCCTCTTACAAATTGTATATTGCTCTTTTGAATCATTGCTCAAAATGTCATTCAGCTACCATCTTTGTGTGCTGCTCTTTTGCAGGTGTGCTCCGAGTTATTTGTGGTTCCTCCAGTATAAACTGAAAGCTCCAGGCTTTTCTCATTTTTAAAAAGGGCTTTCAAGCGGTTTATGCTTACTAGAGGGGCTCTCGTGTCAGCAATACATTATGCCTTTCTTCTTGAAATGTCACATTCCGTACAAATGGACTATAAGAACCGTACAGCTGGATCAGACCAAGGGCATATCTAGTCCAGCATTCTAGTAACTCAGTGGCCAACCAGATGTTACTGTGTCACAAACTGTGCTGCTGAAATTAATGTATTGGATGCATCCATGCAGCAGTCACCTTAAACGCCATATTCAGACATTCTTCACAAATGCACCGGATCCTTTGGAAAAGGGTACCTGCCACTTAGGGACGCGGGTGGTGCTGTGGGTTAAACCACAGAGCCTAGGACTTGCCAATCAGAAGGTCGGCAGTTCGAATCCCCACGATAGGGTGAGCTCCAATTGCTCAGTCCCAGCTCCTGCCAACCTAGCAGTTCGAAAGCATGTCTGAGTGCAAGTAGATAAATAGGTACCGCTCTGGCGGGAAGGTAAATGGCATTTCCGTGCACTGCTCGGGTTCGCCAGAAGCGGCTTAGTCATGCTGGCCACATGACCCGGAAGCTGTCTGCGGACAAATGCCGGCTCCCTCGGCCAGTAAAGCAAGATGAGCGCTGCAACCCCAGAGTCATCCGCGACTAGACCTAATGGTCAGGGGTCCCTTTACCCTGCCACTTGACCGTTTTGGAGATGCTTGGGGAAGACTCCCGACTAGTCCTACTCCCCATGATAATCACCTTGCTGGTCCTGATTCCACAACCTTTGCAATTGTACAGACATAGGAGTCTCATTTTTTTGCTGTTTTGGGGGGAGGCAGGGGCAGCAAGGTGTTGAACATTAGGAGTGGTCTGACGACTCCATGCATGCCTTGTATGCATGGAGATGGTCACACCTCAGTATGACCTGACACTTGCACGTGACAAATAAGAATGAACCCAAGCAGAAATGGAAGTCCATTCACTGAGCCCTGGTTCAGATTGCTTACTAGCCTTTGGTGCTGGCGAACTGCACCTGCCTTGCCTTCACAATGCATATGTCGGTGGAATCCAGCAATCAATATTCAAGTGAACATTTGCTAATGCAACAGAACTTCATCTTCCTCCCCTCCCCCCTGCACACTCACAAATATTTTCCAGTGAGGTCCCCTCAACCTTCTAGAGCAGATTTTGAGGAGTTCAGGGGTGAGGAGGTGATGTTCTGTTGGTTGGGTGGTAGTTTGCTTGTCCTCACACATAGAGCATGTCAGGTGAGCAAGGCTTTCATGTGGGAAGGTGCTTTTAGTATGATTTCTTCCCTCTTTTTGAGATGGAAGTGTGAAGTGCCTGTCCTACAGCAGTCCATTTGTGTGATAGGGTTGGGGGAGGAGGGGATGCAACTCTGCCATGCAAAGTTTGACTGACTAAGCCAGAGCAAAACATCAGTGGGTTGAAAGATTCCTGCCCTGTGTTTTTGGGAGTTGGATACTGCAAATATGGGCGAAAATCCCCACCCAGGATAATGTGATGAGGAAATGAATTTTCAACATTATTAGGCCATAGCTGAGAATCTTGGATCACTTGACGTATGTACGAGATCTAATTGCTATCCTGATTCCTAGTTGCCACAACTGTTTCATTAGACAATCCTGCAATTTTACCGTAAATATCTAGTCTTTCAAATATTCCAGTCCCTAGCTTAATGTTGTTCGTAGTCTTGCCAACCAACTTTTCTCTGAAGAATTTGTTAACTTTAATTAGTAACTTCAAATGAGGGCCTAGTTCATTGCAGAATAGTTAAGGATGCAGCAGTTTTCAAACACCAAAGCCACCTAAATAAATTTCCAAGCATTTAACTATTTTATTCATACCATGGGGGATTTTCACAAAGCAATTGTTGCCCTTCTTATTTCTAAATGTTGTTGTGGTTTATAGAAGAGGCAATTTGAACTCATCTGTAAATTTACCGTAACCCATTGACTATACCTTAGTCAGGCTTCTACTATATATTTTGGAAACTTGTTTGTCAGTTCACTATAGATTTGGACACCACTTAAGATATCATAACTAAATTATGCATAATGGTTCCTGAGAACAGATCTTTGTCTGTTTGGATGCCGTTGGGCACTACTTTGAATTAAAATAGAGAACTGCACACTGGGGGGGGGGGGGGATGCAGTAATTTTAACTACTGATTTCAAAATTGCATTGTGTTTTTTGGAGTTTCACAGCAACACTGCGTATGAGGCTGCTAGTTAAGTACAAGTTGAATTCCTAACGTAATAGTTAGCAATACGTCTATGTTAAAAAACCTTCTGATTTATTTGTTTTTCTCTTTGTTATGTTTATGTGTGTTGTTGCATACTGGACATGTATCCTTGGTGCCCTGGACTCTGGATAAACATCCCAAATGCAGTTCACAAGGTTCCTCTGTGAATCTCCACTTGAAGTAAGAAATCATGTTTTAACTCAAAATATTTACATTTTTAATACAGATTTATAGTTTACCTCCTCTGCCTGGTGTCCACCATTACATTTATAATGCAAAACATAACATTTCCTCAGTTCCAGTAAATTGGATAATCTGCATCTATTTGATTTTGTTGTGACTTGTTGAATACTTTGAGTCTCTTAAAAATGCTAAGTGAGTTTGCACAAGATTTCTTAACTGAATACTATAGAGGACTAACGTATGGTTCTTGAATGAAGATAATATTTCATTAGTGGTTCAGATCACCATTCTGCCATGAAGCTCATTAGGTGATCAGTCAGTTTCTCTCATTCTTACTTCCTTACCTACCTTACATAGTTGTTGTGGTGATAAAATAGGGGAAGAACCACGTGTGCCACCTTGGAATTATTGGAGACAAGGTGGAATACAAACTTTGTTTTTTGGTTGTTGCTTTTTCCAAATGATCATGGGGACTTGTCCATCAAAGTGAATTTTGTTGTAAAGGTTAACCTATGCAAGCTAATAAATAAGGCCATGGGTAAGTCTTCGCTGTGACACCCAAAAAACCTTTTCAGGCTTGCTGAATCCTGGTATGTGTATGTGTAAAATCCAGATTTTACACCATATTATCGATTGCTTCTGTTTACTGGATTTTTTTGTTGGTATACCAGTTGTATATCCAGTTGACTGGATCCATGTCCGGACACTCATACATGCACCTTCCCCATAGTGTGAGGGAAAGAGCATGGCTGTGTTTGCTTCCTTCCATCCCAGCCACTGCCCACATTTGGGGCAGATGTTCTAAAGCAGGAAGCCTGCTGTCTGCATGTAGGCTCCCTGTGTGGTTAACAGTCAGGATTCAAATTCACACAGGGAACAGGCTCCCCATTTCAAAATGGCCTACTCCTCTTTCCCTCACACAGTGAGCAACACATACATTTAAACCCCTGAATTAGAGCTAACGCTAGCCAGTTTTCAGTTGCTGAGTCTGATGTTTTGGCAGTGGGGTGGATGTAGGGCAGGGGTGCGGATCCTTTTTCAGCCCACAAGTTTCATTCCCTTGTGAATTAAGTTGGGAAGGGCCTGGGGAGAGTTCTGAGGGCTAAATAGAGAGACGTGGAAGGCCTGCATCCAGCCCCTGAGAGCTCACCACCCCAATGTAGGGCATATGTTAGCCCAGTTTGAATGTTAAACAATATAGAGGAGCAGGTACGTGGCTTGGGGGTGTTCCTGGATTCATTACTGTCAGGTGGCCTTGGTAGTCCAGAATGCCTTCTTTGGCTGGTGGTCCAGCTGTGCCCCTATCTGGACAGGGCTAGCCCAATTTCTGTGGCCTATGCTCTGGTAACCACTAAGTTGGACTATTGCAATGCACTATATGTGGGGCTGCCCCTGAAGATGGTTCAGAAACTTCTTATTGTTGTTGTTGTTTAGTCATTTAGTCGTGTCCGACTCTTCATGACCCCATGGACCAGAGCACGCCAGGCACTCCTGTCTTACACTGCCTCCCGCAGTTTGGTCAGAAACTTCAGCTGGTGCCAAATTTGATGGCTAGGTTGCTCACCAGGACAATACAAGTTCAGCTTATAATGCTGATCTTGGCTCAATGGCACTGGCTGCCAATTAGTTTCTGGGTCCATTTCAAAGTACTGGCACTGACTTATAAAAGCTTACATAGCTCAGGACTTCAAATACTGCCTCTCCCCATATGAACTGACCCTGCACTTGTCACCTGAGGTCCTTCTCCACGTCCCTGAGAGGTTTGGAAGATGACAACACGGGAATAAGTCTTTTCTGTTGTAGCTCCCCATCTATGCTCTCCCCAGAGAGGCTTACCTGGCACCATCCTTACCTGTCTTTAGGTGCCAGGCAAAAACATTCATCTTTACCCAAGCCTTCAGCAATTAAATCTATGGCCTGTTATGTGGGGGGAGGGCTGTTATTATGAGTATTTTATTATTACGCTGTCTATTATTATGATCTGTATTATGCTTTTATTATTATGCTCCATAAATTATGTTTTTGATTTTGTACACTGCCCTGGGATTACAGACTGACTGAATGAATGAATACAATTTGCATTTAAGTGCCCATTTTGGTTTGGTTAAATTTTAAATGCCTGAAGTTTTTAATAATTTTGCATGTTGATTGCAAGTTGCCTAGAGTCTGCCCTGTGTAAGGCAGCTTTGTGTTAGGCAACTAAATAAATTTGCATATACATTGAACAACCCCAAATCTGATTAATGGATATTCACTAAAGAAATTTATTGATGTATTTTTCTGACACATGTTTCTTTAAATGTTCTTCTTTAACTGCACATAATAGATTTTTTAAGCTTAATAACTAAAAGATTTAAATGCAGCAAGCATAATTTCCCTTTTGTTTTTCAAGTATCCACTTGTAATTGCAAATTGATACCTTTTAAAATATCCTATCCCGTGCATGTGGGGCTTCTGAAATGCATTCCTTTCTTGACTCCCTACTTGCTTTCCTTCTTGAAACAGTGTTTGGCTTCTTGATCAGATTTAGCTTGTCTGATCTCCTTAATTAGCCATAACATGAGAATTTGAAACCCCCATCAGAATTGATAGGATACTTTGCAGATCCCCCCCCCCCCAATTCATGAGTGGATGGCTAATCCTTACTCACTGATGCAAAATATTAGCACAGACTGCTGTTGGATACCTTACAGGGTGGGCAGTTTTTTAAGGCAGATCAGTGTGAAAACACATAGAGCCCCCGTGAGGCTCAGTTTATACATGCCATTAGAAAAACAGGTTTGTATTATATGTTTGACTAATGGTATTTTCGGTGAGGCAGAATTTGTTTGTAGATTCTTTACACATCCATCCCACCCCAGCATGCTGGAGATGCTTCACCCTACTATTCTGCTAGGATATATAGTGTATCCTATCATCACTAAGCTTCTCTCTAGTGCTCCCCTGCAGTTGAGTGGCAAGTAACAAACCTCACTAAGAATGCATGTTAACCTATCTTACTTTGAGAAAAATATTTGGGCAGATTTGGATGAGTAAGGATGAACATATCTTACACACTATAGCCTACTTTGCAAAATATAAACTTGAAGTTATCAAAGCAGAATATGTGCTTTGCATTTTCAATAACCATTTTGTGTTTTGAGTTCCTTTGCCTTAAAAGTAAATAAAAATAAACCTCAAAGGCACCTAAATGTTTTCAACTTTGTTTTTGCTTCTTAAAAACAGATAACCAGGGCTGGTGAATAATTAGAGCAGGCTTTAGAGTCGAGGCTTCAGATTACTTCATTTATAACAGCTAAGAGGACTTTGTTTGTTGTAGGTCTTAAAGAGTTAACTACCACATGGGTGTAATGAAATTGTCAGGTTATAGTAATTGCACCAGTAATTTGATATGTTGCTGTTTGAATGAAGCCATGTGTGGAGAGTTTGTTCCTTTTCTCTGCTGAATCTAATCACCCCCACCCAGTTTTACATTTTCCCAACCTGAAGGCTATGAAGGCTAATCGGGATCATTAGACTTAATGGGGAAAGAGCTTTTATCACCTCGTCAAATAAGGCAACCGATTTCCATTATTTGCCTTATTTTGTATGGCTGTATGGGTGCTTATGTACACTTTGCTGTAAAAAAGGAAGGTTTATGCCAAGGATTTTTTTCCCCTGCAATGCTTTTTATTGATATTTTGAATCTTGAACTGAATTTTGTTTGGCACCACTTGCACATGTTTTCAATTAGAAGAAGCCAAATAAAAAGTCTTAAATATCCAAGGCTATAGGGATTTTTGAAATTCTCCAACTAAAAGCAAACTCCACGTGATCGTTGCAAAGCCTCTTTACCATGTATGTCACAAATAATTTCAAAACAAAAATTAAACTTTATGTGACTGAGTTCTGTTTTTCTTTTGAATTCTCAATAAACTCTTTAGAGACAACTCTCTTGGCAGTAGTAAAGTGGTTTTTCAAAAAAAATCTGTTTGATTTTTTGATGTAGAGTCTTTAAATTATTAAAAGAATGAACATGTTATTGGAAAGAAAAGTGCAGTCTATATGTAAAGAATAGTCTATTTGTGTTACCAGGGAAGTGACTCTGTAAAGATTTTCAGCTCTTCTTTATAAGCACCAACTCGTTAAGCAGAAGCAATTGACATGTATCACTGTTGAAGTGATTGATGTTTCTTAACCAGTCTAATGGGAGTAAGCTGTGCCTATGGATTGATTTTTTTGGAGGATAAACTAGATTTGTTTGGTTATATGAAGTTTGTAGTACTTTTTCAGCTATAACTACTGAAAAGATTTTTTTTGTTAAGATAAATGCAGATCAGTGGGAGCTATTTCATTACTGAATAGTTATATGCTCTTAAAATGATTCTCTTAAATGCCAGTTTCCAGTTTTGTAAACACTGTACATAAGCCTTCCTCCCTGCTTGGTTCTCTGACTTTTGCATTCCCTTTCTTCCCTTTCCTCCAGTTCTCTCTCCACTTGTACAAATATTATCAGCTGATTCTTTTAACTTCTTTTAACTCCAAGCAGTCCTGCTACGTAGCCTCAGTTGTGTCTCATGCCATGGTCTTGGTTTGCCTGCAACCTTCCTGTTACTTCCAGTTTTTATTTATTTATCCTGAGTACAGGATAAATTTTAAAATAACATCTAAGAAAGTCATAAGATGGTTGTTAGATGCAAAAAAAAAGGTATGCTATCAGAGTATAGTGGATAATAACAGACCAATAGCTACTGGTTAAAATGGAATAGGAACTCAAGTAGAATTTATAACTAGCTTTTATCTGTAGGAAAAATTGAAAATAACCTCCTGTGTCAATCTCATTGGAAATTATTACAAAGTAATGTCATCCTGGCATTTGATACCATAGAGGCTGAAGCAAATCTGTCCTACATCCTCAGGCTATTAGTACAGATTACACATATGTGATATATAAAGAATAATGTTCATAGTTTGTATTTCAGTACCTTTAGATTCAGTAGTTATTGAGCTGACTTTGGATGGATGGCTGTTTCTTGACTCATAAAGTTGAGATAGACACAACCTTTTTGCAAATGCATACAGCCCCTTCACATGTGCCACAAATAAACCAGGAAGTTTTTAATTAATCAAGTTTCCCATCTCATATGAACCAGAAAACTATGGTTACTACCTTCAAGAAAAGCCAGGATTGTAAACCATGGTTTGAAGTTGGTTTAAAAAACTGGCTTGTTCAGAAGCTGATAACTGCATAGTTTTCTGGCTCAAACAAAATTGGAAAGTATTGTACATTAGACACTACCTAGTTTAATTGCGCTTTTCCACAAAGGGGCTTTTATGTGGTCAAAAGGCTCGTGTGTATCTTGGCATATTAAGCTGAGCTATGATGATCCAAATGTGACCAATGTCTTTGGATTCATTGAAGGTGCTAGCTTCAGCTCAAGTAACTGAATTAATATATTAATAATGCCTTTTTGTAAAGTACTAATGCATAGTAGTTGTGTTATATAAACAACAGTAATCAAAATGTGAATTCGTTTTAGTTTTAAAACTCCTATATCCATTGCATCTGTTTTAAATAGCAGAAATGAAGCATGGTTGCTCAGAAGCTAAAAATATTTCAGCCGTGGATGTTTTTATCATATTGTTCTGCAGAATTATTAAATGAATCCTTTCTAATCCAGTTTTGTTGAAAAGATTCCCGTAAATGCTAAAAGATTGATGTGATGGAGTGAAGGTGAATTAGATTATTGTCTTGGACAAGAAGGGTTTCTTAAGTTGCAAGAGGAGGGGAGGACCCAGTGTGCTTAACATTTATTGATTTATTTCAAACATGTATACCCCATTTTTCCTCCAGAGATCTTACCTCAAGCAGTTCTAATTTAATGAGTATAATCCAGTTGAATATAGTTTATAGTTCTCCAACAAAGCTTTTGTTTGTGATTTTTTTATAACTTAGGGCTGGCTCCCTATATAAATTTTCTTCACATGCATGATCTTATCCTCATAACCCTGTGAAAGTATACTTTTCAGCATATGTCTGCACTGCAGCTAGTTATCCACATCTTTTAAAGATGAAGAACCAGTGAGCAGAATCTGTTCTGTTGGATTCTGTTTACTCATTTGTCTGTTTATTCGTTTTATGGCTAATCAGTTTCAGTGTCACTCATAACTCTGCTAAGAAATGTTAACCCCTTATTTCCAGGCATGACATTTGAGGCCAGTAGACTTCAATATAAGGAAACCTGCAAGGCAACGAAAGCAAGATTTGGTGGTTGTCAGTTAATAAATATTAACGTAACATGTGAATATATTGTAAACTGTTTTGGAAATAGCTCCATAGAAATCTCTTGAAATCTCTTATTTCTACACCTAAAACTTTCAGATTTCTACCTGTCATTTTGTTTGGCTTTGGTTACGTGAATGGGCCAGATAGCTAAGAAGGGCCTAATTCACTGAGCAAAGTCTTACTTTTATCTCAGTTTTACGTTACTCAGTGCATTTGCTTGTTTGAATTTCAAAATGGTTCTCATTGTTAAAGATAATGTTACGGTTTTATATTAAATTTATATTAAATTTTGCAATTGAATTTATGCTGATCTATCCTCTCTAGGCAGAAAATCTACCTAATGGTCCAGATTGTGGCTATGGTTCTTTCCACCAGCAGTATTGGTTTGATGGAAAGATAATTGCTGTGGGTGTCATTGACATCCTTCCAAAGTCTGTGTCATCTGTGTATCTCTACTATGATCCTGATTATTCTTCCCTATCTTTAGGCGTATACTCTGCACTAAGGTAAGGAAGTATTTTTTAATTATATAGTAGTCATTTAAAAGTCTGTTGACATTTTAAAGCATAGAATGAAAAATGAAAACCAAAGTCTTACATGAAAGGCCTGCTTAGCTTTATTTTATTTTAACATTTTTAGAGAAAGAAAAACATTTACTTCATAGGTTCTAATTTAATTGGTCTGAGTATTTAAGTTAGGCTGACTTCAGTGTTTAAAGCAAAGTGTTTAATCTACTTTGGAAGATGGAAGTAAGAAGTGAAACGTGTGGCCAGATCAGCCGTGTGGTACCACTTTTGCTGTATTGGGCCATTTCAAACGACTGTTCTGTTGCTGTTTTGCTTCCCTTTCTCACAGATCCAAAACCAGGTCATCATCACTCAATTTTGTATTCACATAATAATGTTGTCCGTTTGTTTGCATGAAGGACCATTCCCACAAGTGACTCCCTTAAATGCAGAGAGTGGCTTTGTTTCTTTGTTTTTTCAGTTGGAACTGACCAATGTGGTGTTAATCCCACACTTTCACATTTGCTTGCCTACAGATGGAATGCTTTTCCCTCACAGGAGCGCTGCCAGTATTGATGTTTTTAGTTTCCTATTCCTTGATAATATGCTGATTTAGCAGTGTTTTGGGTTGCCTGAAGTACTTTCACTATATATAATAAACTGTAAAGGAGGAGTGTAGAACCCCTGGCTCTTCAGCTTATGTTGGACTGCAACACCCAACTGCTTCAGCCAGCTGCCCTTGCCTATAGATCAGACATGGCCAAACTTGGCCCTCCAGCTGTTTTGGGACTACAACTCCCATCATCCCTAGCTAACAGGACCGGTGGTCAGGGATGATGGGAATTGTAGTCCTAAAACAGCTGGAGGGCCAAGTTTGGCCATGCCTGCTATAGATTATGTAAGGTGACACCTAGACAAGCTTACTTAAACTCAGATGAAAAGAACTGTCTTCAAGGGTGATGTAAAGTGGGATAACCAATATCTTAAAAGTCCACAGATTTTCCCATCCCTCGTGTAAAGTTGGTTAGCTTCCGTCTGCTTTAACGAGTCAGGTTTTCAGCTTCTTAAACCTGGAGTAAATATGAACTCCCTCCAGGAGTAGACGCCTTAATGTGAAGTTACTAAAGTAACTTAGTTACCTAAGTTAACAGAAGGCTAGGAATAGAGAGTCCTTAAGAAGCTGCCGAGGAACTTGATACTATGCAGGCTGTTACCAATTTTATTCAGGGGTGTTTGGAAAAGCCTTGCCTGAGCTTGGTGGCATTATTAGTTCGAATCTCATTTTAAAATATTGCTTAAACATATTTAAATGGGTGGGCCCCTTCAGAAAAACCCACGGTCTAAGAACCCAATCCATTAGACCAGGGGTCAGCAAACTTTTTCAATAGGGGGCCGGTCCACTGTCCCTCAGACCTTGGGCGCTGGGGTGGACTATATTTTGGGGGAAAATAATAATGAACAAATTCCCATGCCCCACAAATAAGCCAGAGATGCATTTTAAATAAAAGGACACATTCTACTCATGTAAAAACACGCTGATTCCTGGGCCGTCCGCGGGGCAGATTTAGAAGGCAATTGGGCCGGATCCGACCCTCGGGCCTTAGTTTGCCTACCCATGCATTAGACAAATGATGAAGTGGTATGTTGTAACTTCTAGTTCTGGAAAAGCAACCAAAAGGACAAAGATAATATATATTAATAAAGGAATTTGTTTGAATGATTTTACTCTCAAAGTGAAAATTCACGCATAAGTTAACATGCATAATGCTACCTGAAGTCATTAAGGCAAATATTAATGACTGTGAAATATGGACTTTGTGCTTTTCAGGTCTTTGTAGATGTTTCTTTGGGATTTATTTATTTTTTGCCTACAATGAGTGGGTTGTCATATTTGCTTGAATAATGGGCACATTTGCTACCCTTGTATATATCTTGTGTCATTCAGGCAGGCTTACTTAAACTTCTGTTTTAGTTTCTGTCTTTTTTTCCTTAGCAGTTAGAATGCCCCCCCCAATCTAGGATACCACTACCTGCAAGAGGAATTGCAGACCATTAGCAGCAGACCATTTTTAGTCCTCATCTGCCACCTACTTTGTTGAAACACTTCAAACAAAAGCTGAGGCTGGAAGGCCAAGTAGGAGTACTGCTGGCTAGAACAAAATGAGGAGAAATTGGCAGTTGTGCATTCTTCACACACATCACTTAGAGTGTTGTCCCAAGTTAGATGAAAGCAACTGTCTCCAAGTGATGTAAAGCTGGAGAACCACCGCTTGCCTCTTGCTGGCTCAAGACTGAATAAGAAGAAAGCTAAAATACTGTAATTTTTCTTTCAAATAAATAAATGGGACGAGCACAGAAGACAGCACTCGCCAAATATGGAAAATAGCACTTGCTGCATATTTGCATGTAAATTACTCAAACTCACTGCAAACTTCCTGAAACTTGTTGATTTTAAAATTCTCTGAAGTCTGCATGTACTGTCTTAGCCCGCTGAATACAATGACTGGGCCAGACTTCTATAGAACATCAGTGCATGAATATTAATAGGAAACCTGTTAAAAGGGTGCCTTTAATCACTTGCAATTTGAATTTCAGATTAGCTTCTTGGCAGGACAAAATGCAAAATTGGCTTTCTTAAGTAGAAGAGTTTGTGGTTTTGTTGGGTTCTTATACGGAACTGTCTCTGCATTTATTATTCCCATTCTTTACTTAAATGTAATCATCCCTTTAACATAGGCCAAAATTTAGGTCATTCCATTTTATTTCACGTTTGCTGTATTATAAGAGCTCCTTGCATCTGTGAACACATCTATCTGGTATTATCTTTTTATCCATTCAGAATGATTGCTTCTTTTACAGGGAAATTGCTTTTACTAGGCAACTTCATGAAAAGGCCTCTGACCTATGCTATTACTACATGGGGTTTTACATTCATTCATGCCCTAAAATGAGATATAAGGTAAGGCTAAAGTTACTTTATTAATGCATCTGAATTCAGTCTGCTGTTTGATGTGACTGTTCTGTATGACTTCTCTCTGCTTTGGCTTGACCAAAATGGAGCTGGCTTCTGTTCAGTTTTCTTTCAAGTGTCTAGAGTATTTTATATTTTTATCTGCGTAAGAATTATTGGCTGGTATCCAATGAATTGGGCAACTAGTTCTACATGCCAGGAAGACTGTGGGCTAGGGTTTCACAAACAGTTGCCCCCATGCCACCTAGCAAACCAGATTTAAAACTGAGAGGACTTTCAAAGCAGCTTGCGACTTTGGGCAAAGATCTTCTGTTCAAAGGAAAGAAAACCAGAAATTCCACTGGGTATGCCAAAACCCTTGGGCATCCCTAAAGTCATTCTTTGGATACCAGCCATTTTGTTCAAGGTTGGTAAGAAAAATAACTTATTTAGTATGTTTTTAATGATTTGAAATCATATAACGTCTATAGAATATCTCTGGGTTTTGTTGAACTCCTTACAGTTTGGTTTCTTTAATTAGTTTCCTGTAAAAAAATACAGTGGTACCTCTGGTTACGTATTTAATTCGTTCCAGAGGTCCGTTCTTAACCTGAAACTGTTCCTAACCTGAAGCACCACTTTAGCTAATGGGGCCTCCTGCTGCTGCCGCACGATTTCTGTTCTCATCCTGAAGCAAAATTCTTAACCCGAGATACTATTTCTGGATTAGCGGAGTCTGTAACCTGAAGCGTATGTAATCTGAAGCGTATGTAACCTGAGGTACCACTGTAAATGAACCACCATACCAGTGTTCATCAGATGACTAGGTATAGAGCTACCTTATTGGCTCAATGTTTAGAAGAAAAATGTAAAGAATTAATACCAAATACATATTTTGTGTTTGATTACTAGGTATATGTCACCATATAAAGAAATGTCTTGTTCTCTGGGTTATGGCTTGGAGTTCCCATTTTGTTATTAAAAAAAGGGGGTGGGGAGGAAATCTCACATTCTAACAATTCTTATGTGCACCGTGCTCAGTGGAATTTGCTCTCCAGTAAATGTTTCTTTATGATTGCAGTCCAAACGTTCATACTATCTGCAAATATAGATATGGAAATCTGTATATAGATATGTACCGTATTTTTCACCCCATAGGACGCACCGGCCCATAGGACGCACCTAGTTTTTTGGGGGGGGAATAAAGAAAAAAAATTATTTCCCCCCCCCCAGGTGCAGGGCTGGGGCGGGGGAAGCCCGAGCTTCCCCCGACCCCAGCCCCCAGAACAGGCTGCTATCCGCAAGCTGTGGGAGAGCTGTGCGAAGTCGCGCAGCTCTCCCACGGCTAGCATAGAGTTGCGCGAAGCCCAAAGCTTGGGGCGTGCTGAGCTCAGTGCGCCCCAAGCTTCTGGGTGCCGGCAAGGTCTCCGCTAGTCGTGGGAGAGCCACACAACTTCGCGCAGCTCTCCCACGGCTAGCGGAGCACTGCACGAAGCCCCAAGCTTGGGGCGTGCTGAGCTCAGTGTGCCCCAAGCTTCTGGGTGCCAGCAAGCTCTCCGCTAGCCATGGGAGAGCTGCGTCTCCCACGGCTAGCGGATAGCTTCCTGAAGCCTGGAGAGCAAGAGGGGTCGGTGCGCACCGACCCCCCTCGCTCTCCAGGCTTCAGCGAAAGCCTGCATTCACCCCATAGGACGCACACACATTTCCCCTTCATTTTTGGAGGGGGAAACGTGTGTCCTATAGGGCGAAAAATACGGTATATAACAGAATATCAAGCATACAGTAGAAAAGCAGGCCACAGAATTGGAGACAAGGTCACTAAGATATTTTTGCAAAGCACGGAGGGGTCAGCTCAGCAGAGGAATGTATTCATCACATGCATTAAACCCTGATTTTGCACCTCCAAGAATCACCTCTGGCATGGGAAAGATCTCTTATCTTGAGCTGTGTTGCCAATCTGCATGTGCAATATTCCTCTAGAAGGTTTGTTGGCCTGAATTGGTATGAGAGGCATCTTACATCCTGATAAAGAGGCTTCTGGGGCATATTTCCATTTTGCTCTGGCAAGTGTATTTATTGGGCCAGAAGTAATGCCTTCAGCACTGCTTTTTTCCCTTTTCTGGACAACAGTGCTTCCTGAGTAATTCACTTGGGGAACAGAGCTGCTTTGGTAGAAACAACAAACAAACAAACCAGAACACAAGAAGTGGCTCCCAAGCTGGCAGATGCTGTTCCCAGTGTGAAAGGGCTGAGGTGTCTCAGAGGCTTTCCCTTTTGTAACGTCCTTTTCTTTTGCAGTGTAAAAAGTTTATTCCAGTTTCAGCCTGTGCAAGGCTTGAATACTCCCTCGCTATTGCCGTGTTAATGGTGACCTTACTGCCTACCGCAGCCATTCCCTAGATTTTCAAGGTGCTTCATTAAAAAAGAAATGTGCGTGTTGCAAATTTACATAGAGAAACCAGGCTTTTTAAACACACTCACACTATCAGCTACCTAATAGCATTCGAATTATGTTGTTCACCTAGCCATTGTTTAGGAACACACACTGGAAACCGTTCGCTGCATGGAATGGTTCTAAATTTGAAAAATACGAAATGGTGCCTTTACCTGAGGCTGCTTAACTGGCTTCTCCATGGTGCACAGTGCTGCTGGTTACTGAGATGGGAAGTGGGGAGGCAGCAGAGATCAATGCAGTGTGGGCTCAGCAGCACCCATCTGACACTCCTGCTTATGCTCCCATGCTGAACCCCTTGCTTCAGTAACCAGCACCAATGTGCAGTGTTGGGAAGCCAGGTAAGCAGTGCAGCCCTGCCTCTGCCACCTCATCAGCCTCTGCTTGTGCTCTCTGTCTCTGTTCTCTAGATTCTAGAGGGAATGGGAAGATATGAGTCTTCAAGGGAGATTTGCCAAGAATATGGTTTGAGAGAGAGTATGCATTTGATAACTTCCCCATCAAGATATTCTGCTGCCTGAAGCATCAACTCTAAATGCATTTACAGATTTAAATGTATACATCATAAATCTGCCACCATCGTGTTGAACGCCAATTCCTCTCCCAGTCCAGTAGTCCATATATTGCTGTTACACAGCATGCTACCCAAAGCACTGATCTTGCCACTTGCTCTTTTCATTTGCATGTCAAGCAAGGCAATTAAGCCCCAAGTCTGCCTCTTCTCCACATTTGCTGGCTGAAGCATCCTGTCTTGCTTTCATTTTATGATGGGGCTGGCTCCTGATAAGAAGTAAAATAGCTTCCTCAGTCAGATAGTATCTGTGAATCAAGGTTGCAACTATGGTTGCAGCTTTAACATCTAAATGTGTTGGGGAAATCAGTTGCCTTGAAGTACAAATGGAAGCACTACTTTTGCCAGTAACTTCTTTCAAAATAAGGATGGCTGGTTCAGGTTCAAGAATGATCCGCTGCTTGGGGGCAGAATTAATTTGCAAATCTTTTATGTTTCATATGCCACTTTGGAAAAGCTGCAAATGTGCTGCCTGCCCCCTGCATATGAATAGATAAACCTCAAACTTTAATAGATTGATGAGGGAAAAATCACTGATGACAGTTGATCTTTGGGTCTAGAGTACTTTTCCCCACCCTGACTTGTAATTTTCATATCCTTTGATCCTGTTCTTTTAAATTATATATTCCTGTGTAAAGTTTTTTTATTGGTTTGGCTAGGAAAGCTTCCTTCCAGCCTAAATTGAGCTTCTCACCAGTTACTAAAGTGCAGTGGTGTTTCGAAATGTGCTTCCATCTGCTGAGCAAGACAGAATATTGCCCTGACAAAATGCATTTTTAGTGGTTACCTGGCTTTTCCATCTAAAAATGTGATACTCTTTCCATAAATGCTACAAAGATGTGCTGATCCAGCTTTTGGCAGAAAGTGTGAAATACAGTCTTCCTAAATTGGCCTTCCTTGGAACTACAGAGAGCACTTATGGTGGTAAAGTGTTTGTAAGGAATTGAATGACTCAAAAGAGATTTCAGCCCTAGAAGTTAAACATGCAACTCAGTAACAAACTCCAAGGAAGTTCAGCTTCATTCCATACATATAGGAAGCTCCCTTATACCTGGTCAAACTGCCTATGTAGCCCTATGCTGTGTATTCTGCTTAGAAGTAACACTCCTATAACTCTCATACCCATCAATCCTTTTTCTCACATGCAAGCAGATTTTAAATGGTAGATATGGCCTCCAAAGCCAGTTCTTCTGAGCCTGGCCCAGGGATGAATTTTTTTGTTCAAGATTCATTCTTTTTGGTCTTTATATTTTCTCTCACTAATACATTCAGTTGGAAAATACAAACTAGTATACAACCTTCCCTTCCAACAATGATTTATGTTATCCTTCGTCACCTTGACTTGTCTAAAAGAGATAAAAAATAATGGTGATAAACAGACCTATTTGATTTAGTAGGAGAACATAGAACCAAAGAATTGTAGAGTTGGAAGGTATCCTGAGAGTCATCTCTTCCATCTAGTGCAATGCAGGAATCTCAACTAAATCATCCCTGACAGATGGCCATCCAACCTCTGCTTAAGAACCTCCCAGGAAGGAGAGTCCATCACCTCTCATGGAAGGCTGTTCCACTGTCGAACAGCTCTTACTGTTAAAAAGTCCTTCCTGATGTTTAGTCAGAATCTCCTTTCTTGTAGCTTGAATCCATTGGTTCGGGTCTTAGTCTCTGGAGCAGGAAAAAACAAACTTGCTCCATCTTCCATGTGACAGCCCTTTAGATATTTGAAGATGGTTATCATACATCTTCTCAGTCTCCTCTTTACCAGACTAAACATGCCCAACTTCCTCAACCATTCCTTGATCACGTTGGTTGCCCTCCTCTGCACACGTTCTGGCTTGTCAATATCCTTCATAAACAATTCCACTTAATACTGTGCATAGAAGTGAGCAGGCCAGGATTGTCTGAAGGCTAAGCATTCTATTACTTTAATTGGACTTTGGAAGACTACTGCTACTGGCTGACAGTTAATGTCATTTCTTTATTACTCGCTGGCTTTCACATAAGGATGAGGCATGGATGTCTAGCACCAGTCAGGAAAAGCATCTTTGCTATCTGTAGATGGCAGACTGCCAACCTGAAAGTGCCCAGTGTGTTTAATTTACACATGCACTATGCATTTATGTATTTATACATGCACTATGACACTGTACTGGTAATTTCAATGTATCTTGCATTATAAACTTCCCAGTAAGGTGATGATCTGGTGGAAAAAACTCCCATGATTGGCTCCACCCTCTTAGTTGTGATATTATTGTACATATTGCAAACATGGGATCAGAACACTGAGACTTAAGATTTATAGCAGTGTGTGTCAAGGCTTTGTGTCTGGTCCTTATATAGTTTGCTCTTTCTCTATAGCTTGGTTGAGTACTTTCCTGTAAGAAAGCAAAAATAAAAAATCGTATACAATGAACTATAGCCCAAACTTAAGTTCCCATGCTTTTTATTCCAAAGTTGTTCTGTCCCTTTACTATCAAAGGTACTATCAGACAGCTCCTGCTTTATATTCTTTTGAATGGAAAATATATGGTTGTATGTGAACACCTTTTTGTTTTGTCCTTCATTAACCTTAAGCTTTTATATGAGTTGTCAAAAGATACTCATTTTGTTTTTTAAGCTCAGCTTCCTTGCCCTGTGGCATTTCTCAGGCTCTCTTGGCATGCACATTTTCATGCAAATTAGTTTCAATTTAAGCCCACAGTGTCTTTACTTTGGCCAGCTGTCTGCTTTCTCAAAAACTTTTCCATTGAGTCCGCAAATTTTAAAGAAGGTATACTTTGAAGTGTACAGTAGAACTAATAGCTTCTGAAAAAAATGTTAATATCTCAGAATGTTTTAAAACTCTAGAGAATCTTCTATTACTTGAACAAGGTGTTTTAGTGGAAACTTCTTCCAGATTTGCATAAAAGCCGCAGGAAATGTAACTATTTCAGTTGGTCCATTTCACTCTCCTGACATGGCTTGGTATCAGATGGAGAGAGAATAGCAGAAAGGATTCCAAAATGTCAGAATAGAAACAAGAGGCCAATTCATCTGTGATTAATCATTACGCTAAATACCTCTGATAGGCTGTGGTCATAAGCAGAAGGTATTTATTGTGCAGTGCTTGAGAACCAGTTTTCTGTGGTTAGGTTTTGAGGGATTCAGCAGCATTGAAAAATGGTACAGTAGTAGTCTGCAACTCCACATCCGCAAAGTCAAGCTTTGGCAGCCTAAATCCCCTGAGCTCTGGCTTTTTCACAGTTCCCTGGCTGTGGAATTTAGTTAACCTTTTTCAGTAAACTTGGCTTTGCTGCCTAAGCAGAAATGGAAAACCACAGCAGAGCAAAAGCCCAACAGGATGTTGTTTAGCCACATTCTCTTGTGAGCCTGCCACTATAACACTGAAAGGATTGCAGATTTCTTGCCAACCCCACACACAACGCAGCTGGCACTTCGCATCTTCCTGATGGATACTTTATTAGCCTCATTGTATTTTAGCTGATTTCAGATGACAGTCTGCTATTTGCTAAAGTAGTGATACTTATCGACAATGCCAGGGACCTATGATAGAGGCTTATATAGAACTGACAGCTTTCTTTTGTGGTTGGTTGTGGCATTATTCAAATTTGTGGCATTATTCAAAATGTGTAGGAGCTAGTTTAAATTTCTTAGTGAGCAGAAGCAAACCCTTATGAGACTACTCTAGAAGGAGGTTGTGGTGATGTGACATGATCCTGATTGATGACTTAATCTAGGGAAGTGTTTCTCTTCTCAGAAAGCTAGGGCTAAAAGTTAGAGCTACAACAACTGGGTTTAAATTGTGTATTTTTCCTCCTCAATCTGAATCCATAAGGACTATTTTAAAAAGAAAAAAATAATATTTGAAACAAAGTCAGTACAGTACATACGTTTCAGGTTACATACGCTTCAGGTTACAGATTCCGCTAACCCAGAAATAGTACCTCAGGTTAAGAACTTTGCTTCAGGATGAGAACAGAAATCGTGCAGTGGCAGCGCGGCGGCAGCGGGAGGCCCCATTAGTTAAAGTGGTGCTTCAGGTTAAGAACAGTTTCAGGTTAAGAACGGACCTCCAGAAGTTCTTAACTCGATGTACCACTATACTAATAACCTTAGGTTTAGAGGAATATGTCTTATACTCTGTTTTGTAGGGTTTGATAAGAGTACAAGTTTGATTTATCATGAAGATGCACATGTAACACGTTACATTATTTGGTGGACGGGGTCAGACTATACGTCACATTGATTTAGATATAGGTAATTTGCCGGTTCTAGTGATGGTTTATAAATGAGCATCTATTATTTATAAGATACTAGCCTGGTTCACACATTGCTGACATTCAAACCTAGATAGATCAGTAAAGACAGTAGCTTACTTTCTAAACTTTCCCAAACTCCCGCAAGGAGCTCATAGTTGCTTTACTCATGCCTGGTCCTTTACTGCTGAGCTTGAACTAAGGCAAGCTTTGGCTCAGTGCATTATCCAAACCCAGGCTTGCGGTTAAGTTCTCTCCAAAGTAACAGTGAGCTGTAACTAAGAACAAACTTTAGTGGTTATTCTGGAGGGAGCTTGTCACCGAGGTGGGTTTGCATGGTACATGAAGATATACATTCGTTTAGTTCAGGGCAGCAGCAAAATGACTAGGGAGGTGTAAAGTAACTGTGATCTCTTCTCCAGGAAACTGCACATTTGTTCTAGGTCAAGGTTTGGCTTGCCGTGGTGTGCTCACCAGACCACTGTCTTTATTGACCCATCTAGATTAAGCTGCTTCATTATGGATGCTTCAAATAGATGGAATGACAAGTAGCAATAGTCACATTGATATAAGGCGGTTGATTTCTAGATGCTCTTCTTTCACCATGTCTTCAGGTAATCAGTGTGTCAATAAATGCAGAACATATAATGCGGAGTACTTCGGTTTTTTATATATTCTGAAAAGCGACTCTTTGAAAATTTTGCATCACTGAAGAGGAGCTGTTCTAAATGAAGCTTTGATGCTTCCTTTTCTTTGTTGAGTTTGTCAGTGGTGGCTTGGGTAGGGGCACATTTATTCGAAAGATCCAATGCTGAGCTAGGGAACTTCCTACACTCAACACCAGCTGCTTTTCTGTCTTGGCGATTCGTTTTAGCAGACTCACAGACAACGTAAAATAAGTTCTAGAGCAACACTGAAAGAACATTGCGCGCGCGCGCACACACACACACACACATATATATATGTACTAATTAATACTGCACCATTTCTTTTTTCCCTTTTAAGACTCAAGGGAAGCAGATCAAAGAAATGTAAAAACTCAAAAGAGTTTCTATCTTCTTTGGTTTCTATAACTCACGTTTTATTTTGCATATTTCTCCCCGGCCATTCAATCTTGAAGAGTTTCCATAACTGCTGGGCCAAATAGGTCATGCACCTGTGCAGAGCATGTGATAGGAATATTTTAGAGCTCCAGTCATAGAGCTAGCAGTCATTTTCCCATTCCCTGTTGCAAGGAGATTGAGTGGCATGTGGAATGTGCTGTATTATGCCAAGTGAATGTAAATAAAGCATAACAAGATCTAGGATGAAATAAAGTAAGCATTTTAAAACTATGATTTATAAACTAATGAGGCTGAATCAGTTAAAAGTTTTTACTGCCCTTAACACTGGTTTTGTTGCATTTCTCAGGCAAACTGATATATTGTTCAGATCTGCCCCCCCCTTTGCATTAGAACAAATAAATTGTCCATGTGTCTGAAAATGAGATCTTTGGAAGTATGGGAATATATATTCTAGAGCAATTAGAAAGCCAAGCCTAGATTTCCATTTTATAGGATGATTTCTTCTGAACAGTGTGGAGTTGGTGTTCAGAAGTATTGCTTTCTTCATTTACTGGTGGGGGGGGTGAGGAATCCTCTGAGATCCTCTGTTACATTTCCTCCGTGCTGTTATTTACAGCACTGGACATTTGCAGCTAATCCTTTGCATGTGTGCGTGCGTGCGTGCGCACACACACACACATCCCAGCATGAGTACTGAAGAGTTCAATTCACAAACCACTTTGCTGATGGTTCTCTTGCCCTGGAACCTGGAACTTCCTTGCCCAAGAGCTTATGCATTGGCCTACAAGGGCTACTAAGACCTGCTGGAGCAGTTGAATGAATTCCTTTCCAGATGCTGCAAGCTGATTGCCTGCCCTGGGGAAACTGAGAACTCTAATCAGATACGGCAAATTTGGAGCAGCTGCAGTTGCTCTCTGTCACTTGCATCTAGCGCTAACAGAATGTCTTAAAAACAAGGTTTAAAGTTTAATGTTTTAAGTTTCACAGCTACTCTTTTAAAGACCACCTGCATATTGTAAGGCATATTGCTGCTGACACTGTGATACTGATGTTACCTTTCAGTGATGGTTTCAAGGAACTCTGTTACTTATCACTAACAGCATTGTATACTGTGAAATGTGAGGCTCCCCCTCTCCTATGAGTCTCATTCTCCATTTGTATTAGGAGGCAGCAGGATCAAGGAAGTTGTCGCTGTTGATGACTGAGTACATTGTTGAAAGCACTGTTGGTTACATGTTAACAGAAGCAAAAGGTAACTTTCAAGGGTAGAAGCAAAGCTCTCTCTTACATGCCCTCTCTCTAGAAAACATAGATGGCTTTCTTTGTTTTTGATTTCTCCCTGCTTCCCAAGTACTTAAGTCAGATCTCAATATAGCAGATTCCTAGCATGTGAGGTAGGTGTATTAAACTGAGAAATAGTAACTTGCCCAAGTCAACACTGTAGAAATTTTGGGTGGGGTTCAGTGTGGCTCTAAGGAATTGGTGCCATCAGTGCAAGCATTTCTGCTTAGTTAACAGAATAAACCTCCCTGTGGAGCAGATTTGGGGGTGAGGGTGGGATAGGATGCAGAGGAAGGAAAGTCCCAGTGCACTAGCGGGAATCCCTGTGCACTGCAAATTAGTGGAATACTGCCCATAGTGAGCAAGTGCTGCACTGCTTACTGCTTGTCCAAGTTTGAATGTTCATGTGTATAAGAGGCATAGGCAGTCTCTACAGTAGTATACAATACTTTCTATTTCATTTCTTAAAACCCCCTGGAGATGTCCCACTAAACTTTTTGCATTGTTCTGCCCACTTTGAGTGACAGACCTTGTCAGTTTTGTGTCATATAAGCAAAGTGTCAGTTCAGTTCAGATTTTCCATGGTGATCTGTTGCAGTTGACGTAGCATGTGGCCAAAATCTTAGTTTCAGGCAATAAGGTTTGCAACACCTTGCAATAACTGTGAAGCATGATGATAGGTAATGAATGCTTTCCATAGACATATACGCTTAACTCTTTATTAGTGTTGGAAAATGTAATTTCCACACTGCTCTGTATGCAAATAATATATGTTAATAACATATGTTTAAGTCAGACTAGATGGAAGTTTACATTCTGTGTCATGAAGGCAGTGCATTGAATACATTTTTATATAAAATGTATAATGTTAATTTGTTAATAATCTAACACATAATCAATTGAAATAATACATTAAACTTCCACTCTTCCATTTTTTAAAATCTTGGTGTGCTTGATTATAAAGTCAGTTGAGGGGGAAGGGGAGAGAAAGGGGTTAATAGCCGCTGAGTTATTAGGGGTGATTTGACTACTGCTGTCAAAGAGAGCTGCCAGAAAGATTAATTCCAGATTCCCATAACAAGCCCGAGACAAACTGTTCTTGAATGAGACACTAGGGAGAGTTTTATCATGTCTAATTCATGCTCTGGTGTAGTTACACACTCACTAATCACAGCAGAACACAAAGAAGATTGCCATGAATTAGATCAAAACTAGAGGGCAGCTCATATAATGGCTTGTGAGAGTGCTATGATTTACTCTGCCAAAGCATGCAGAGGGGTGTTCTTTAGAAATGTGCCATTCATCTTATATAAATATAAATTATCTTTCCTGGAGCATCAGTTCTTTGTTGGGCAATCTCCCACTATATAGCCTACTTCACAAGGAAGAGTAGGACATTTTGTAGCCCTAACTGATATTGTACTGAGAATGGCCTTCACTGTCCATGTTCTTGCATGATTGCAGTCCATAGACTCTGCCCTCCCAGTTGCTCAGTACTTTTGTAGTTGGTCATAGTAAGTGTGAATTCAATCTAGAAAGTGCCACATTTTGCATCACTAAAGTATTTTTCTACTTTATGGTATACAGTAATTGATCTGTAGATCATCTCAGGAGTCTTTGCTATTGCTTTGAGTAACATCAGGATCCTTAACATTTATACAGTACGTGGTTTTTGGTGTATAAAGCCCTGTAAAGCTTGGGACCAGGATACCTGAAAGATAATTTCACCCCTTATATACTCAGCTAAACGTTGTGCTCTGCAGGTGAGGGCCTCTCACAGATACCATCTTATCAGGAGGTCCATTCTGCACAATGTAAGAATTGTGCCTTCAGGGTTGTGTCACCTACCCTTTGGCATGCCCTCCCTTTGAATATTAGACAGGCACCGCTTCTGTTGCCTTTTTGGCACCTACTGAAGATCTTTATCTTTCGACATGCTTTTAAATGTGAAGTCTTTCCCAGTTTGCACTCGCATTTGAATTGTTTTTAGGATTATTTTAATGTGTGGTATCACTTGTGTGGCTCCTTTGGGTGGAAGGGTGGGATATATATTTAATAGGGGTGTGTGTGAAAATGTCTATACCTATTACAGCAAAGGAGGGTTTAGAGAAGGCTTTGCCGTTGGCTACCCCAGCCATATCAGCATGTAATTAAACACTTGCATTGCAGGGACATTGCAGGAAATGCTGCGTGTAAAATTGGGATAGCCAGTGTTGATGACCATCGTATCTAAAACTTTGTTCCTGTTCAAACATAACTTTTATTTCTTTCGTTTGTCTGGAGAGTTGAGCTTAAAGCTGATTTAATTTAAATTATGACTCTTGCCAGAGCATGCGTAGGTTTTCTTTCCTGTCATTCACAGTGGCTACTCAGTGGCTACTCTTTACCTTTAACTACTTATTACCTCTTTATATTAAAGCAGCTGGCTAAAAAGGATTAGAACAAATCCAGGGTGCATTTTTCCTTCATGCTGAAGTACCTGATACAATCTCTTATTGGATGAGAGCAGGGAAATTGTTGTAGGTGTTATTTCATAATATATTAGAATAGCAGTTGAACCCATTCTGACACAATCAGCTTGTTTTGAAAGGAAAATGTCAGTAGCAATAACTGGTGACTCCTAGATATATTGTATCGTCCTTCAACATTGCATAGAGTTGGGTAGACTTCCACATGGTGCCTTGTTTCCAACAACAGCATCTAGAGTCCCACACGGTGTTGAAATGTTGTACAAAAAAAGCCGCCAAACAAAAGGACCAGTGGGGATATTAAGCGTTTTATGCGTGTGTAGTTTGTCAAATAGTTTCAAAGTTTGAAAGCCAAAAGGTTTTCAGTGCGTTCTTTAAATTGTGGCATGCCTTGTTATAGTGGAGAGGCTGGCAGATTCCCATCTTTGTTTTGTAAGCCTCAGAAGTTAGTTGCATAATTATTATTACAAAAAAGATAGCACTTGGGCTTCAGTACCACAAAGGAAGAACATAGAGCCTGGATTCAATCATCTGTTTTTAAGTTGTTCTAGAAAGGGTTGTCCAACACAAATATCCGTGTCCCATTTTTCCATGTGTTGGTAACTATCAGGTTTGCTTTCTGTGTGTTGTGGACAGGCTTGCCTTTTAACACAGTCTGTAAACTACCGTTAATTTGAAGCATGTTAGATTGCAGATGCTTTCATGAATTCTTATGCAGCTGCACTACTACCAAATCCATTTCCAAATTGATGGTGCTGAGTATCAAACTCTTTGCTCACTGTAGTAAAATTCAGAGCCTTTTTTTCTGGGTGTCTCTGCCAACTAAGGCATGGTGCGTGGTGATGATCACCACCAGAGAGAGGTATTGTCCTATTTCATAGAACGCTGTCTTTAAGGAGATTTGTTTGGCAACCTCATCAGTAACGCTTTGATGCCAGTTGTGTTTCCCGTGCTTTAAAAAAGTATTTTTAACAGCAAAGTTTTGATGCTGCTTTTATCTGTTAAATTGCATCTTTTCATCTTTTACATTACTGGTTATATTATTAATAGACTTGGTGTAAGATGCTGTATAAAAGTTATTTAGAAAGCAGAGCACACATTTCTAAGTAATTAAGTGACACCTCCTCAGGCAGTCATAGAACAGTTTTTAAAAGGGTGCCGCTAAAATTTGAAAGACCAAAGTCTGCCACTGTCCAGCCCCTTGGATACCTTTTAGCTGCTCTTGAGACTGTGGTGGCTGTGTGAACTATTTTGCAGAGGATAGTCTTCTGTTTGAAGGGCTGTCCTGTCCATATTTGGCTGAAAGGGACAACAGGGATCTTGAAGTTGCACATTGAAAGTTAGCAAACTGGATAGCAGACAAAGCAGGTACATGCTTACATTCCTTCCCGATAGGTACATCGGTAAAACATCTCTTTTCCTCGTTCTAAGTAAAGGATTCTTAAACTGAAGTGGTACCTTTTTTAAACATATGATTTATTCTGGCGCCTTAAGCTGATCTACTTTCCTTCTGAAGCTATTTTATATACAACATTTCAAAATGTTTTATAAAAATTAATAGCTTAAAAGAAGTTTAATATAGCAATATATCATACAAACAAATGATAGACATATTGGAACCAAAGTCTCAAAAGTATCGCATGCTGGGGGTTTTTAAGCAGAACAAATTTGTGAATTTGCTGTTCAGTAGTATGCTTGCAAGCATATGTGGTGGTATTCAGTTCCATGAGTGGAAATGACTTAAAACAAGGAGACTTCCGCTTCCTGCACTGGCTCGTTCCTACCTACCAATCTACTTCAGAGGGTTGGAGGCACTCCAGACCAGATTATGTGTGTTAGTACAAAGTGGTTCTGCTGGAGAAGAAAAGAAAGAGTTAGACCTTTTTGTATTATGGATTCGTTTTACGAAGGAGACAATCCTGCGTATTTTCACTTGGATGTAAGTCCCATGGAACTCGGTGAGACTTACTCCCATGTCATTGTAGTTAGGATTGCAACCTAACCATATCAGAGGCACATGATATTTAAACAAAGATTAACCCATTTTGTTTTATTTGACCCCAGTGAGTATGTGCCTACTTGTAATATTTGGTTTCTTACGAGAACTCTTTTGATACCTGTCAGTCATTTGGACATTATTTAAGTTTTGGATAAACATTCAGATATCTTAACCTCAGTAGAAAATCCATAAACATTCTATTTCTGTCATCAGCAGTCTGGAGCTAAGGTACAAAATCTGATGTAGACTAAATAATGTTTATTGGTCCTGTAGGGATTATTTCGTAACCTTTTCATTCCATTGTTTTAGCCCAGAGTGAAACATTAAAAGTTCTTTTGAGAGTTTTTACTTTTCTCTGGACCTTGTAATTCTTAAGACAAATTATTCAGTAGTGACCTTTATGATAGTGTGATGATGGATTGTTTATAATTCTTCCTGTTAAAGCTCCTGAAAGATTTCAGCAAGTTCTCACTTTAGATAACTTTAGGTCTTTTATAAAACCTATTGTCTGATACTCTCATAAATATGGGACATATTTATTAGTTCAAAGTAAGCCTATTTAGCAATAAGCCATTGGGATGTCTCACTCCCCCAGCTCTCTCTGGAATATCTCAACACTTTTTGTAGATATGTTCTGTTCCACTTCATTCATGATGTGTGTCCAAAATCTTCTATCTTTTCCAGTTGCTTTTGGCTCTCAATCAGTAAAAGGAGACCATATAATTCACTGCCTTACAGAATTATACAGAGGAATACAATTATTATTTTTTTGCTTATTACATTTCTATTGAAACAGTGATAATCAAAATGATTGCTTTGAAGCTTTTCCCCTTATACATAATGGACATTTTGTTCCATACCACAACCAGCATCAAAAATGTACAGAAACCCTGAATGTATACAGTAACTTTATTTCTCCAAGGGTTAGCATTATTATTAGCATTATCATTATCATTATCCGAGTGAGTACCAAGCCTGACTTGGCAGAATATTACTCTTTTCTGCATAATTTTTGAATATTTCCAGCTGAGGTTGTTCAATTTTATTTTATTAAGCAGTTTAGATCAGTTATTTTCAATCTGCCAGTGTTGTACAGTGGTTAATATCAAACCAGGGCTATGGAAACAAAAGTTTCCTTTTTTTAAAAAAAAATATATTTATTGAGATTTCAAAAACAAAAAATTACATAAAAGACAATGAAAAATATAGAAAAAAAGGAAAAAAAGAGAAAAAACATAGAAAATGCAAAGTATATAAAAAAATATAAAAAGAACACTTAGAAACAAATTTATCCTTTCATATCTTACATTTCATTTCCTTGCTTTCCTGACCTCCTCTCACCTCCCTTTTTTGTATTCCAGTTCAATTGGTTAATTCAGCAATTCCTTTCCCTCTGTTTTTGTCTTAGTCCTTTAACTTAATATATTATAGCTTTAAATTCTCACCTATTAACCAGCCATTTTTTCATACACCTTTATGACATTGCTGCTAGAACCACTTAATTTCATTCTGACATCATTCTAACATTCATTAATTTTACAATTTTTCTGTAAATAGTCTTTAAATTTCTTCCAATCTTCTTCCACCAACTCTTCACCCTGGTCTCGGATTCTGCCAGGGAAACAAAAGCTTCCAATCTTCACTCTTCTGTGAAGCTTTGGCCAAACCCATGGTTTGAAGTTGACTTATCTTGAAACGGAGTATATGACTGATCAGATCCAGGCTCAAATTCCCTCTCTGATTATCCTCTGAGAGCATCTTGGGCTGTCCTGAAAGGAAAAGATGGACCAGTGGGGGGAAGAGACAACATGCAGTGTGCTTGGAAGAAGGGAAGTGTAAAAATGTAATAAATAAAAACTTGCATTCAGATCAGGTTGAATTATTTTGCTCTGTCTTTGTTTTCCACGGGAGATCTAGAACTAGAATTTTGTAAAAGTCGGCTTTTAAAAATCTGAATACAGTGGATACTCAGGTTGCGAACATGATCCATGTGGGAGGCATGTTCGCAACCCACAGCGTCGCGTCTGCGCACACATGGGTCGTGCTTCTGCGCAAAGCACGATTTAGTGTTTATGCGCGAGTGCCAAAACTTGGAAGTAACCCGTTCCGGTACTTCCGGGTTTGGCGCAATGCGCAACCAGAAAACGCGCAACCTGAAGCATCTGTAACCCGAGGTATGACTGTAATAAAAGATTTGAATGTTAACATATAGTTAAGGCAACTTTTCTAACAAGAAGCCACCCTGAGCTATGCTTTATTATTGATTATCTTTGTATCCCACCTTCCCTTAAAAATGCCCAATGCAGCTAACAACAGTAAAACCCACTATAAATATAACTAAGCAAATAAGCAGTGTTCCAATAAAAATATGATCAGCGCATCTAACAAAAGTTGCCATTTTTGATCAGGCTAATTTAAAAATTGAGGAAAGTAAATAAGCATGTTAAATATATTCAAAGCCACACTGCTGGTCCTTTAAAATTAAGTCTAGAACGAGGCAACTTGTGCTCTTTGTTTTCAGAGCCAATAGGTCACAAAGCAATGGCATAGTTTTCTCTGAGGTCCATATCTTCATAGCAGGCAGAGTGGGGTGAAGGGGACCTTCTGAGGAAGACTGGCTTTCATTATATGTTCAGACTCCACCCCAAGCAGAATTTAAAAGATCTTTGATACAAGATGAGTTTACAGCTTTCTGAAATGAAATGTAAATTATTTGGATTTGTAAGAAATTTATTTGGGGAAGAAGCAGTTCAGAGTCATGCAATATATAAAACTTTGAAGGATAGGCTGAAATTGGGGTGGAGGATCCTAATATGCTTGCTAAGAATAGAATTTGTGTTGTGGGGGAAGTTCCTTTTGGGGATGTTTACAGCTCATAGATCAGACCGCAAAAAAATTGAGACCTTATTGGAGGGAACTTCCTACCCCAGCAGGGCAAAATGACATAACGGGTCTTTTCCAGCTCTTGTTTCAGTGTTTTCTATTAAGACTGTTTTTACACAAAGTTCACATGGCAGTCACTGATACTTTTTGTAAGCTTGTAAAAGCTTGTACAAAAACCAAGAATGTTTATATCTGTTATAGGCAATACACTTCAAAAAAACTTTTAGAAGCCTGTTGTTTCATTTCTAGTGCACAGTTCAAATTCTTCAAATCAACGTGCTGCACATATAATAGCTGTTTTCCCTTCTTTTTCTTGGGCACAGCTTGTTAGGGTTCTCCGGAGAGCTAGTGAAAATTGAATAGTCCAGTGGTGTCTACCCTGCTAGAGAGAAAAGGAAATGAGAATTTCTACACTATCAGATTTCTCCCAAGAAGAGGTCAGTTTGGCAGAAACAGGATTAATAGCATCGTCTTCAAAACAATAGGGAATCTGTCTACCTTTCTTTCACATTGCCGTTAGCATTTTGCCCTTTTATACAAAACCCGTCTGTACATGTTCTTAGAGAACATTAATGGTGCACAAGGATGAAAAGTGCTCTATTGGGTTTCTAGTAGGCTATGTTTATGCTAATACTATTAAGAATCACTGCATCTTAAGAAGTTATCAGGGAAGCTGCTTAATCGGTTTTAGGTGTCTTCTCACTCACCCACACCAGTACACCTACCATGATATTGGATTGTATCCAGCAATGCCACTCAGCTGATGAGAAGGTTTATGTCACTAGTTTGGATCCATTTGGATCCAGGAGAAGTGTAGCCCTGTTAATTCTCCTGGACCTCTTGACACCTTTCAGTATAGCTACCATGGTATCCTTATGAAATTTAGAAATACAGCAGTTCTCCTCCTCCATGAAGACTGGGAGACTGCTGCTTGGTTCCATATCATTTATGCTCCACATTTCCATTTGTCTCCCATGTGACTCAACATCCATGCAAAACTACTAATATCCAGAGATGCTGTGAAGCATGCTGCACTTAACTTGGCTGTAGCTCTCTGTGTTTGTGATTGATCATGAATACATTGGCAAGATAAGATCAAACAAACCTAACAAAGTAGAGTTGGGGATGCACTTCTAAAGGATCAAGTTTGCAGTCTGGAAGTACTTGGATCCTGACCTCTGTTTGGAGACCAGAGTATTGTGGAACTGAAGGACTTTTTACCATTTGAGTGTTGTGAGCCATTCCTGGACAATGATAAGTTCCGCACAGTTATCCATGCTCTGCTAACCTCCAGACCAGAGTTTGTGTGACTGTAGTATGTGTGTCCTCATAAGATTGAGGGCACAAGGAGAAGGGGACGACAGAGGACGAGATGGTTGGACAGTGTTATAGAAGCAACCAACATGAATTTGACGAAACTCCAGGAGGCAGTGGAAGACAGGAGTGCCTGGCGTGCTCTGGTCCATGGGGTCACGAAGAGTCGGACACGACTAAGCGACTAAACAACAACAGTATGTGTGACTGAGGCAGCCTGGCTACTTTTGAAGGCTGCTTAAAAGCCTGTTAGCTCAAATTACAGCTGCTGGACTATCATCTGGGATTGACCAATGAGAGCAGGTATTTCAAATGGATTTTGCCCCCAAAGTTGATGGGCACTGCCATTTGAATGGTGTGCATGTGCCACAGCTTGTGATCAGTTATGCAGGTCTTACTTAGGCTCCCCCTCCCCACAATTTTTTCTTCAAGTTGTCACCCCTTCTTCCTGTCTATCCTGGAAGAGGATTGGGACAGGCGAAACGGTCAAGCCTGGCACTTACCTGGGTCTTGTTGAGGCTCTTACATGTACCATAAACTTACCATTTAGCATTACGTGTGAACAAAGCCACTGAGTTAATTTTTAAAAATGCTATTTTATGCATAAAGTCTCAGTGGTGCCTTCTTGTGCAGAAAAAAAAAGTTAAGATGATCCTCAGTTTTAAAATATTTAAATAATTATGTGGCTATGCTAATTGTGGTAGGTGGATCTGTTTAACATAGGAGTGCATCTAATGACCAAATCACTTTTGGACTGGATAGTTGGATGATTGTTTCAGCTACATGCATACAGACTCCCAGCAGATCACAGCTGACGATTTGCCACATATGCACACTAAGCCGTGTGACTTAACTGGAGGTGTGTGAAAAACTTTAGGCTTCACTCTGACTAGGAGAGAATGAAAGCTAAAGGAGAAAATGACTTTTTGAAAGGCTTCCCAGCCCCCAGTATAAACTCTGAACTGGAAGCAACTTAACAGCTTTTTTTTTAGAGAGAGAGAGAGCTTGCCATTTAAGATATTCAAGATTTTAATAGCAAGAGCTAGAAAAATGACTAGGATGCGCCAGAAAACTAAAGCATGGGGGAATAAAGAGGAAGTCGGAATGATGTCCCAGTTTAGCTATTAGGAGGAGCCTGTGGGCTTGCATGCTGCTGCTGCTCAGTCTTCCTTCCCTCACCTATAAAAATCCCCCCTTCTCTGCTCTGGGTAGCAGTAATTGATTGCACTGATTCAGACATAAAACTGAACCTTTCAAGTTCTCTATGCATGTAGGCATTCCCATGCAGACATCCATACGTAATGCATGAATGTCAGCAGCCCGACCACTGGTGCATCACCGTTCTGTACAGAATTTCCCCTTTATGGAATGCATGCCTGAAGGGGGCTATCATCTTTGTTGTTTCTGATTCGGCTCTTTTATTATTTTTATTCTGTGTGGTGCAGTCTAAACACAGTTTGTGAAAACAGAGTAGCAGAACTCACTTGCAAAGCACTCTCCTGGGGGTGGATAATGCCTATCTCTGTTTATGCAATGAAATCAGGGAGCAAGGGTCTGCTGTAGTACTTGGCTGCTGGGATTCCATTGGTGTTCCCTTTCAAGGAAAAGGCTGAATTTAATAAACGTTTAGGCTGGCTCATTTTCTCCTCCTCTCTCTCTGTCTCTCTCATATGACGGCGCTGCCTTTGCCTTAATGCATTGCTGTTGATAATTTGGGGTTATTTTGTTTATGTAATGTTAGGGCTCCTCTTCTAAGCAGCTGGCTGGAAACTGAGATGAAGGCTGCCTTAATTCGCTTTTAATAAAAGATCAATGGGTTATTGTGGAAAAATAGAACACAGATGTACACTTTACCTGATAAAAGAATTAAATGTGTGTTTAACCTTTTCTGTTTGTTCTGTGCTACTGGTACTTGACCTTCTTTGTTTTTTTGAAACTATTATCTTTCCTCGGAGCTTTTACTTTTCATATTTGGCTTAGTCTGTGAAAACAAACTGTGCTGATGCTCCTTCATCTCAAATACTCACCAAATCCCTCAGATTTTCCAAAATATTTAAAAAGTAAATCTTCAGACTTAAGTTTCATTAAAACCTTTGGCCTTGCCTTGGAACAGAAGTCCAGAGATTGGTTTTAGCACAGAAACTTGAACACATAGCAAGGCAGAGTGAGAATACTTCAATTAAGGAACCTTATGGCAGAGTTGCAAAGCATGCCTCCAGAAGTTTCCAATAAAAAATACAGCCATGCTTTACATTGGCCTGAATTAATGTCATATGTAAGTGTTTTGCTTTCAGTGTATCTTTTACAAAAGGGAACTAGTGACAAGAGAATATGGTTGAATTTATTTTTGGGGTGGGGTTGGGTGCATTTCACCACAGGAGCACAGCAGGGGAGAAGAGGGAAAACAAGGGAGCAGAGAAATGAGCACTTTATGCAGCCCTGCTTAAAATATACCTTCCTTACAAAACAAGGATAGGCTAGTGTTATGGTGGGTATTAGGAACCTCTACACAGTCCCACATTCAGTACAGTGGTACCTCAGGTTACATACGCTTCAGGTTACATACGCTTCAGGTTACATGCACTTCAGGTTACAGACTCCACTAACCCAGAAATATTACCTTGGGTTAAGAACTTTGCTTCAGGATGAGAACAGAAATCGTGCAGCAGCGGCGCCGCAGCAGCAGCGGGAGGCCCCATTAGCTAAAGTGGTGCTTCAGGTTAAGAACAGTTTCAGGTTAAGAACAGACCTCCGAAACGAATGAAGTTCTTAACTTGAGGTACCACTCTACTGTACAACCCAAACTACAGATATGTTGAGGGTACTCTTACCTTTTGCCTCAGACAGAAACATTTCCCTCTCTTACTGACTGCATCGTGAAATGAGAATTAGACAGTCTCCATCTTTGCTAACATGTAGGCAGCAGGTATGTTAGTCTGTTCTGTTCGATCCTTCAACAATTAGTATATCAGTACCGTTTTAATGGATATTCTAGTTATTTGTTGTTGTTGTATTTTGTCCTTCTAAATTGGTTTGGTTTTCCTGGTTGTGTGAAGCTATAAATAAATCTAATAAACAAAATGAAATACTGAGGATACTTTGTGAGCCATTCAAGAAAAGAGCTACTTTGCTGTGGTATATCACATGTATAGTGGGATACACAGATTATGCCCAATAACCATGCAGAACCCAGCCATGTTTATTACTTATACATAATGAACGGCTTCCATAGCCAAGTGAGGGATTGGATGTGCCACTGTAAATGTCCGTAGCATGGACTCAGGTTTCTAACAGCCATCACATGATGAAGCTGGTGTGAGACTAGGCCCTGATTGGGGAGTACATCTTTGTGATCTGTCAAGATGGAGAATGGGAAAAAAGAAAATGTGGGGCAGTAGGCTGACAGCATTTCAAAGCATTTTTATCTTTGTTCAAAAGCTTAAGCCTTTACCTATGGTGTAGGGAACATTGTTTATATGCAATAATGAAATTTAATTTTGTTAGAAGTACAGTACTTTCATGTATAACTAGATTTTTCTGAAACAAGGCGAAGGTTTCATAACCCGTGGTTTGAAGTTGGTTAGTTTCCACAAACCATTCCACAAGATTATCCTGTTTGCACTGACAAGCTGCAATTAATAAAAAGCAGAACTCCTCCTTGTGGCCATGTTGAAGGAGAAGGGGGTGTTTTCCAAAGAAGGCTGCAACTCATTCGCATAACGCCAAACCATGATTTATGTTGCATGATTTATGTTGCATTTATGTTGCACCTACCCCCAGTGGGTAAAGTTGCCATTGGTCACTTAATTCAGCGGAAAGCACATTTTTATACCTTAAACAAGCCTTTCTCAACTTTGAATCCCCAGATGCTATTGAACTACAACTCTCACCATCCACAGTAAGCGTGACCAATAATCAGGGATGGTGAGGTTTGTGCTCTCAACAACATCTGGGGACCAGGTTTTGGGAAGGCTGCCTTAACAAAAACAGAGTTCTCTGTAGCAGGATAAAAGAGCAGAGAATATGATTCAGTGGTTATCACTCTGTGTGCGTTTGTGTGTAATATGACATAAAGAACTGTTAAAAGGACTTTAATATGTCAGAACTTGAGTATGTTATATCCAGTTTGGGGGGGGTTCTAATTTTTTTCTACCCACATGTCATATGTGAGATTATTGTTTAATATCTTTTTGCATCTATGTGGAATTATCCAGTTCTGCAAGAAAATAGTAAAGTGTTAACCTGGAGAAGAAAGTAAACAAGATTTATTTGTGATATTTAATCCAGTAAAAATCCTGATGTTTTGGAAGTTGCATAACTATTACAGCTTCTTCAATATTTATTTTTTGTTGAGTCGTCATTCTTTTAAAAAGCCACATTTCTATTAAATTTACTCAGCTTTATCCACAGAGCTTTAACAGGAGCCAGGAGTCTGTGTATTGTTTCAGAGTACTTGTACATAGCACTGGGGCAGCAATGCATGCATTTTTTTGAAAGTTCAATATACCGTATTTTTTGCACCATAACACTCACTTTTTTCCTCCTAGAAAGTAAGGGGAAATGTCTGTGCGTGTTATGGAGTGAATGCCTACGGATGACGGGGGGATCTGCTGCAGTCGTGAGCAGAGGATCCATGGTTACAGCTTGCACCAAAAAAATCACGCACCCACTGTTGCCTGGGGCCACAATGGTGCAAAAACATGGTTACAAAGCATGGATCCACATGGATCCTCAGGATTTTTGCATTGGGCTACCCTAAACTCACCGTCAGATCACATGTCTGTGGCCGCAGCATGAACCACAAAAATCATACATCCACTGTTTCGTTTAGAATATTTTTTTTCTTGTTTTCCTCCTCTAAAAACTATGTGCGTGTTATGGTCGGGTGCGTGTTATAGAGCGAAAAATACGGTACTTTCTTTCTTTCTTATCTTTAAAAAACAGCCTTTCACATTCCCTGTATAAACTGGTCATCATACAGACATTTGATTTGTACACTATTCACCTTCTCTTTGGGTGGCTAACCTGACTGCAGTACAAAATAAGGGTTCTTCACAAATTGCAACTCCGAGAATAATTTTCAGGATGTTTACTATAACTCAGAAGTGGTGAGGTGTGTGGCAAACTCATGATTTGAGACAATCATGCACCCTTTGTAGAAATAGTGTATTCATGCACAAAGGTGATGTCCATATTGAAGGCAGGGAGCAATATGTCAAGAAGCTGTAACTTTAAATAAGTGGTGAAGCTGTGCAGTGTTAATATGTAAGTAAGATAACCAATTTCAGTGATTCTGGAAGTAATCTAAATGCGGCCAGACAGTTACTCCCCCCCCCTTTACATTAAAAAGCATTGCATATTTCTTAAATATTTTCCTTGTAATACAAGTGTCCCAAGATCTCTCTGACTTTGTCTTTCTAAAATAACTTTTGTTTCTGTTCCTAGTCCTTTAAGCTAGAAATCAACTAGTTAGAAATTAAGTTAGATGAAGTACAGTGAGACTTATTTGTTCATTCTCAAATTCTTGGCATCCATCTGTCTCGAGAGACAATGGAGTGGTTCTCCGGGGATGAAGTCAAACCGCTGCAGTAGCAGCAACAAAATGACTTCTCTGGGGCTTAAGCCTGGGCAGTGTGTATAGAGGTCCTGGGCCGCCCAGACAACAGGGCCTGCCTCTTGGCCTCACTGATGTAGTCCTAAAGGAAACGAATGCTACAGTGATACCAGGTTGGTTGCAGGAGTTGCTGGAAGGAGGTATACAAAGCACCATCCAACTATCTTAGCGACTCTGCTCAAGTTTTGTATAGGGCTTTACACCTTGGCATTTACTTTTCCTGAAGATATCCCACAAGGCAGCAAAGGTTTTAGGATGAGAGTTTTCCTTCACCTAGATGAGCTCCCTTCCCAGGTTGAAGAGCCCCGCCTGCCCCTGTTCTCAAATTACATTTCAGTTAGCAGTACATCAGATTATTCTGTTTGAAGAATTATTGAGCTAGGTGCTCCAAAAGATTAAGCAGGCAGACAAGTTTATTTTAATTTGCTTTGTGTATCAACAGTTGTATTCATTCAGGAAAAGAGAAAAAATGACACTGATTGATTAAATTAATGATACAGCTAAAATGTTAATTGTAAAAGATAAAAGAGTGTGAAGAGATCTCAACCACCAAAGCTGAACAAACATGTTTGAGAAATAGTGTGTCCATCTCTGGTTTTATGGATGGATTATTTTGTTTAGGATTTTCTATTGCTAACTATAACTTTATTCTGGACCTAAAAACATTTGGAGTTTTGATTTTTTATTTTTAATAACATACCACTTACTTCTTCTCCATTTTCTCCTAGGGCCAGTACAGACCGTCTGACTTGTTGTGTCCAGAGACATATATCTGGGTACCTACTGAACAATGTCTGCCTTCTCTTGAGCATTCAAAATATTGTCGCTTCAATCAAGACTTAAAAGCAGGTAGGTATATAATTTACATCTTTTGCATATACTGTAAGATATTAGACTATAAATCAGGCATCCCCAACCTTGGCCCTCCGAATGTTTTGGGACTGCAACTCCCATCATCCCTGACCACTGGTCCTGTTAGCTAGGGATGATGGGAGTTGTAGTCCCAAAACATTCGGAGGGCCAAGGTTGGCCATACCTGCTATAAATGCTAAACATTTGAATGTACATTGTGTCTCATGGCTAAAATGACATTGTTAATATCTTCCATGTATTCATTTATTCAGTAATTTTAATTGGCTAATTCCCACTCTCATAAAGTGCATTTAGTTACTAAATAGTGTACAAGTAGTCCCTTTTAAGTCATCCAGCACACTTCAGTGTTCCATGTCATACATTCACCAGAGACCAGTATACAGAAAGTATAGTAGTAGAGAATCCCCACCCCCACAGAAAACACACAAATAAGCTGACTTTTCAATGTAAATGGACTTTGGATGCATTTTTATTCCCCAGTTTGCATGAATGGAGCCTCTACACAATAGGGATTTGTGTGTGTGAAATATGCTTCTTCTCTGCCACCATTGCACTGTTCCTGATGAATATTTGAACAATCTCATGGTATTTTCAGTACAATGCCGCCTATCATGTAATGATGGCTATGAAATGCCATACTTGCACCCTAAAATGTGGTCTTGGTTTGTTGTTTTGATGTCGTCCTAGACACTGTTCTTCAGACAAAATCTTTAATGTCTGTGTCGATCATGGTACTGTGTTCTATATTATTTTGGTGTAAAAACAAATTTAAAAATCATGTAAACATGAAAACACATGTTTGACTTTGAATAACGTTATCCAGAAAAATATGAATATGCTACACTTCCTGCCGTCAAACCAAAGTGTTGTTTATCATGAAATCTGGGTTGAGTGACACCATGTATAGTGAGCTCCTATCATGCTTCAATTGATATGTAAAATCTGGATCTGTTATGAAGTGAAAACACTTTTTGGCATAGCATTACAGAACTTGAGAGAGAAGCTTGAAAGGTATTACAAATTGAAAAATGTAGTGAACGGGTTCGAGGTAGGCAATTTTTCAAGTTGCCCTTGCCTAAGAAAGAGAAGAAAAGTGCTATTTTAATAGATGTGCTTGAAAAAAACTGGGAGTATGAGTAAACTGGTGCCCAAGATGGCAGCATTATAATATAAGAAGGGAGGCAACTGTTGGGATACTGCCAGGGAGACAAAGTCCATCATGACTCCACGTCGCCTCTGGACGATCCATCGATCTCCCGTAGATACAGTATCAGCAATTAGCGACACGAGCTCCAGAAATAGCTTGCCACATTCCAGAGCTGATGCACGCTCTATCAGCAGAATTCACACAGCGAAAGATGCACTCAGGAGAGCATATTTACAACTTTATTCAGCGTTGGTCAGAACAAAGAGAAAACATGACTGCCTGCTTCAGTGTCTCAGACACAGAGAGAGAAACAAAAGCATAGACACAACAGAAACATCCTGTGAACAGGAAATACGCAGGCTGTGACACAAACATCCTGCTCCCTTTTAAGGTGGAACGGAAATATCCTAACAGCAACAACATTAGGTAAAGAATCTTAAGTCTCGTATGTATGCCACTATGAAATGATAAACTACAAAAATCTGCATCTTTGTCTGTCCTGAGTACATCAGCCCAGACACGATCTGAATTCAGACTTATGTCCTGTGGTTTAAGGAAATTAAAACATAGCTACATGCTGAACAGCAGAAGGCCTGCTGTGAGCTACAGTCATTTGAGGTTTGGGTAGCTGCTTTCTTGAAGGAAGCAGTGCTCCATTCCAGGGCCGGTTTCCTGCAGAACACTTCCTTACAGTTGTCAGTAAAATAAGTCCTTTAATTAAAATACAGTGAGTATAAACATCGGGCTAGACAGACAATGGTATGCTCTGTTTCACATGAAATGACTTTCCATAACAAGACCTGTAGGTATCATACTGTAATAGTTCATAATTGCAGCCAACTCTGATGTCGTTTTGGTGCTTTCTAAAAACTCAGTTATTTATTCAGGCCTTTGCTGACTGTTATCGCTTCGAGATGTTTCTTGAAAACATTTCATAAATGAAACAAAATAAATAACTGGATACCAGTTGATTGCATTCATTCATTTTGTGGTTGCCCAGGTCTATTGACTGCTGTTTTGTTTTATTATGTACTATTAATGTATTTTTAACATACGATTGATTTTCTTTCATTATAGTTACAACTGATGAATATCCCATTCCTTTAATGGATTTAAGCTTCTCAACCCCAAAATTTAGAAAACGTATTTTAAACTACTAACTAAAGAGTGTTAGGGAGAAAAAGTGAATCTTAAAGGAAGGGAAACAGTTACTCAGAATTGAGATTACTGAAAGGGTTCTGGTGTTGCCGATATACAAAGCAACCATACTTACAGCATAATCCTGACCATGTCAGACCAATTTTTGTTGAAGCTTCTTTATGCCGGTGTTGTGTGTTTCTGCTGTGGAGGTTCATCATGCAGTTGAATTTACTCTCCTTGTAAGGATAATATAAAGGTTATGATGCACCATATGTGCAATAAATAAATTAATTCAGGGACATTTAAGAGTTGAGTGTCTCAGATTCCTTTGTGTCGTGTAGGTGGACCATTCTTTCTATGCAAGTTCCCCAAATAGAAAATTTATAGTGGCTGATTGCTACCAATAAAATTGAGAGAGTTTAATGAACAAAGATAGTTGAACTAGATTATTCTATTTCCTCTAAGGCAACACAGCCTCCTAAGCTAAGGTGAAGAAGACTAATCGCTATTCCATAGAGAGTGTGAAGTGTACAAACACTTCTATATTTGAAAAATACCAGAGCTTTCAGTGAGCCCAATAAGATTGTGGTAGATGTGAAACTTTGGGACCTTAGTTCTAGTGTAACTTTTTCTCTTGGGTTATGTTGGCTTTAATGAAAACTGGGAAAATACTGTGCACTCCCTTCTTGTGTGTCTGTCTTGCTGCTTCCAAAAAATGTTGTTTACTTGTCTCTGCATTGTCATGTCATTGATAAATAAAGAAGCCATGAAAGGATGTTCCAAATCTTTGCATCTACAACAGAAAATTCCCTTTTTCTTGTCGAGCCTAATCTGGTTTCTCCGTAAATTCGAGCTTGAAGCAAGGTCCCATTTGGTGATCTTAACCTTAGGGTTGTTCAAATGAGAAGAGATAAAGTAGGGATAGTTAGGAACAAAAGGAAGGGGAAAAACAATAATTAAAAACAATTATCCATTAATAGAGTTAGAACTATGTATTAATATAACATCTCTATTAAGAATATACCGACAATCGCAACAAAAACAGCACAGCAGCAGCCATGTAGCTGTGACACAAAGTTTTAAAGCATGGGTCACAGATTGTGAAACAGACCAATAAGTCAATAAGTTCCAGAAAATAAACTATTCTATAGATTTATGAGAAATTTCAATTTTGTTATGATCTCCTAGATGTGCCTTTGCAATATGTGTTCTTTCTTTCCTCCCCCCACTCCAGAAAGACCAAGATAATTAGGCAGTTGAGAGTGAGATTACATAGCTAATAATAATAATAATAATAATAATAATAATAATAATATTGCTGCATTGTGTCACCCAGACATGCATCCCAGTACTTGTTAAGTTAGCAGCAAAGCATTCATGTTTTTAATGCAGTCTGATTGTAACCCTAGTGACTGAAGAATACATCAGTTCTAAGTAAGAATTTTTTTTCTGATACAGTGGTACCTCTGGTTACGTACTTAATTCGTTCCGGAGGTCCGTTCTTAACCTGAAACTGTTCTTAACCTGAAGCACCACTTTAGCTAATGGGGCCTCCCGCTGCGGCCATGCCACCGCCGTGCGATTTTTGTTCTCATCCTGAAGCAAAGTTCTTAACCCGAGGTACTATTTCTGGGTTAGCAGAGTCTGTAACCTGAAGTGTCAGTAACCTGAGGTACCACTGTACTGAAGATATTTTGCACACATAACTTTAGTACGTATTAGCAGTTTCCTTATAAGGAGTGGGTGGGAAGAGCAAGCCTTTGATTAAAGAAACAAAAGCTATGAAATACATTTATTTTCCCATAGTTACCATGGCGGAGCTTGTAAGGTTCTTGCTCCACATTTTTCAGAGGGGGAGGGGTAAACTGCATTGATTATTCCCAGCAACTGCTTCAGCTTATTACATTTTGGAACTTGCATCTGTTTTTAATTAACTTTATAAACACTTGAAGGCAACTGAAGTTCATAATCCAGCATGATCCTTGATCATAAAGTATGTTTAAACAGTAGAGATAGTGCTAATGAGCTGTATCCAAACAAATTTGTCAACTCCACTTCTAGCATGAGAAGGAAAATGCTAATAGGTAGATGAAATTTTGAATCACTGACCTTGTTAAATAATTCTAGTTATGCTGCATTTACTAGAGAGAAGAGAACACCATTATCTGAACCTGTTTGTTCTTCAAGCACAAATGTTAAATCCTGCTAAAATCAGCTCTCCTATAAATGAAATTTGGGTGGTGGCGAGGGGTGTAAGGTGGTTGTAACTTCATAAGACCTCAAATTCCTACCAGCTTCTCTTTCTAGATCTATCTTGGAAAAACATCACATGGAAATAAACATCAGCGTAATGTCTTCAATGTGTATGCTTTCTCAGGAATCGCTCCAAAAGCATTTCTGGGGAAGCAACAGTGGAAAAAGGTCTAAAGATCACTTTAAAATTACAGAGCTGTACATTCCACTGGGATGAAAGATGACTGATTTCAACCTAATACTTCTAACGTTTATGCCTGCTTGGGGATAATTCTTAAGGATTCTTGTAGAAGTATAGAATGTTAGAAGTATCCCTGTGATGCATATTGTGTTTTGGGAAAGGTCTGCTATTTCTTTCTATGTTTGGCTGAGTGCAGCATTGGTTTGTTGGTTTGGTTTCATTAATTACACTGGTCAACAACAAATCTGTTGTCTGCGTTTTTTCAGCTGATTTAGGATGAATCTGATGCGCTGAATCCAAAAATCACATTGGTTTTGCTCAATCAGGTCAAGTTTTTGAGCTATGGCCACATGTCTTTTTTTACATTTTTGTTCACATGTACGCTTGTGTGGAGCATTTTAGAAGAAGTTGGTGGGGGTAAAATGCCTTGTCAAATAATTGTTTTGATTGGAAATGTTTATTTTAATGACAAGAAGTATTCAGGTCCGATAGTGCTGGGTGATTATGTCGGAAAGGGATCGGTTTGAAGTCATAAAACCTCGAAATCTTCCATAAATTCGTCCAGCAAAGCATAAAGTTGGGGGATCAAAACTAAGTTAATGGGGCAGCTGCCCCATGAAGTATCCTGATCTTCAATCAGCACGTCGTCCTGTAGCTCATTGTGATGAAATTCCAGTGCCTATCTTCGGAGAACTTCCTGACATTAGTGACGAAGATGCCTCCAGTGTTGAAGGACATGAAGAAGAAGAAGTGGTTCTGGAAGATGATGCTCCACATCCATTTTCCCAAAAGGAGTTGAATGATCTAGTTCGCGACCTCAGCTTGTCAAAGGACTCTGCCGAACTGTTGGCATCCAGATTGAAGGAAAAAAACCTCCTCTCTGACAGTGCTCGCATCAGCTTCTTGCACAATAGGCATCAAGAGTACCTCCGTTTTTTCTTGGAAAAGAAGGACTTGGTGTACTGTGCAGATATTGCGCAGCTTCTGCTCAAGCTTGGAGTGCCACAGTACAAACCCAAAGATTGGAGACTGTTCATTGACAGCAGCAAGCGATCACTGAAATGTGTTCTGCTACACAACGGCAACCAGTTTGCCTCTATACCCCTGGCTCACTCGAGTACACTGAAGGAGAACTATGAAGCGGTGAAGTATGTGCTGGAGAAAATTGGTTATGATCAGCATAAGTGGTTTATTTGTGTTGACCTGAAGATGGTGAACTTTTTGTTGGGACAACAGTCTGGCTTCACCAAGTACCCATGTTTTCTGTGCATGTGGGATAGTAGGGACCGTGCTCAGCATTACAGGAAGAAGGACTGGCCTGTGCGGGAGGAATTGGTGCCTTGCAAAGAAAGGAACGTCATCAACGACCCTCTGGTGGACAGAGACAGAATACTCTTCCCACCGCTGCACATCAAGCTCGGCTTAATCAAGCAGTTCACCAAGGCTCTGGACAAGGATGGTGACTGCTTCATTTACTTGTGCCAGGCTTTTCCAGGCTTGACCATGGAGAAGTTGAAAGCTGGCATCTTTGACGGTCCTCAGATCCGTCAGCTCATCAGAGATCCAGAGTTCGGAAACTCAATGAACGAAGTGGAACTGGAAGCGTGGAAGGCATTTGTTCTGGTAGTGAAGAACTTTCTTGGCAACAATAAGGCCAGAAACTACGCAGAACTTGTCAACAACATGCTGACTGCTTTCAGAAACCTGGGCTGCAACATGAGCGTCAAGATGCACTACCTATTTTCACATATGGACCGGTTTTCTGAGAACCTGGGTTCAATGAGTGACGAGCAGGGGGAGAGATTCCATCAGGACATGAAAGAGATGGAGACCAGGTATCAGGGTCGCTGGGACGCAGTCATGATGGCTGACTACTGTTGGGCTCTGAAGAGAGACCTCCGTGCCGCTGAGCATTCCAGGAGTTCCAAGAAACAGAAGTTCAAGCCCTGAAGTTTGAAAAATGGTGAAGCAACATGCAATTTACGTGTACTTGCCTTTATCAATGCCCACCATTCAGTTTACAGAAAACCTGACCTGATGGAGAGAAACGGATGCCATTTCCTGATTCAGCAGTGCAAAAATACCCTAAATCAGTTGTAGAAATCTAGACAACATTCAAAAAGTAAAAAATTGTTGCCCAGTGTTATAAACCAGCTATAACATTCTGAACCAGAGTGATTTGATTTATCTGTATGTACTTGATCCCCCTTTTTGAATACCTGATTTTTAAGTGCTCTTGATATTTTTTTCAGATCTAACTTCCCTTTCCTTGACGCGCCTATTTTGGAGTGCACGGATGAAAGGCCCGCTGCTTATATTAGTAGTAAAAACTGCCCATAGAACTTACGACAAACCACTAAGCACCACTGACCACAGCATAATTGAATCCAGCAGCACTAGGGAGCATGGAAGCTCTCTTGCTTTTAAATTTTTTGTAAGGGCAAGGAGAGAGTGATTTGGTATTAAAGGCCATGAAATCAAACGTGAGGGAAATAAAATTCTGGGACTCTGTCTGGAAACACAACTTGAATGATACAAAATTAATTTCTACACCTTGAAAGAGAAAGGAGAGCAGGAGAGGATGAAACTGAGTGGTTTTCTGAAGAACAAGGTTCACGGTGCTAAAGGGTTTAATAGTTATGACACAGTCTTATGAGATGCTGCATTGAGGCAGTGACTTCTGGGGTTGGAGGATAAGTATTTATACATGGGACAGAACAGCTTGGGACTTGGTAACAGGCTACCCTCTGCTGACAGAAGAACGACTTCTGGGCACTTGCTGTGGTGCATCTGTGCCTTTTATAGGGGTAGTTAGTTAACATTAATGGGACGCGGGTGGTGCCGTGGGTTAAACCACAGAGCCTAGGACTTGCCAATCAGAAGGTCGGCGGTTCGAATCCCCGCGATGGAGAGAGCTCCCATTGCTCGGTCCCTGCTCCTGCCAACCTAGTAGTTCGAAAGCATGTCAAAGTGCAAGTAGATCAATAGGTACTGCTCTGGTGGGGAAGCTAAACGGCGTTTCCGTGCGCTGCTCTGGTTCTCCAGATGCGGCTTAGTCATGCAGGCCACATGACCCGGAAGCTGTACACTGGCTCCCTCGGCCAGTAAAGCGAGATGAGCGCTGCAACTCCAGAGTCGGTCACGACTGGACCTAATGGTCAGGGGTCCCTTTACCTTTACCTTTAGTTAACATTGCTTTGCCAAGGACATGGTTGAGGAGAGGACCCGACCAAGCTACAGACTTCCCAGCAGCCATTTCTGACAACAGTAGCAAAATAGCTTCAGCCATCCCTGGCTGGGAAAGCCAGAGCAAATATGCCCAAGTCAAAAGTAACAGGCATGGGAAGTCAAAGTTGTTTATCAACCAATTGTTCTTGGCTTCCCAGGCACAGGTTTAATTTGCAGTAGCAATACAAAGTCACTACAGATCAGGGAACCTGGGCAGCTGAAAGAATAGGAAGAGAAAATAAAGAGGTATAGTAAGCTTGACTTTGTTGAACTAAATCCACTGTAAGGTTGCAGGAAAGCTTCTTAGGCAGTCGGAGCAGGAACACGCCACAGTTTCTGGATTCTGCTAAAGCAGGAACATCCCAGAGTTTCTGGATTCTGTCCTGAGTCAAGAAAGCTTCCTAGGAGAAAGTAATTACATCATACAATGAGTGTTCATTTGGCCAGTCTAATAGCAAATAGCCTAATAGCAAAGGCTATTTAGCCTTGAATTCAGTCATATCCTTTCTTCTACTTCGTATTGTTGTATAGGAACTGGAAGCCTTTTGGTTTCAAAAATTAAAATCTTAATATTTTGGAGAACAGCCTCTTCTCATATGTTTATCTGAAAGAAAGACAGTGTAATACATTTGCCAACTGAGAACAATAATTGATATGCAGCTGCAGAAGGAAGCAGGCCATGTCTTCAGAATAGTACACATGTAGCAGACCTCTCTCCACATCAGTTGTGAGATCACTTTCAAAATGGTGACATAGCTTTGATTGACAACTAGTTCTTACATTATGACATGTATTATAAAATATTTCATATATTTACTATCATGCCTCGTGTATGTGTTCTTAGAAGAGCAGGAGATGTGAATTTTTAATAATTGATCTTGGTAAAAGAGAACAGAAATGTTGGTTTAATTCTTCTTCAGTTGAAAGACGTATCTTGCTCTTATGTCATACTTTGCCTTCTTTAAACAGCAGCAGATCCTGTTTGGTTTTTATGCTTTCTTTAATCCAGTCAAAGCCACCCTACTTTAAGGGTTAAAATGAATAAAGTGAATGCTTTTCTCCTGTGATTGACTTTTGGCACAGGAACATTAGCCAGCTTCAAACTGAGTAAATTACTTGTGCTATTGTGGTGACAGAGGTACTTACTTACATCTTTTAAGTTTTTACAAAGAGTATCTAAGATTGCTTTAGTGTTGACTAAGAGCTACACTGTAAAGGCTCTTTTTGACAGACAGCATAAATCATACTTTGATAAGTAGTTTTTTATAGCAGAGTTTTGATCACAAAGTTTATTCCTAAATTTACATTTATGTGGAGTACAATCATAAAAGACTGGAGCTAGAAAACTATCTCAAAGTTTCCTAATCAATTTATTACTTACCCTTTTAAGTACTGAACTGGATTTGTGGAAACACACATGTGTGCATGCTCTCACACACGAAAAGCATATTTTAACTTTTGGGACCAACCAAAAAGCGTAAAATAGCAAGCAAGCTGAGACTGGTGCTTAACATTCAATACCATGAAGAAACAATAGTGTCTTGTGGCACCTTTAAAAAAAAACCAAAAACCCCACATTTAGCCTTTATTTTGGCTTCAGCTTTTGTGCACCATCCACTCCAGCACCAGTAGTGGCCATGTACAAAAAAACAGTTGTTGATAATGCATACATCCTGCCACTAGTAAGCAATTAACACACAAAGTGTGCTAAAAATCCAGCGTGCTGTAAGTGTTAGCACTAAACCCTTTAAGTTCAGTGTAAGTATCCATTTAAGTTGGGATATGTTTCAGGATGTCTGCAGATGGGGGAAAATGTTCCATGTGGAGCATTTCAGTTTGAATCTAACCGGCTTTCTCCAAACAGACTGCCTATAACTGCTGATCAGCAGTTAACAGGGAGCTCCTTTGAAGGCTTGCTTCCAGTGCCTATCAGATCATTGGCACCAAAAACATGTCTCTGAACTTTTAACAGGTGTCAATCACCTGACATCATTACAACAGGTCCTGCCCACCTGTCAAAATATCAATCCCAAAAAAACTCTGCTGAAGATTTTAGAGGCTTCATTTATTTGCAGAGTTATGCCCAGAATCCGAATAGAGACAAAACTGTGATTTGGCTGGCGAAGGAAAAATCCCGGTTTGATAGTTTATTATGCTTATTATATTTGTTTATACTATAGCTAAGATGGTTCTCATTCCAGCAGAGGCTTGATTTATATCTTCCTTCGAGAAGGAAATGTGTGCATACCTTCCATGTTCAACTAGTGGCACAGAACTGAAGCCAGCCATGGAGAACGTAGGCAAGTAAAACAAGGTAGATGTACGGCAGCATCCACTTCAGGAAATAAACTCTGAGTCCAGGAGCAATGTAAGGCAGAAAGGAATGTCCCTCCAGTATCAGGTTTCAGGGTTCAATAAAACGAATTAGAGTTAAAAGTAATGAGCAGTCCTGAAATAAAGTCTCCGTGTGGGTGTTTGTTTAAAGATGCAGGTTGGCGCCAGAACCGTTCAGGTTACAACTAATATTTTGCCTAAAGGTGTTGTAAATATAAGTCTTCCGTTTCCTTTTAAGAAGTTAAAAACTCACTTTATGTTTATGTCCTATTCTGGAGCTGAACCTGAACGTGTTTTCCTTTGCAAATGTCACCAATGAGAGTGTAGAACCGGAAGCAGAAGAACAGAAAAAGTAAAACCCTGACAGAGCACTGGAGAAATATTGGCTACACTTCAGAAGGCTTAATGGATTTCAGAAAGCTATGAACAAGACAAATCAGCATTTGCGACTTCAGTTGTATGTGAAACAAGTGGCAGCCATTATTAATGAAGAAGTGAATTGGAGCATGGTGTCTCTAGACAAAATGAATAGATATTGGTCAGTGATGCAGTGTTTAACATATAGGTATCAACACTGAAGCAGATAGTGTGAAAATGATCATAAGCAGAAACTCTCTTCAGGTGTTGATGAAGGAATAGGTGATGTCGGCATTTTTAAAAATCTGAACTCTTCATACTGACAGATGCAGCTTTGTGTTAATGTCAGAGCTTTTACCACACAATAATGGAGCCATTTCCGTCGCCGGGAAAATTATTGCATGGTAACTTACATACCTGAGCTACTTGATCATTCTCTGTAATCAGCTTTAGCAATAATTCTCTCATTTCACATGCTAAAGCAGGGGTCAGCAAACTTTTTCAGCAGGGGGCCTGTCCACCGTCCCTCAGACCTTGTGGGGGGCCGGGCTATATTTGGGAGGGGGCGGAATGAACAAATTCCTATGCCCCACAAATAACCCAGAGATGCATTTTAAATAAAAGGGCACATTCTATTCATGTAAAAACACACTGATTCCCGGACCATCCACGGGCCGGATTTAGAAGGCTATTGGACCGGATCCAGCCCCTGGGCCTTAGTTTGCCTACCCATGTGCTAAAGCTTTTTTTGGTCATCTGAATACTATCCCTTGCTTTTTCCTATAGGACTAATTGCAGTCACTAACAGTTGTCAACAGGTTTACCATATCCATTGAGTCAATCATCCATCTCCTGCTACCCTTCTGAGAAAAACCCCATCCCACGCTTCACCTATATATAAGGGTCTGGTGACTTCTGTTTCAGTGTATCTGAAGAAGTGTGCATGCACATGAAAGCTTATACCCAGAACAAACTTAGTTGGTCTCAAAGGTGCTACTGGACAATTCACCCCCCCCCCCCCGACACTGTCAGACCAACACAGCTACTTACCTGGCTCTGGAACAGAATTGGTTCCTTTTTGGAGGGGGCAAAAGAGTTACTTCAGTTAAACTGCTGTGACCCTAGTGTAGGTTTTCAACCAACGTTAAAATAATACTGGCTTTAAATGTTAAGTTTTTATGTGTCCTGGCAACAGCATGTAGACAACACTCCAGGTGAGCTTATTTTTCAGACATGTAATGCATTTAGAGTAGACATTTTTGTGACTCTGAGGTCTTCCTGTGTACCGTAAGCTTATAACAATAAATCTTTTCTATTGTAGTTTTGAAGGAATGCACAAAGATCATGTAGTATTGTAGCAGCCATATATTCTTCCCCAGACCATCTCAGCCAGATGCCAAACATGGCAAATTAAAAACAAAAACAAAAGTGATTTTGGATGACTTGCATATGAAAACTGATTTTAATTTCCATCTGCCATTTAAATCTCACATAGTTTGCCTGCTGCTTGGTAGGAACAGTGAACAAGTAGATTCTCTCTGGTATCTGGATTCTTGTACATGCACAAAACTTGGATAGGCAGAGGAACCTGAGGTGTATTTTGTAGGGATCCTGGTGTGATAACTCAACTGATGACATTCATTCTTGATTTCTGAAGAGCAACCAAAATCCACACACCTCTTTCATCTTCAAGTGGAACTTGGACGGTTCCTTTAAATGTTCTCCTAATGATACGCTTTCTAAAAACAACACTGTTGTCTTGAATCACCATATCAGTATCTAAATATAAGGTCTTGTGCATTTTGATATTACTTCATTTGTCAACAAATGCTTCCTGTTCATCTGGCCGCTGCGTTAATACACCCATATTTCTTTTCTTACAGTTGATGAAGGGAATGTGAAGGAATTGGGTCAGGTTCGGATTCTGCATAAGAGAACAGCCATGCGTTACAGTGTGTACAAGAGGAGGAGGAAGGGGCCAAGCGATGAAGAAAGTGTTCGACAATATGCAACTCTAGTGGGGCAGGCGTGTGCAGAGCGAATGTTGCTTTTCAGAAGCTGAGGTGTCAGTTCTTGAGGTGTTCTCCAGCACTGTATCTTATTGCACAACTGCCTATTGTATGCCCTTGTGTTGATATGCCTATTGAAAATGGAGGCACTTTATATGAATGAATACACTGGCTTATCTTAAAAGAAAATACCCTTTTTTTCACCTTTCTGCCAAGGGTCTGGCAGAATATAAAGGCCCTTTGTTTTATTTTGCTATCATGATCCCTTCCTTGCATTCTGAAAAGTGTGCATGGTGTGAAGTACATAAATGGTCTGAACACAATTTTTCCTGTAGGTCTTTGTAGTTTCCTCTTAGGGAGAATATTTGAAGTCACTTGGGTGCTGACATGTATCAAAGCTATGGTGAAATGTGTGTAAGTTCCACAAATGGGAGGCTAAAATGTGCAGTTGCATGCTACTCTGTTCCAGAACACAGTTAAACTATGGTGCTTGGAATTAAGCCTGTTTCTGTCCCAGTGAATCCAATAGCAAAACCCAGTTTATTCTGGCTTGTGGACTTTATATAATCTGTACTATATGACATACAAAGCCATCTAACGTAAACCTATGCACTGTAGCTTTAGAGAGTCACTGCAATTTTTAATTTTTGCTTTAAAGAATGTGTAGTAGTCTTTAAATACCAAGAAACATGGAGGTTTGGTTTTTGTAATTAAATTGTTACTCTGGAAAATATTGGAATTGAAGCCAAGGTTAGGTTTGTGGTCAAATTACCAAAGAGATTACTTTAAATAAAACAGCAGGTTGATGTTGTACCTTGATGTACATCCCACTTTTTTGTATTTGTAATGCCTATTTGTGTTCATTGCAAAATTCTAGAATTCCATTTCTATATATATATATAAAATCTCATTAAAAATGCTTTTTTTATCTTCAAAACACAGAAGTGTCCCTACTACTGCCATTATAGTTGTATATCCGGCACTGTTGCTCTCACTCATACTTAGGTTCTTTGTTTTATTAAAATTGCAAAGTACACAGCTGTAAATGTGAACATATGCTTTTAATTGGATTGGGAACCTAATTTTCATAGAAATCCTTTTATCAATTTCTGTGTCCGTGTCTGATAGAACACGCTATAAGAATTCAGCAGTGCATCTGAAATTTACTTACCGGTACGTTGCTGATTAAACAATACTCGGTATGACTTGCAGACTCAGAGATGCCATTCCTGTTTGTTGCAATGAGCATCTGCTTTGCTAAACAGGTTGTTGGGGTTACCACTTTGGGAGTAATAAAAGTGAAGATCAGTTGAAGAAAGGAGGAAGAAACTGGAATCAACCTCCTGCTCCCAGAAAATTGTTTGCATGAGTGGGGGTAGCCAATGTCGTGCCCTCCAGGTGTCAAAACTTCAGACCCCAAGAACTGTGTTAACAAACCCACAACATTCAAAGACTGTGATAAGGTACATGTGATGGGTTGTCTCTTCATGCCCCCCCCCTTTATAACTTCCATATTTAAACTTTTGCCTAATGAGCATGATCAAAAAACTGACAGGGTAGAATTGCCTATTTGTAGATTTTAACAAAGCATACTGAGTTGAATTCAACTAGGTTATACTCAGGGTAAACCCATTGGAATAAATGGGTGTGTCTAATTTAGATCTATTAGTTTCAGTGGGTCTACAGTGGTACCTTGGGTTACATATGCTTCAGGTTACAGACGCTTCAGGTTACAGACTCCGCTGACCCAGAAATAGTACCTTGGGTTAAGAACTTTGCTTCAGGATGAGAACAGAAATTGTTCTCCTGCGGCACGGCGGCAGCAGGAGGCCCCATTAGCTAAAGTGGTACTTCAGGTTAAGAACAGTTTCAGGTTAAGAATGGACCTCCGGAACGAATTAAGTACTTAACCCGAGGTACCACTGTACTCTAATTTAGTTGGGCACAAAGTCATCTAGTGAGCTTTATATTTGAGTCAGGGTTTGAACCCTGGTCTTCCTGGTCCTAGTCCAACTCTCTAGCCACTAAGTATCTATAAATATATCAGTTTGCATCCTGTACCATTTGATTGGCTATATAGGCTTTATATAGCTATATAAAGCTATATACCATATATACCATATATAATGGTATAAGCTATATACCATATAAAGCTGTACCATTTGATTGGCTATATAGGCTATATAGGCTCTATATAGGCTATATAGGCTTTACTAAAAACCAGTGTAATTGAGTAGACCAAAGCTTTCCAAACTGTGTGTCACAACACGTGTCGGCTGCAGTATGTAGGTGTGTCATGTGAACGCTCCCCATGCTCCTCCTGGGGCTAGAAAAGGGTTTAACCTCCGGTTTGCTAGTAAAACTGAATTACTATGTCGCAAAATGATGCATGTCTAAAAAGTGTGTCACCAACATGAGAAGTTTGGAAAGCTCTGGAGTAGACACATTAATGACACTTGTTTGGCAGCTGTTTGAGTGGCATATGTCTGGTTTCAGGGTAAACTCAATTCCGTTTCGTTTTCATGACCTTTGAGTTAAATGTCGGACCACCCTTCAGTCTTTCACAAAAGCTGCCCCCAAAGCATTCCTACCCATTTAGCCATAGGGCATTGTGGACCTTGAAGATGGATAAATTAACTTTTAAAGAAGTTCTTATAGGCATTTTTTTTTAATGCAGTTGCTCTTTCAGCAGGATATCTGAATGGTCCCTACACTGTGATTTGTAAGCGGATCATCACAAATCACAAAGAAATCTGGACTACAGAGCACAATGCTTGAGACATTCAAAATAAGCAGTAAATGAAACAAATGCCCCCTCTGACCCAAAATATGGAGATCTAAGCTTAACTATGAAGCCAGATGTCTGTTACAGTTGTCTCAGTCCACTTTATCTGTTATTGCCAGCGTCACATGGTTGCCCCCTGCCATTCTTCCTAGCATGTATATTTTCTGCCCATGTAGGGTAGTTTATGGAGATAGTGTTGTATAGGTCTTTCATCATATAGGAAGTGCAAGCTTTCTTAAGCTTTTTCACCTTGCATTGTGTTGTGGATTTTGTTTATGTTGACATCGCAAACTGTTTTCTGGATTAATGTAAACAATACCTGATTTATTTAAAATGGAAGCAGAAATGGACAGCATTCATTAAGGCTACATGATGACTTCCTTTAGTTGAAGGATTTATGGATACAACCTATGCGTAATTGTCTTCCTGATATTTTTCATTTTTACCTCATTTCCTCTGAATGTATGAGGACTCTTAATAGCTACAATCTCCTTTAATTATGTGTTTCTGTCCCTTAGGACAATAACTGTCTTCAAGAAAGAAGATGTTTGATGAATCAGTACATTTTAAAAAAGAGTTTGTTTTGTTCTCCATACACCTTGTTTTTCTGGGCTTCATCTATGGCACAGGAACCTGTTTTAAGGCAAAAGATTCATCCCTAAATTACGTGCCTTACATAATTGCTATCATCCTCATCCTCTCATATTTTATTTTTAAAGTGCCTACGATGATGTGGTATCATCCAATAAAATTTAAAACATGTTTTCCTGCCCTGAAGCTCACAATCTAAGATCAGATAATACACAGCAAGAAGGGTGATGTTTTTGAATGCACAAAGGGGAAGAAAAACAAAGGAAATGCAGAGAGATGGAGTCAGAACCAAGTACCGTATTTTTTGCTCTATAAGACTCACTTTTTCCCTCCTAAAAAGTAAGGGGAAATGTGTGTGCGTCTTATGGAGCAAATGCAGGCTGCACAGCTATCACAGAAGCCAGAACAGCAAGAGGGATTGCTGCTTTCACTGCACAGCGATCCCTCTTGCTATTCTGGCTTCTGAGATTCAGAATTTTTTCCCCCTTGTTTTCCTCCTCCAAAAACTAGGTACGTCTTGTGGTCTGGTGTGTCTTATAGAGCGAAAAATATGGTACTTGAAATAATTTCAGAGTCTACATACAGAAATAAATGCAGCTGTAGTCTTAGGCTCATTTACCGAGGAGTAAGTCCCATTGAAGGGACGCGGGTGGCGCTGTGGGTAAAACCTCAGTGCCTAAGGCTTGCCGATCACATGGTCGGCGGTTCGAATCCCCGCGGCGGGGTGAGCTCCCGCCTTTCGGTCCCAGCTCCTGCCCACCTAGCAGTTCGAAAGCACCCTTAAGTGCAAGTAGATAAATAGGTACCGCTTTATAGCGGGAAGGTAAACGGCGTTTCCGTGTGCTGCGCTGGTGCTGGCTCGCCAGAGCAGCTTCGTCACGCTGGCCACGTGACCCGGAAGTGTCTCCGGACAGCGCTGGCCCCCGGCCTCTTAAGTGAGATGGGCGCACAACCCTAGAGTCGGACACGACTGGCCCGTACGGGCAGGGGTACCTTTACCTTTACCTTTACCTCCTCTGTGTAAGGAAGCCACAAATGTTATCTTCAGACTTAATTGAAGGCAGAGTGTCCCTGAATGCTTATATGCTACAATAACTGCAAGGGAATGCTATTGTAGTAATCAAGTCAATCGGAATACTTTGTAAAGCGCTGAAACCTAAAACGATCAGTCCTGGTGCTTTTACATAAATTGTGCTCCATCAGACAAAATAAAATAAAATAAAATAACAGGCTATGTGGGTGTGCCACCAGGGGGCATGTTAAAGCTTGCAAATCGCATACAGTTCGTTGGTAATAAGCTTTTTGTCATTTCAACAATGTCCTTACTGTTCCAATTCTGCCTTTTCCCCTGCTTCTCTTTGAATGCTTTCATCCCAAATCCTGATGCAGAAGCTCAATCACTACACTATATTAAGCCACGGGAGTTGAAAGTAATTGTCGTGTTTTTAAAAAGTACTTTATATGAAATATGCCTTTTGTATGCTACAATGGATGCAGTAAAGAGTCACAAAGACAGCGCTGAGTAAGCTGTTTTAGTGTCTTCAGCTTATTGGTTCACTTGTGACTCTTAAGGTTGTGATCCAAAGAAATGGCATACAGGTGAATGCAGCTTTCTTTCCAGCGGTCCTCACTGGCCACAGGCAAGTGACTGTTCAGTTTTAAAAGTAGCTTGTTGAACTATGAGAATGGCTGTGCCAATGGCTTCAGAGACACTCCATAGGATTTGTCTTGCATGCAGAGTACTCATGGTTTCAAGCTGGAGGAGGGCAGCTTGAAACCTAAAGTTGTATTCCTGGCTGGGGTAGATACCAATCTTAGCCTCCCCAAACCTTTTCTGCTCCACCTGGTGAGGGAGCCAGCAGCTTTTGCCAGCTGATGGTGAAGAGCAAGAAATCTGCCACAGCTGTAGCCAGTTATCAAGGGTGACTGAGGCCTGTTTGGAGGCTGCTGTCGGTGGGTTGTTGGCAGCAGTGGGGCAGCCTTGAAGAGAGAGAGAGAGAGAACCCATTTGGCGTATGACAAGAAAAAGGACACTCCCTTTGGTTGTTGTTCGGTTTGGAGCAGTTGGGGAGAGAGGTGAGTTAGTTTATCTTCCAAGTGATAGACTGGTAGAGAGCTACACCTATGGTAAAAGCGTGAATGCAGCTCACAAACACACACCCGGGGTGCCTAGTGGATATTTGTGTGATTTTACTATTTTATATTGTTTGGATTGGTTGTACTTTTACTGTAGCAGTCTTCTGTATTAATCTGATACTCACTGGGTTTTGGGGAGGGTTGCCCCCAAAGCAGTCTATAAATAAAACATAACACAACACAACCTCTCAATGTCTGCATGTTGAACACAGTTTTCTGCAAGGAAACACCCTATGTACAAACAGCTGCTTGTATATTATAGGGGCTTCATGTGATCATGATGCCCAGTGAGGCAGAGTTCCTGGCTGCACGAAACCCCTGTGGTATACAAGCGAGTGGCTATGAACAGGAGTGCCTTTACTGAAAACCATGCTCAACACGTAGCTGTTGAAAGGAAGGGCCTTGGGCCTTGAGGCTTGCTTGAATCACAGACCTGGGAAGGACCATGAGGGTCATCTAGTCCAGCCCCCTGCAATGCAGGATTCTTTCAGCTAATGTGGGACTTGACCCCGCAACCCTGAAATTAAGAGTCTCATGCTCTACTGACTGAGCTATTCCCTCAGGGGTCAGATCAGAGTCCCACTCCAGCTTGAAACCATGTGTGTCCTGTGTGTGAGTAATGGATCTTTAATACCTTTTTAGTGTGAGTTGAAGCTTAAGTGACCATTAGCGAACCAGGATAGCTTAGGAATATTCACTTTAAAATGACTGCTCCTTAGCTTTTTTCTCATTTGAGGCAGGGGAAGCAAGCAAAAGGACCGTATCATGGAATAAAATTGTTCTAATTCTAGAATAAATACCCCTGAGGGTGGAGGCTTCTATTACCATTTTTTTAGGAAGCAATGTAGAGCTACCTTGCACCTTTACAATGAGAAATGAAATGAAGATCAAATGTTACTATTAAAAATATATATGTTGTTGTTTAGTCGTTTAGTCGTGTCTGACTCTTCGTGACTCCATGGACCAGAGCACGCCAGGCACTCCTGTCTTCCACTGCCTCCCGCAGTTTGGTCAAACTCATGTTGGTAGCTTTGAGAACACTATCCAACCATCTCGTCCTCTGTCGTCCCCTTCTCCTTGTGCCCTCCATCTTTCCCAACATCAGGGTCTTTTCCAGGGAGTCTTCTCTTCTCATGAGGTGGCCAAAGTATTGGAGCCTCAGCTTCAGGATCTGTCCTTCCAGTGAGCACTCAGGGCTGATTTCCTTATGAATGGATAGGTTTGATGATCTTGCAGTCCATGGGAATCTCAAGAGTCTCCTCCAGCACCATAATTCAAAAGCATCAATTCTTCGGCGATCAGCCTTCTTTATGGAAATATATATATATAACTCCTTAATATACAAATCTCTTAGCAGTTTACAATGAAAGTGCTATAGGCATGCACACAGAGAAGACGTCAGATATAAGCCTTGCATCCAGGTACTTGATACTAATTGCTGGGAACCACAGGAGGGTTGAGTAATGTTGGTCCTAGTTGTGGGCTTCCCAAGGGTGTCTAGGTGGCCACTGTGGGAACAGCATGCTGGACTAGATAGACCTCTGGCCTGATCTAGCAGGCACTTCTTGTAATAATAATAAAAAATATTATTTATATCCCGCCCTCCCCAGCTGAAGCCGGGCTCAGGGCGGCTAACAACAATAAAACAGTACAAAAGTACAGCACAAACAACACTCTAAAATCATTCATTATAAAATTAATTAATGTTAAGTAGGTCTCATTGTTTCCCTTCACTGGCACCGGAAGATGAGAAATGCCAGCTAGGCAGTAATTTGTTAGGTAGGCAAGCAATAAATTTTATTGTGTCAAGGCTTTGGGAAAGTTGAGAAATGGAAATAGTAAGTAGTACGTTATGTGTTCGTGGTCATTTCCGCCAGCGTTTCTGAATTAAACATCACCCATTCATTAAAGCTGATTATCCAGATGCAATGTAACCTAACTCTTGTCTATTGATGGAGCAACACCTAACAAGCAAATAATCTAGTAAGATTATGCAGTATATTAGAGTGCATGTTAGGGGGTGGGGGAAAATCAATGGAAGGACTCTGAAACAAGGAATATACTTTCAGATCTGGAATACTTGGGAGCAGCTGGAATTAAAATGATGGTGTAAGCCATACTAACAATAGACTGAGCAATCTCCAATGGTGTGATCTTGCTCGTGCAGTGGAAATCTGCTTGCCCAATGGGACTTCTGGTTTCTCTTCTCTCCACCTGTGCACCTTTCAAACTCTGTTCTGAAGAGTCCCCCAACCTAACAGAGCAAATTTTAGAGGTGTGCTGTGTGCTATGGGGGGGGGAGGGAAAGAGGAGAAGGTATTGTTCTCATGAAGGCTTTCAAATAATTATATTCACTTTGGGGGGGGGGAGATTCTGATTATTACTTTCTTTTAAAAAAAATGTTTATGTATCCTTCAGGTCTGTCTAATATACCAGCCCTTATAATCTGGATTCCTTCTCCCTAACCAGAATACCTAAAAAGATTAATTACTCCAGTATGTTGAAGAACATTCTGTTTTCATATGATCTCTATTTTGCACTTCCTGTTCCAGTTGTGGTGCTGTCTAGAGTGTATCTGGTGTTTCCTTGCCCTTTCAGCTGGGATGAGAGCTGGTTTTCTGCTCCAAGAACAGCAACTCCTAGGCCAATTGCTCCTCAAGAAGACCAGTCCAGCCACTTCTAGATCACTTTCTCCTACAGTCGCAGTTCTGAATGTGCTGAACATGATCTTGCCATGTTGCCCACCTCCCTCTCAGATGTTTTGGTTTGTCAAACAACCTACATTTCTCTCAGCAACCCTGGAAATGTAGCCTATTGCCATGAGTTGAATCTATTGCTTATTTCCACTGAATGATTGCCCACTTTCTATATACCCCAGAATGGCTATTTCTGATGAACCATACAACTGAGGAGGAGAAACCTGACCTCTCATGATCCTTAAACACTATTTCTACAACCCATTTCTACTGTAGTGCTCTGTCTCTGTTGCTTTCTCCAAGCCTCCTAAGATTTTTTTCACCTGCTTTTCTCTAGAGTGACCAGATGATCTGGTCCACGGAGCTTAGAAGTTGCTGATCGGTTCTGGCATACTAGGCGCTAGACCTGTTTGCTTTTCAGAGCCCAATACGTACACTTAGTTTTCATCGTCTTCCCCCAACCCCACAGCACAAATCTACATTACATCTGGCAGATCAGATTATTGAAATGAATTAAAATTGTGGTGGTATATTTGTCATGCAGAAAGCATGGGCATCAGCAGGAATTTTTCAGGGGGAGGGGAGTAAAATACTGAAAGGTGGGAGCATGCTTGATGTCTCGTTTTTAAGAAGTGAGAAGATAATTGCCATACATATGGTCTTGTATCTCAAGCTGTACAAATGCTAGAAGAAGAAGAAATTCCGAATGAAAACTGAGAATCTGGGGGTTATGGTTCATCTGTGGGGGCAACTGCCCTTTTCTCTCCCCACCACCACCAATGCACATGGACAAAGAATAACTGGTTGCCTCCAACAATCCCCCCCCCCCAGTAATCCCTCATATTTCTTTCCTGGGTTCCCGCTGCTTAACCGACCATGGAAACTGCCGACAAACAAGCAATATATCTAATGAAGCAGAAATGACAGGATGCCCTTAATCCAATCCTCACACCTCTGAGAAGAAGCTACTGAAGCTGCCTCATTGCCAGCCCTCCGGTATTAATAATGGCCTCGCTTACCAATCTCCTTCAACTTCCATTTATGGCGGGCAGAATGAATCCCAACAGCATTAACACCTACCTTGTGACGTGTGAAAAACCACTTCAACCTCAAAACTGGCTAGTTTTACCTTAAAGGCTGTAGATTATATGTCTATAATATGAGCTCATTAAAGGAAAGAAGATACAAGCTGATAAGATGCAAGCTTGTCTCTATTCTTGAAAGCTGTTGAAACTTATCCCCCCCCCCTTTTAATGAGTACCTGTGGGGATGACATGGCCTGGGTATGATATTACAATGCTGCAGTTTATAGAGGTATATAAAATTATGTGTGGTGTAGAGAAAGAGGATAGAAGTTTTTCTTTCTCTTTAATAATACAAAACTTGGGGCGTCCAATGAAGCAAAATGGTGGAAAATTCAGGACAGATTAAAGAAAGTACTTTTTTCACACAGCATCAGAGTTTATAAGTTCTGCTGCTTATGTTTGCCCACCAGAGATGTCATTCTCTGTGGAAGCCCCTGAGTTGTGGATTTCCCTCCCCACAGAGCTTTTTCTGACACCTTCACCATGCAGCTTTCAGCGAATTCCAACAATGCGCCTCTTTACCCTGACACGAGAGATGTGTGTTTTTAGGACCCACTGTTCCTGTAATTTGTTTTGACCGTTTTTAATACTATGTAAATAATTGCAACCACCTTGGGACCTGCTCGTGAATCGTCCTCTATGGAATTTGCTCCCACAAGAGGTTGTGATGGCCACCATCTTGGATGGCTTTGAAAGAAGATTAGACAAATTCATGGAGGATAGGACTGTCAGTGGCTGCTAGCCACAATGACTGTGTTCTCCCTCTACTGTTGGAAGCAGTGTGTCTCTTAATAGGTAAAAGGCAAAGGACCCCTGGACGGTTAAGTCCAGTCAAAGGCGACTATGGGGTTGCAGTGCTCATCTCGCTTTCAGGTTGAGGGAGCCGGCGTTTGTCCGCAAACAGCTTTCCGGGTCATGTGGCCAGCATGACTAAACCTCTTCTGGTGCAACGGAATACCGTGACATAAGCCAGAGTGCACGGAAATGCTGTTTACCTTCCTGCCACAGCGGTACCTATTTATCTACTTGCACTGGCATGCTTTCGAACTGCTAGGTTGGCAAGAGCTGGGGCAGAGCAACAGGAGCTCACCCCATCGCGGGGATTCGAACTGTTAACATTCCGATTGGCAAGCCCAAGAGGCTCAGTGGTTTATACCACAGTGCCTCTTAATATCAGTTGTTGGGAATCATGAGTGCCTTGTTTGTGACCTTCCCATAGGCATCTGGCTAACTACTGTGAGAACAGGATGCTGGACTAGAAAGGCCTTTTGCCTGGTCCACTGAGAGGGTTCATGTGTTCTTAAGAGCTTGTCTCTCATGGATTGCATACGAGTACCATGTTAGAAATCCACACATTGTTAATGCTAAGTATTAGCGGTGGCTGTGTTAGGCTCAGCAGAGAAGGAGGAGGAACCAGGTGAGCCTTGATCAAGATCCCACTCTTGGGGATAACCTTTTGATGAGAACACGGCCTGCTTCTACACTTAATACAAGAAGGCACAACACTGAATTGATTTATCATCCTTTGGTAACACACCACACCATCTAGCCCATTTGAGGAGCGCAGGCCCTTCACCAATACCTATTTCCCATCATAACAAGGAGCCTTTTACTAGTAGCAAGAATCATGACCAAGTTCACCATGTTGCTTTGAGTGTGGATGAGAAGAAAGAGGTGCTGGTCGTATTAAATAAGTGTTTAGTTATGTAGACCATTTTCTCAGTCATTTATTTCCACATGAGCTATCTGTATACTTTGAAATGTGTTGCAGTCCTCTTAGTT